GCAGTCAATTCAAATGTTGCGGTCATTTGGCGGCGCTTTGGAAATTGAGGGGATTTTGAGGGATTTGGGGGTTGCGCAAGACCAGAGGAAGGTCGGATTTGGGTCCGTAATGGATATTGTGCAATGGTTTTGTGTGTGGGAGGGTTTTTTGTAGATTCTTTTTTGGAACTGGGTAGCAGGGGATCAAAGAATATTGTTTTTGGAAGCGAAGTTTAGCTTGAACGGGATTTTTTGCATGCTATATTACAGTACCCAACTTTCCATCTGTCACTAATTTGCAGCAAGGGTTCAAATTTATTTCCTTTCCGTATAAACAAGTTCTCAGTTCTCACATTAGTTCCAACTCTTCTTCGGAACGCTTTAGGGCCTGTTTCAAAGCCTGGACTCTTCCCCGCAAAGTACGTTAAAACACCTGGCAGATCTGATCCGAGTGAGAACTTGGGCCGGCTCGAAAGGCCTTGGATATTCGAGGCTCACTTCTCCTTGCATAACCAATATTTTTATTCCGAGTTTTTGCTTTATTTAAAGTCACTATTTTCTGGATTTTCTAAATATTTTTTGCTAAAAATGGGAGATAGTATTGAAGTCTATTTTGGCTATAAAACTGGGCAATTATCCATCGAGCTGAGTCCTACAGGTAAAGATTTTGCTTTGTCGAGGATCTAGGTTGACATTTGTTTACAATATTGGGGTTCAAACTCAAAAAAATCCAAATTTTCCCCAATTTTAATCAAATCATTAGTGAAAATTTTGGTTTCCTTAAAAAATTTTTCCTTGGAAAATACGAAAAATCAAATACGAGTAGCCGAAAATACTTATAATCGCCTCTTGATGCATTATTTGATCAGGAAATCTGCTCGATTCCTACTCCGGGTCACGTATTGAAAACAAACAGGGCTAAAGGAAAAAAGGGAAAGAAGAGTAATCGGAGGGTGAGGCCGAAAAATGGGCCCGTCGTATTGTTTTATCCATTGATTGATAGGGGTCATTGAGGTATTTTACATTTTTTTATTCAAAAAAGCCCGAGGTTGTCTACAGAATGCAATGTAATTAGATCCGCGTTTTAAAGTCATCTTCTTCCTGAATGGCGTCTCTTCCGAAAGGTGACAATCAATGTCATCCTTCAAAATCTTCCGCAAATCCCGGGAAACAAGAAACTACATTCATGGGTGATGACTTTGGGCAAAAAGTCTGGTCGGATCTTTGGTTTAACTTGGCATATTTTAACGTGAAAACTATTTTTTGAGATTTTTAGAGGGGCTGTTTACGGGTCTCGGACGTTTGAGGTAAAAAAGGGCAGATAAAAGGCGTAACTGGTAGTGTTATGTGCTGATTTGTGCACGGAGTTTGTACTTTTTACGTTTAAATCCTCGATCACGCCCTTCGGCAATGAGCACTTGCAAAGCGATTTTTTCATATAGGTTCTCCAGACCGTATTTTCACTTTTTTTCTAAAGTTTTCCCTTATTTTTGTAGGGCAATGTTTTCTCAAAAAAAAACATCTGATCGAGAGTCCAGAAGGTCGCATGTATTTTTATGAGAGCGCAAAGATCGCGACAAATCCAAATCAGAACAAAAAAGCGGTTGGAACGTCTCGTTTTCCCTTTTTTCAAAGCCCAAAAACTTTCATTTTCTCCGATTTTCACCCTAAATTTGACGATTCAACTCAATCCCTGCTAAATATTGTTCTGTTTGGATTGAAACTTGGTGAAAGTTGTAAATCAAAATTTGTGGTAGATGAAAATGTGATAGAATTGGGAAAATGTTGTGGTGTTGGATTGGTAGGTTGAAATTTAAGGGTTTCTATGAAAAAGATAAGGGGAAAAATGTTACACAAGCCTGAGAAAAACATGATATTTATTTATGCATCATTAGATTGTAACGTCGACCAACTCCCATATTAATTGTAACGATATCGACTTCTTGACCTTGCATTTACATAACGCTTCATCTCTCCGATCCTCAAACTGCCTTCTCCATTTTTACACCCCATATTGCAATCCTCACTGTACTCCAGACCCACCACTAATAACATGTTCACCTCATTTGCAACATGAGAGGAACGTCTTCTTGTTTGTTTGAGGGTGTGTTGAACCGGTTCCATCCTTCGCTTCTTAATGTTGTCATATTTTGAGTGAATGTTGTCCATGTCGCACGTATATCCCCCGGTAACCACTGCTAATTAGAATATTTTCGACGTTCCGGGGCCCAATTAAGGCGTTCAAGGTTAACGACGGGGATTAAAGCGATGGCTTCACGATGTTTTTGACGGTTTTCCGTGAGGCTCTCGGGATTTTATGGGATTGGAAATTTGAGATTCAATTTGAAAAAGGTGAAGAGGGGTTGTGGGGAAGGCCTGGCTTTTTTGATGTGGAGAGAAAGCCGTTTTATGGGACTAATGACATTGCAGATGGGGATAGCGTGTTCTAGGCCTATCATAAATTGATTAGAAGAGATAGGACGGCTTAAAATGTTGTGGGGACCTTACAAAATTTACTTGTTTGTAAACCTTTCCCAAGCCTTGATCCTCATTATTGAGTTTCACGCAACATCTTATGTGAAATCACGTATCTTCTCGAAAATGACCATAAATAAATAAAACCGACTTTACTGATATCAAGCTTATCAGTGTTCGCCTTTTGTAGCGGTCATTGCAGAGTTTTTCTAACCTGTTTAGGCGATTCGCAATTTCAAAATTGATTCTAAATTACTGTAGATTGAATTCAAAAAAAAAAACGATTGGTTTTATAACGCCAATTTTTTCTGTATTTACCACCTAAAATGGTTAGTATTGCTCAATGCCTATCGCGTTTTCCATGTCATCCCCTAAGGCAGTATGCTCTATACTAAGTGTTTTTCGTCAATTTTCAGTGCGAAATGCACGGAATCTGCGGTGCCTTCACACATATTATGCGAGCTCGTAAACGCATTGCCTTTGATATAAAAGCGGCGGAAATCCGCGAAAAAACTTTGATTCCGACCTTTGGCGATTGGGTTTCTCTCGGGCGGAAAGGTTAGGATAATATCGGGAACTGGGGATGATATCCGATATTAATTTAACGATATTCAGTTTAAAGATTATAATGAAGTGGACTGGGATTCAAAATAAGTGACCTTTTGATATTAAGTTTTGGATATTTGAGAGGTCAAAGGATCGGAGCGGTAATTTAAGAAGATCTTGGGGATTCTGTCGGAGGGTGCGGTAGGAGAGGAGTGTTTGATTTTATGATAAGTCTATTGGCTTTTGGCACTCCTAAAAATTTTCTGAATTGCGACCGGGATCTGTTGTGTTCAAATGTTATGCCATCTGAATCCTCCCTTCAAATTATTTCGATCCATTCGATTCGTTTTTTAATTACGAAATTCCATTATTCAAAAATACGATTCTTCTTCTTCTACCTCTGCTTTCAAAAGAAATACGAATCTTTTTTTCCTCCAAAAATGCAATTTGCACGGGTTTATGGGATTTTCAGATCTAAGCTTCTTATTTCACAAATCCGTTTCGATCTCTTCCCAAGGCTAAATATTATGTCAGAACTTGATTTTTTGCAAGAAATCTGATTTTAGTACGACTCCAGAGATTAATGAACGGACCCATCTCAATCCTTGATCTTGTCTATTTGGGGCCTCTGGCTGTCATAATTTTGATTGGTATCGGTTTATAATCTACTGACAGCTCATTACATACAAACTTTTTGGAGGCGAATTGAACTTTTGGCCATGTGTTTGAAGCGATGTTTGAGGTCAATTATAGTATAATTTTGGTGCTTTCAAGGGATTTTGAATGATTTAATATTAAATTTAAATTTCAAAATAAAAAAAATCAAATTCCTTGCTTTAATTTTCCCGGCAACCACTCATAATTGGTCTTTTTCCAAGAATATTTCTCCCTTATTGTATAAAGTGAGTCAAACCCTCTGCAACTTGATTTCCCCTCTTTCTGCTCCCCTCTCGTCTTCCAGTATAATATTTTGAGGGAAAATGTTTTGTTTCGAATGAAACCTTCAAAAAATCACGGAATTTCCGAGCTTTTGGATCGGAAACTTTGCACAAGTGTCACAATTCGAGTAATTTTTGATTATGTCATAACAGATGGGGTAAAGAGTTGATTGGAATTAATAGGAGTTGAGGGATTCATTCTGGGGGCGATTTGAACTCATGATTTGCAGAACAAAGCTTTGACGGACAATATACTAACTTTGATGGACATGGAAAAGGGGAGGAGCTTGAGTTGGTTAATGATAAGGAAGTATACTTAATGACGATGGGTTTCGACTGTCAAAATAGTCATTATATCGTTTGGCTTTTGCGGTATCATTAATAATATTATCCATCAGCCCTTTTGATGACTTTATTTCAATTTTTGTCTTATTTATCTTCAGAAATCCCAAAAATCTTACTGCTTCTCATTAAAGCGCAATAAGTTAACAATTCTGCTATTCATCAAAAAAAATCGTGAAAATCTTTACTCTTTACAAAAGGTTAAAAATGTTTTTTGAAGGTCACATCAACAGCAAAAGTCGAACAGCATCCTAAAACTAATTGTTTTAGGAATTTAATTAGTTGTTACTGTATTGACTCGATAGTAATTTGAATGTACTTGAGGGTGTTTTTTTTCCTTTTTACAAAAGGAAAATGTTTCTACTTTTGAGATTAGATTCTAGATTTTAAAATTTTGTTTTTGCCTTTTAAATTTATGTGGTATATTGAAACAACGAGATTTTCTGGCTCGCGATTTTTGCAATTTAACCTTTTCATGTTGAAAATTCTAGCTCAAAGCCTACAACCACACCAACAACCTTGCTAGTTATACTTTGTATTCCTCAAATACGACACTAAACTCTATTTTTGCAATGTGAATTTCTTTTTTCGAACACAACGAAAAAAGTGCCTTTGTAAATAAAAAATTGTAAATTATTCGGAAGACTGGTCGTTCCTAAAGATAAAATCTCTTCCCAAGTATACTGTAGAGACTCTGGAGGATACTGTAGCTGCGGAAAAATGCCCAAGAGTTTCTCCGACTTCTTGCCGAACGCCTTTTTGGCGGGCGTCGGCGCTTTTTTGGAGGCCTCCGTCGATGACGTTTTCGTCTCCGTTTTTGGGGCCGAAAGTCGATGGAAATGGAATGGTAAAGTAGTAATATAAATTGTAAAAATAGCTATGTTGAGCTTAAATCTGTGTATTTTACAAACTAATCATCCAATTTGCAGCCCGAACCAGTGGAATTGTTCTCGTCGCTTCGGTCGGATCTTATTGCGCATACCGAATATGCAGCAAGTACCTGGGCGATGGCTTTGTTTGGACACTGTTGGACTCGACTCGACTTGATAGAATCCCTCGGGCCGACAGTCGACTTCTTCACCCAGCGGCCGAAGTAAGTCGTTACATTTTTGAAATTTTTATAGTAAATCTTACCGTAGCTCGATATATTATTGTGATACATGAGTCTAGAATGTAGGCAGAAGCGATTAGAGCCCGAATTAGACTGGTTTATTTACGATATTGTAATTAATTTTTTATTTTCGATTTATTGCCTGAGGCTGGTTTCTCTCGACGGATAATTAGCGTTGCGTAAGAGTTGGTGTAATAAGAGTAATATATCCGAAAATGACGTCATTTTAATTATTTAGATTTATGTGGGAAGGCGTTTTTTGGGTGCTTCAGAGGAGCTATGGATATTACACTGGATAACAACTCCAAAAAATTTTTTTTTACTTCTTTTCTTTGCGAAAAAGTCAAAGAAATTGATCAATTGCTCTTAGGATCAGTTTTTTTATTCTTTAAAATGACTTTCTGATCCCTCGAATGTATCTGTAATCAGCTTGTTCCCGATTACAATATTCCCATCTATCCGCGCGCCCCATAAACCCCCATAATCGTCATGTTCCGAGCCCCCAAAAGTCAATCACTTTCCAGAAATCCGACTATACTAAAGAGTCAGTCCTTTAGTGCAAGCGGGAAGGGTTCACAAAAGATGCGGCGAAAAAAAACAGGAAAAGATCCTTTTATTGTATTACGATGACATTCCCCCTTCCTTTCGTATAAAAACCCATCTTCCGCCTTTTTTGCATAACAAATAAGAGAGGCACGTCCATTTCTAGAGACGATTGATTCGTACAGTGGCAGAGGGCGTTTAATTGCATGGGAGAAAACGTTTAATGACGAAAGTGAAAAATCCCATTACTACAGGGTTATAGCTGTTCAGGGGTGGTAGTTGTTGGTTTTGCAGAGCAAGGAGGTAGTTTAGCGGGTTAGACCAAAAAAATCGATGATTTGTTTGGGAAAGGCGGCGAAAATTTATATTTTTGCAGACGGTTGATGACTAAAATTCGTAAAACGACGGGAGGTTTTGTTTTTTGGTGTTGATTTCTTGTGAAATAAGGATAAATTGACCATTTAATTATTATGTCTGTTATTTTTACGGCAACAAGTCTTTCCATTTTTGAACGTTTTGTCACCATTTTGGCCATTTCTGATCGCTTATGTTATACTAGGCATCAGATGATAAAACATGGCTAAAACGGGTTTTTATTGGTTTTTAAGCTACTTGCTGTATAAAATACGGATATTTATCCTTTTACTTTTTGTGAACCGCCATTTCATATCGGTCTACATCCAATTAGATTCGCTGTGACCCATTATCGCAAGTACAATGTGGGGAACATCCCTACACAATAGAGGTCATGTACTCCCTAAAAATAGCTCCCCATTTACTTACTCCCGATGTCCGACGTTCAGGAATCAGGTCGTAACAGGCAGAAGTCGTGACTATTCCTCTCTAACCCCACCTTTTTTAGAGGACATTGTTATTTGAGTATTATGGAGATCATAACTCTTGTTAAACTTTGTGGCGAGACGAGAGAAAAGGGGTCACACAGGGACTTGTCAAGTGGTTGAAAAGAGACTAAACTTTGGTTTCGGTTTGCAGGGCTTTTAATGGGCTGGGGTTGAATCATGCCTACTATAACATCGGAAAATTTGAATATTTTCGGGAGAGTTGTGCTTGTAATGCAACATTCATTTTTTGGTTTGTCTGGAAGTTGACTTTTTTTGGTTGGAAAGGTTAAGAAAATCAAAGTTTTTGATTATGTTTATACAACCAGAGACTGGTGTTTGTAATGAATTAAAAAGGAAGTCTTTGCAGATCATTGCGATTCTTTGAATGCCCTCGCTGCAATAACTTCCTTCAACACTGTCTTAAATTCATTTATCCCAAAAATTTTCGGAGTTCTCTACAAAATTTTATCTAAATAGTCTGATATGGCCTACTATAATATAATTATATTGTTTTACTGGCCCGATTTGTGTGCCAAGCTTTTGAAAAAGGAACATTGGAGCCTCATTGCGCGATGAACTCGATAAATTTTTGTTTTTATGTTTGTTTAACTTTTGAATTTTCCGCCTAAATGGCAGCAAACGGAATGCCAAGCGAACCCTCTTGCTTCGCAAGAAATTGCGCGAATTGCGGTAAAGTGGAAGGAATGAGCGAGGTTTGCTCGGATTGTATTTTACGGTGCTATTTACGGCTCTACAAGCTGGTCAAGGTTTGTTTTACGACAAAATTTTTTGTGGGCCCTTTGTCTTTGATGGTTAACATAAAATCATTATTTTTAAAGAGATTTTGGAGTTTTCCCATGGATTTTAGGTAGATTTAGTTCTTCTAGACTCAAAAGATGCTAGTGATATGCAATTTGTATTAATTGGAGGAACATGATTTTATTCTTTTCAGGGCTTTTTTTACCCTCGACGGACAGGAGAAGGCCAGACGGACGAAGGTCACCGAAAATTGGCATCACTCAAGGCAACCCCATCGTCAAACTATCGTATTTCGGCAACGAGAAGTGGATCGCCAATTCGAATCCTGTGCAATGGAGAGGGGTTGCGAAAACGCCCGTCGAGGAAAGGACTAGAGGGGATTTCAAGTTCAAGCCAGAAGAAATCCATCTCCACCAGAGTTGTGGGAGGCTTAGGAGAGGAACTGGACAATGCTGAGTAAGTATTTGACCTTTTGAAAGTTTTAAGAGCGGTTTGGAAAGTCAATTTTGCCGGAAATTGTCTGTTTTGGATAAAAAGAAAACCAGATGTCAAGTGTAATATAATTTGTGAAATTGTTATCTAATTTTTTTATATTTTTCAGTGCCAGATCAGATCTAACGTCAATCAGTCGAGTTGTTCCGGCCTCCAGCCATTCCAATGCCATCTATGATGTCGATGGCGATATGCTCGATGAGTTGCCTGATGAATACCCATCATCATCTCAATGCAGTGTCAAATACGCCGAATCTGAGATGGGATGGGAAGAGGACTCGTTCACGCATGGATTCTGTGCTCAGAATCCATGCTTTTCGGGATCCCCAACGCCGTCCGACATTAGCAATTTGAGCTGTGTGAGAAACTTGAAGCGCCTTCTTCAGGAAAAAGGAGATCACTCAACGACGGCGTCAGTTATTCTAGAAAAGGTAAGTGGTTTATCTAAATCAAAGTCTGATTGCCGTTTAGGTTTAATTTTGAGACCTTTTTTTGCTTTTCTGGGGATTTTATCATGAATAATATCCACTACATGTACCTAAATTTTGAAAATTGATTTTGTCAATTGTTTTGATCAGTAGCAGAGATTGAAGGGCTTATTACATCCTATATGTTGTCTAATACGAATGATTTCAGTTGAATTCGTCTAACACAACCAACTTTTCGGACTGTGAAGACAATACATCGGGTCTTCTTGATATTGCGGAAATGATTCAATCGAAATGCTCCGCCCAAAACGTGCAATATATGTACGAGAGCGTCCACCTCGGTGATACAGCGACTTTTGATGCCATGTCGGTTCTCAGTTTTCAAAGTTCTTCAAGTTTTCGGAAGCTTGGAAAATCCAAAGGGCAAGTGAAGTATAATATAAATTTATTTTGATCTCTTCGGTTTTAGGTTGTATGATTTAACAGGACGCCCGTCTCCAACCCCCTCGACATACTCTCGCCGTTCGTCGATGCGATTCCAGTCCCCATTGGCCTCGACTTCTCACAGCGCTGAGAAATCGGATCCGGTCAAGCCGACAATAATCACGGTGACGGATGAGGAAGATCCAAAACAGAAGAATGTGATGACGGATTCGTGTTTTAGCAGAAGTTCGGTCAGCTCAACGAATCATGGGTGAGTCTTGGATATTGTTTTAGGTGGATTATAATATTTAGATAATTTTTTGAAATTTTGAGTATTTTATATCGAATATTTTTAGTCCTTACCGACGTTCGACAATGTTCGATTCGGGATTGTCGACTGATTTTACCTCTGAAGATGATCGATCTAGTGTTGGGGGTTATGCAAAAGCGTATTCGGCGGAACAAACGGGTCATAAGTGAGTTATTTATATAATTTTTGTTTTGGTTTTATGTCACAATTGGTCTGTCTATCAAGGCAAATAACTGCAGAATCTTTATTTTGATGTTTGAGTATTATTGTTTGAATTTTGAGACTACAATCTTTGCCTAAAATAATATCGTGTTTTTAGAACTTGGCTGGATAAAATCATCGAACAGTCGCCCTCCAACTCTCCCAAACATCATCCCCATTCCGTATTTGGCTCCATGGCCTCCCTCAACATCAGCAATGAAATGGAATGGGAGGATGACCCGGCTCTAAGGGACGAAGGCACCGAAGTCTGAAATCCCTCCTCACATTTATAAATAAGTGCCTTCTGGATATTGTTCATACATTTGCAATACTTGTAGATTTACCTTTTTCAAACTGTAGTTGATTTAGGCGGTTTTTTGTCCATATTTTTCGTCTAACGACCATTTAAATATATTGTTCATGATATATACGTGTATATCGAGAAACTCGAATAAATTAGAATTTTATCAAAAGGCTTGAGTCGTATAGTATGTGGATCTTGGCAAATCCTAAATAATTTATCATAATATACAAACAAGTAAGACCAGATTGCATTGAGATTCTAATAACCGGGCTGGGTTCGGGGAATGGCGCAATGATCGCAGCTGCCCTCAGGGCCTTTCGGACCGGGCTCTCCCGTCTCGCCGGGAGCTCCGGGATTCCCTCCTTGACCTTGTCGACCTTCTCTACCTTCCTCGCCTAAAAATATTTGGAATTATTACTTCAAAATTCTAAATTTTTGATAAAAAGCGATGATTGAGCAACATTTTTGCAAATGATGATAATTTTCTACAAAAATTTACCTTCTTTTCCAAGTTCTCCCGGCTCTCCGGGCTCCCCTTTCTCTCCTCGTTGTCCCGCACGTCCTGGTGGACCCGGAGGACCTGGTGGTCCGACCCTGGAAGGTCCAGCATGCACAATTCCCGGCTTTCCTTGTTTTCCCGGCCTTCCCAGATCTCCCTCTCTTCCGGGTTTTCCTGGTGGCCCGGGTGGTCCAGGCTCTCCCAGTTCAGCGACCGGTCCAGGCTCGCCGTTCGGCCCTTCCGCTCCCAGTGGACCCTTAGGGCCAGGCTTTCCGACCGGACCTTCCGGCGCCTCAGGGCATTCGAAACAGAACTCAAAGGGTTGCTGGACTGGATTGGGAGTGTCTTCTCCGGGCAAACCGTTTGGACCGGGATGTCCTTCAGCTCCGGGTGCTCCCTCAGGGCCTTTGGGACCGGGAGGACCTCGAGGCGAGACTCCACAACCACAGCAACCACCTCGCGATGGAGCTGGATGACTGTCGGGCCAAAGGTCTTTTCTTGATGGCGACGGTCGAGGAGATGGAGAAGCAGATGGAGCGTAGTCTGAGTTGGTCTCGGGATTGCCGTAGGCATCCTGACGAGGCAGACGGCCGCTGCGTGGGGTCAGGGGAGTCACTCGGGCAACCACCTAAGATTACAAAAATTTATATTCTCGAGGGAGAAATTGAGGTACAAATTTGCAAAGATAAGCAAATTTAAATTTTAAAATAAATTTTCTAGGTCACTCACTTGCGTTCTGGCCACCTCTCTCCAGATATTCGTACTCCTGAGTCTACAAAAATCAACTTCTTCAATCATCATCGTATGCAAATGTTGCATGTAGTTGTAAATCATGGGCACCGCCACCACACAACTCATAGCCGCCACGGTAGTGAGGGCCACGCCCACAAAGGCAACAGTCCTCAGCCCAGCGGCCTCATTCTTCTTCGCCTCCGAATCCATGGCTGCTCGGAGCACCCACAGCCGGCCATCGCGCTTATATACGCGCGGCGGAGCAACAAAGAGCGACACGCGGCGCTGGCCACACGTCTCCTCCCTCGATTGTTCCGCACACAATGTCGCGCGTCCGCCTTGAGGGCCCGGGTTTTTATGGCGTTCCGAGCCCCCACCGAACTCTCCCAACGTCGCCGCATCTCTCGGAAAGAAGTTCCGACCCCATGGCGGCGACCGTCGAGACTTTTGGGCCACTTTTTTCGACGAAAACTTTGAGGGTTTTATGACAAAGAAGTGCGGGGAATGAGTAAGTAATCAACGCCCCAAAGTTTCAGATGTTTTTTCGCGCGCTCAGTGCGAAAAAAATCGGCGGAATCCGAGAAATTCGCAAAACAAAAAGGGTATTCGAATAATGGGTGAGGTCCGCTGGCGGAATCGGGAAGGCTGTCGAAACAGATTATAACATAACACCTTGATTTACCGACTTTTTTGTCTAGAACCCGAGGAATTCGGTCAAGTTTCAAACATTTTGCTACTCTCAAATTAGCCAAGTATGCGGTTTCTCCTTGAAGTTGTGACAAAATAATCACGGTTCGCAGAAAATTTATCGAAACATGATACTCTTATTCTCCAAAAGAATCTCAAAACTCTTTATTCATGAAATAAATATTATACCCGTTACGAAAAATTGATACAATCTTGAAAGAAACCGTTGACAGCTGTCGTTTTTCATAAGAGAATTGGACAAAAGAGGTAGAAATACAATGGCAAATGTGGCTAGGTGAATGTGGTTGATATGTGAATCAGAACCGACTAGGATAGACATAAGACTGATAAAATAAGCTATCGTATCATAAGTTATATTATACTCGACTGATCCTTCCATGACCTGCATAACCGGGCGGGGAATCACTGCTGTAGTCTCGGGAGAGTGCATTCATACTGTTGCTTCGTACTTCGTTCGCATAGCTCATCCCAGGCCGGAGATTTCTGCTATGGAGTCGATTGAGGAAGGCGGGTTGGGATAAACTGTGCATCTCGGGGGCTTCTATAAAAATTAGGTAATATTAAGTGCAAATCAGATCTTAAACCAACCAAGGAAACATTAAATCAAACCGTTGTTATCTCCAAAGTTTTTCCCGCAAAATTATCTTTCCGTTTCTGTCAAATCTTACCATAATCACTGGGGGTATCCGGTTTGAAAGCATCATTTCGATACGAAAACCCATCATTTGGCCGGTCCGTCGCGTATCCGCTGGCATTCCTCGAATGGGAAGTTGAGGTCGAAGAGGATCTAGGGATCTCATAGTCCACATTCGTGGTCCTCGTATCTCCGGACACGCCGGATAATGCTCTGTACGAGGAGTCATCTCCCAGGTAATACCTTCGATTCGATTCGTAATCATTAAGACGCCCGCTTCGATTGAACGAGGTAATCGAGTCATTTGAATTGTCGAACCCGTTGTTTATGTGTTCTCCATCGTATCTCTGGAAGAAACCGAAAGCTATTTCCATTTTGAACCCTCTTTCTTACCCTATTTTCTTTATCTTTAATAATATAAGGATCCAAAGTGAAGAGATTATGATTGCACCTGAGCAATTCCAAGTCCGGGAGTAACTCCGCAAAAGTCGGGCGCTTCTCCACATCCATGATCCAGCACCTTTCCATCACTCTGTATCTAAAAGACAAGCTCAAGAAAAATAAAAATTATCTTACATTTCCTCCGGGCAATTTCTGGGATTTTTGGGATGTTCGCCGTTTTTGATTTTTACCAAGACCACAGGATTGTCATGGTTGCCAAATGGCTTCTCCGCCATGGTTACAATTTCCCATATCAGGATTCCAAACGCCCAAACATCCGATTTGCAACTGAAGACTCCATTTGAAGCGGATTCAGGAGCCAGCCATCGAAGGGGAAGGAGGTCGTTGCCGTTGAGTCGATAATAATCGTCTTTATATATGTCTCGGGCCATACCAAAGTCGGCTGGAAATAAAAGTCACATTAATAGGACAAAAATTTAAAAATTCGAAACGCCCCTACTACAATATAAAAAATCACCATAAACCCAAAATTTCAAAGAGACAAATCTTCCTTACCAATCTTCGTAGTCCTTGGGGCCTCCCTCGATGTGATCAAACAATTTCTGGTTGCATAATCTCTATGAACAAAGTGATGCATCTCCAAATGAGCACACCCCCTTCCCACGTCCACGATCATGTTGATCAGCTCCGGGAAAGCCAACTCCACACAGTCCGGGGATCCACGTTTGTTCTTGCAATCCCTCAGAAAGGCATTTAAATCTCCTCCTTCCATAAATTCCATCACCAACATGTGATCATTGGGATCGTCGAGACAGACACCGAGAAGCCGGATAATATTGGGATGATCGAAATTGTTCATCAGAATAGCCTCTTTCAAGAAATGAGAACGCTGTTTTTGATCGCGACAACAACCCTGAAAAGAAATAATTTCATATTTTAAAGCGTTTCAAATTTGATACCTAAAATAATATAAATTTCTTACTTTCATTACTTTGATGGCGACGTAAACTCCCTTCGAGCCATAAGCATCCCAATTCCTGAGGATTCCCTTATTTACCACGCCAAAACTTCCCTTTCCCAGCTCTTTGAGCACTTGTAAACTCGAATTCGGGATTTTGGGGAGATTTTGGATCTCATTTTGAAGTTCCGGCGGGATTTGCGAAGGTGCTGACGGGAATTCGATGTCGCCAATGTTTTGCAAATTAATCTGCTTGTTGATGCGTTGCTTTCTCTCCTTGGCTTTCTCATTCTTCTGTCGAAAGTACAGCATTCCACTTAAAAATAGGATGACAATCGACATGACAAGGCCAGTTAAGATAAGCAAAGGCCAAAACCAGATGCTATTCTGCTCGACAGGCGATTGATCAGGTTCCATGACCGATTTGAGGAAGGCGTATGACCCTAGACCTTCATCATTGCCAGCTCGGACCCGGAATTCGGCGATTTTTGGCTCGGGGACAATCGTCGGAAGAACCCTCCATTGCAAAAAGTCCGGCTGATTCTTCACTTCAGCAATTTCCCATTCGCTGGTCGAGTTTCGTCTAAAGTCCAGGGCATATCTGGTAATAGGCGAACCGCCATCATCCTCTGGAGGATTCCATTTCAACAAAAACCCGTCCTTTACTTGAGTAATACTAATATCCAAAGGTGGTGATGGAGTGCCGGGTTTGGTTCGAGCCTGCTGCGATTGCTGATAGAACCGCTCGGAGAATTGCCGTTCGATCCCATCGTAATCGAATTTGTCCGAATATTCGGCAACAAATCGATAATCGTATGTTGTACATGACCGGAGATCGGTAATGCTCATGTTGAGAATGGGATTGAGCGATTGATCAAACGTAGAATTCGGGACATCCAACCAGGAGGCATCCACTCCACTCTGAAAGAACATTTCAGTCAATTCAGAACTTTTTTTATTTAAAAATTGATGATGTACTAGACCTATACCCAAAATTAAAAAAAAAGATCGATATACCCACCTGTCGATACTGCAAAAATATATCATCTGGCAAGAACTGGGGCTCCAATGAGTTGAATCGAAGAAGGAGAGACGAGCTGGTTGCATTTTCCGCCCTTAGGGTTCCAGGAACATCTTTTGTTTTGGTCTGTGTCTCAGGAGAAATGGCCTCATTATCCTCGGCCAGTTGCGAATTCAAACGATTCACATGGATGGCCGTGATCTAAACGATAAATATCATAAGTATACTTGTCTAAAACATAAAACACAGAAGAGTAAAAAACTCACATAAAACTCGTAATTACTGGATGCTCTCAGATTATTTATTTTCGCTTGGCATGGATTCAAGGTGCAAGACACAATGTCGCTCAACTGCCCAAAATCTCCGTTGACAAAGGGTTTAGCTCCCACAACAACTGGCAAGGTGGTCTTCGTCTTTTGAGTTATCTAAAAATAAAAAACTTACATGACATCAGGTTGTCATCCATGACAAAGTAATATCGTGTAAAAAAAGATGACTTACTCTGTATTTAATCTCAGATGGTGGTGCATTCAAAGTCGAGGGCAATTTCCAATACAGGACAACCGTATCCGGCGTAAGCGCGAAGACTTTCGGGTCTTGTGGAGCAGTCGGATATCCGTAACTCGTCCGCAAATGGCGGCTCTCCGATTGGCCCGATGGTGGGAAATAGCGGTTGAAAGCGGAGATTGATACATCATAACTGCAATGAGTTATATCAAAAATCTTCTACTTGATGCAACTTTGTGAAACAAAATAAAATTCTGATATTTGACACTTCGTCCAAACCCAATAAAAATTTGACATTTTGTTACAAAATAAAATGCTCTTTCTGGCCAGCGGATTTCTTCCAAGCTGACCAGTACGAACCTTTCAACGCTAAAGGGACGTCACTTACTCGGTTTCCTTATCCAAAATTCCATTTTCGATATGCGTAACAGTTTGAATGCTAGTGATATGTTTGACCTTCTCACTGTCTCTCCTCTTGAAGTGAATCTCGTATTGAGTGGGTGGATTAGACAGATTATGGCATCCAGAAGGCACAATTGGCTCGCCAATGTTGACTAGGGCGCCGGATCTTCCTTCATTTATCACATTAAACTGGATTGTTTCACTTGACGGCAGGGTAAAACAACTCCGATCCGGGTAGGGCTGAGAGGCCTGGGAGGTGGCTAGGATTTGTTTCAACGGTGGGTTTATGATCGGTATTGGTGTGACATTGTTGTTGGCTCGATCGTAGATGAAGAGTTGAGAGGATGTGACGAAAATAATGAAGGTCTTATCGGCTAGGGTAAAGAGATTCACACTTTTGAGTCCCTTCTCTCCAAACTTTGTCCAGTCAATGTTAATGTCCGAGCACTTGCGGGAGATGGGATCGATAGTTATGAGGCCATTCCAGGTCAATGCATAGATCAACGGGGACGCCGGCTTATTCCAAACGAATTCGCCGACTACCGAGGTGACTGTTTGAGCCTTGAGACAGTCAATATGAAGTCCAATATGGTCTTCGGTCTGTTTGCTGAGGTCCAGAGAGAACAGGGAACCGTTTTTTGAGAGTAGATAAGCAGTGCTGGAAAAATTATGTTGTAGCAGACAAAATAAGCAAAGGCGATAAATATTTTAGTTCCAAAAGGTCTGACTTACTTTGTAAATGGATCCACAATCATTTGTTTTGCGTCTTGAGCTCCAGCTGACAGCGAAAACAGTTTTCTGGGGGTTACGGCGACCAAATTCTCGAAATTTTCTAGTTGGATCTCGAGTAAATCATGGTTTCCAACGATCAAAAGTCGGTTCCCAACCCAGTCGCTTCCCATTGCACTGATCTGACTGAATTCTCCGGTTATAGGGATCTGAAATTGATTTTTTATGCTCTATCATTTCAGAATTTTTTTATAAAGATTATGCTCGGCTATAATCTCTTGTCTTCTACACTCAGAAGCGAGATAAAGTCGTGTTTTTGGACTAGATTTAATTTTGCGGTGTATATTTGTCCAATCATCGAAATTCCCATCGATTCTTACCTTATGCAGGACCGAGTTGACGTCATTGATATCCAGATTGGTTAAAAACGGCTGCGTTGTCTCCTGCTCCTTCCGTATCGCATATAAATCATTGCCGATAAACGCGACTGATTGGTACTTGACTGTATCTCCATCTCGTTTTTCTCTGCTCGATTCTGATGCCGATGGTTTGGAGTTGGACCAGTCGTTGATGTTGAGTAGCTGATCAGTTGAATCAATCGCGAACAATCGCACCAACGGCTTGAATTCTATAAACATCACAGTTTGTTCGGAGAGAATTGGCCGCAACTCACCTCCGCTGTCGATTTCGACGGGCTCACTGAATTTTCCCACGATGTTCTGCTCGTTTCTCGCCGCCACGGCACATCGAACTTTGCCTGATTTGACCTCCAAAGAGTAGGCGCGGGAGTATCTGGCGCTGACGTTCTCCGAGAACACTTGTTCCGGTCTTCCATCGGCTTCGTTGGTGCAGTTCACAACATATCCGAGCATATCGCCGTTCCATTCGGTGGGTTCGTCCCAGAACAAGTCGATGACTGCTCTCGGACCATCCACTGTTTTCTGCAAACATGGGGAAAATGGAGAAATTGCGTTGTAAAAAGACTAGAAAATAGTTATGCAATTACCTGAGTTGTAGCGAAAATCTTCAACCCTGCGGGTGGGTTTGGTGGTTTAGTTGGAGCCGTCAGGTCCGTCCGATTCTGCGCGATCTCAGTCCAGGCGGTAATTACACTGACCTGAGCGTCGAACTGTTGTTTCGAATTCCATTTGTCCAACACTTGACTCGGGATTGTGTAACTCGGACTCAACGAGTAATCCACAGTTGGTTTAATGTCAACGCCACTCGGATACAGCTGGATTTTATACAACGCGTGGCCTTTCAGCACGGTTGGTTGGATATTCCAGCTGAGGAGATTGCGATTCTCTCCGCCGAAGTCGATATCTCTCGAGAATTGGATAAGCGCTCTGTCCGGGATCGGCTTCTCTTTGGACCAGGTTGCGTAATAAATGAGATGTTGGACATCCTTCAGGGCATAGTTGATGTTCAGATTCCGAAGAGCTTGATCGCAAGTCCCAAGGAGATTTTCATGCGTTACGAAGACGAATCGCTTGGAGAGAACGGTGATCTGGCGGATTCTGAAAAGATTTCTTTTATGATGAAGGCTGTGGCCTATATCAGTAAAGTAAGGAAATGGAGGCTTCAGTCTTTGGTATTTCCTCTGTTAACAAAGCTGCTATCATGTCAATCCAGCGAATTTCCTGACCCGTTTCGAAACTTCGTATCGTTTTCATCGATTTAAAAGAGAGACGAAATGTCGCGAAATTATCGGCACTTTTTCTCGCCCGAAACAATTGCCTTTTCTCGAAAAGGAAGAAAGACAAGAAAATGCTTTTTATCGGATAGTGACATTTCGTTTTGAACGAATCACCAAAAATGGGCGGGAAATTTTTTCTTCTATTTTGGATTGACGTGGCTATCAATTTCTCACCTCGGGAAAGCCTTCAAACTTGCTACCACCTGACTTCCTTGTTCATCTCCTCCAATTTTGTACGAGTGCTTCTCCACAACTCCGTCTTCTTTTTGTAGGAAAAACACAATCATGTTATTGGCGTCATCTGCTGCCAACCCAACAACTTCGGCCCCGCCTTCCTCCGAATTGTAGATCGATTTGTAAAAGGAACCAGTCAGGCGAAAAGCAGTTACTTGATAGGATGAGGCCACTGTTATGATTGCTGTTTTTGGCAGGACTATCAGATATTTCACTTTGACAAAATCCAGGAATTTCTTTCTTTTCTCAGAATGGGAGACTCTGAATATTGTGGAGTCGGCGTCGGAGACGGTGTAAAGATTGTCGGAGAAAGAGTCATAAGAGGCGATTCCAGAAGTTGGGAGGTTCTTGGGGACTGCGCGCTCGATCTCTTCACCGATCTGAAAGAGGATTTGTTGAGATTTCAGAATATAACACTACAACAATTTATTCTAACATTTCTCTGGGTAATCTTTTACCACTTACTAAGTTGAAAGCTCCCAACTTGTCGACTTGTTTCGCGAAGACAGCGATGGCTTCCGTCTCATTCCCATTGAAGGCCGTATTGGTTGTTGAAATCCAGTCTGAACAAGTTCCATCTTTAGCGCAGGCCCTGACCGAGGCTTCGTAATTTCTTCCGGCTTCAATTTCAACTTGATATTCGTAGATTTCGATTCCTTTTTTATCGGATACTGTAACATTTTTGGCCGTATCTTTGATCTGGCAATCAAACGTTAACCGACGCCAATTCGAACCATGGGCAATTGGAGCTTGAAAGGGCATCGGATGTGGCGGTCGCCACGAAACTTTTCCCTCGGTATCTGTTACCATTAGCCCAAGTTCGGTCAAAGGGCTAAGCCCTAAGGGCTTTGGCAGATCTCGCATTATCGCAAAATCGACGACTTTTCCATTGTACAAATATCGATTCAGATTCAACGAGTTTGACTCGGGATTCTTCTCTTCGCTGAATAAACAAGGAGTATTCTCTTGTTCACAGTGACTCGACGTCCAGAATAGACGATTGTCAAAGTACTGGGACCTCACCACGTCATTGTATTTTCCGTTGATTTCAAATTCTTCGCGCTCGTCAGTGACCTGGAAGAAAATAAATTTATCAATGTAATAAAGATTTTATTGTGTCATTTGCACACATACCCTATCTTGCCGATAAATCTATTGATAGAAATTTTAACTCATGGTTTGGGAATCATCCAGGAATACCCAGAGATCTTTGCAGGCGTGAAAGGGCGCAAAAATTGCTTCAAAACCCGAGAAATAAAAATATGCAAGAAAAGCAAAATATCGTCCGAAAATGGAGACCGCCAGAGAAAAATTGAGTCTAAGTTACCCCAGTTAAAAGAATATGCAAGAAAAGCAAAACATCGTCTAAAAATGGAGACCGCCAGAGAAACAGAGAGTCCAAGTTACCCCAGTTAAAAGGGTCGGCACTTCCCTCCCTTATAGGCGAAAATATCTGGCATCGAGCGGTTCTTAACCCTTTGTATGTACTGGTTGAATCAAGGTATAGTCTGTCGGGAAAATAACCCGGCGGGCCGCCGCGGGGTGGTCCGCCGCGGGGTGGTCCGCCGGGTTATTTTCCCGACGGACTGATAAACTGGTTCAACTCTGTAGCTACAACCGGTTATTCGCAACTGCCCATGCGACTTGGCTTCAGAGGGCAGCTGTAATGCCAACCGCAAAAAAATTTTTGGAGAGCTGAATTGAAAAGTTCGGCTGACATTGAAAAACAGAATAAAGTCCGTCTGATTTTTCGTTTGCTATAGGGTATTTGACCCCCGCGACTAACCTCCTGGTCAATCAAATTCATTCCGATTAGTGTTCCATTCCTCAGCAAGGCCAATAATCTTTGGTTTTTATAATCAATATCGAGCGTGAAGACCGGAGGGAACTCGGGAATTCTCCTTGTGATCTGAAGTTTGTACTCTTTTGGAGCATCCACCATGAATAAAGGAGTCGAAAAAGCATCGCCGGAATTGGTAATATAATACAAATACCCATTCCACGCATCCACAACGATGTTTTGAATGTAGCTTAAGGAGGAGGTGATCAAATTTGTGTAATCGCGACAATCCGGCATGAAACAACGGGTTAGGCCGGTCTGATCTCGGACGATGTAAAAACACTCTTGGACCTGGTCAACCGCGATCTGAGTGATCGAAATACCATCCGGATCACGGAGTTTCTTCTGGATTGTCGTTAAATTCTCGCCTCTCATATCGATCAAGTGGACGGAGCCATCCGATAAACCGACTAGAACTTCGTCGGAGGACAGGGAACTGAGCGCTGGAAAAAAGATTATTTTGAAAATTTCTCGAGGTGTAAAGGGGAGATTTTATTAAAAATTCTTAAGCGTTTGCTATTAGGGGCATGGGTTGATTCCCGAAAATTTTAGCTCCCTCTTTTCAAAATGGGTCCAGGTATTCAAAGACCTTTGTGAACCAGAAGGGAGAGACTATGGAAACTGAGGAGAGACAATCAGAAAAAACCGGTCCTCCGGGCTTATCTCTATGAGTTTTTTTTCCTACCAGCCCTCCTCATTTTCCATACTCTAAAGCCAATTTTTTTTTCAATTTCTCGCCTCCCCTTGCAAAGCGTGAGTTAAAATTTTTAGAATCCGAGATGTGACTCATATAGAGCCTCTATGTGAAATTCTTTGAAAATTTACAAAAAGAATTTTTAAAAATTTTATTGATTTTGTGATAGTCATCAGAAATTTCATAGCAAGAATTTTTCCAAATTTCCCCCAAGACTTCCCCAAACTCACCAGTGATTTTCTGCTCCCCCTCCAATAAAAATGGAACCGCCAGCGGCTCGGATTGAATCAAATAATCGTTCCAATCATGCAGTCGAAACAAAGTTGTGCCATTTGTAAAAACCAAAAATGGCTCGGGTTTTTCTATTGGAATTTCTAAAAAAAAATAAAAATACTTTTTGTTCGTATTTTACCTTCAGTTTTCTTCGGGGCGATTTTCACATTCAACTTTGGCCCTTCTTTACCCACAATGATCTCCTCGATTTGCACGGTGCAGCAGTTTTCAGTCGACAAATTTTTGAAAAAATGGCATTTCCCGGATTTTTCTACAACTTCCATGGGAGTTTCGGCCTCATCCGTCTTTTTCAGGGTCAATCTGCAATTTTTTAAATGCAAATCAAAAAAAGAATGAGATTTTTTGAAATGCCGCTCATTTCGTTGGTTGTATTTTCCTAAAAATGGTGTGTTCTCGGTCTCTTACTGTAATTCTCATGGTATTTTTTGAAAATACCATAGCGAAAGAGAATTTTGAGGAAGATTACAAAGAGTTTTCTCATCCACTGTGAGTTCATTGTCAACTTTAATCCAATTTTTTCCCAAAAAATTTGATTTTTTAAATCTTTTTTCAGCGCCCTCAAAATGGAACCTCCTTGTAAGTAAAATCTCAAAAAGAGTTCAGTAGTAACCGCAGTTTACTGTAGTATGATTTTTTAGTGGTCGATCCTCGAAAACCGAACACTTCAATCTTCCACTTGGCCATACACTACCCAGTTTTTCATAATTTTACGGCCACGATTCGACTCAATGCCCGGCGTGGTTCGGAGCTTCTAAACAATGCTTATAAGTAGGTCTACAATAGTGTCTAACAAAAAATTTTTTTTTGTTTTTAGAAAATAATGACGTCACTTTCAGTTGCTACACGATCTATCCGATTCCGATGATCTGCACAGCGATTCTGGTTGAGCAGGATACGGCGAAACAGTATGGAAACTTCTTTTTCAATGTGGAAAATGGATATTCTTGTAGGCTAAAGTTAAAAAAAAATTTTTTTGATTGTATGGCAAAAATGGAAAGACTTCCTTTTTCTGGCCCCGCGCTTCGCAGCTTGCGCTCTGATTTCCCTGCAGACTGCGAATAAAAATAGGAAACAGCCTAAGCGGTAAACTAAGCCTAAGGCTAAGCCTAACCTCCCTAAGCCTGGTATTACTTGCAACCGGAATTGTTCGGGCGCAAGCTGCAAAACCATCTTTTCGCCGGGGCCAGAAAAAGGAAGTTTTTGCCAAAATTTGACTCTACAATTTTCTGCAGTCTTCAATGAAACAAAAGTGCAATCCTGGCACGACGAGCGATGGGAATTCGACATGGACATGATAGTTGTAGTGGAAGGAGAGCCCGCCAATCACAGAAGGGATTTCTTTTTGAGACTCAAACTGACCCGGGATGGGAACGTCTACGGGAATGGACAGTGGATCGGGACGCTTTCGCAGAACTTTGCCATCACCACGGACCCTCAATTCTTTGACGTATTTTACACGTCAATTCAGGGAATGGCCGGGGTGGATCTGTATTTTCCCCTCGAGGGAATCGTGAAATCCACGAAAGGAGCGGAGGAATACATGGAGAGGATTATGAAGGAGAAGGAGTACTTGAACAAGGTCAACGGAAAGGTGGGCTTCAAGCCTCCGCCGGTCCAGAAATTCCAATGTGTTTCCATCTTTATTCCCTGTCTTTTGATGTGAGTTTGGGAAATAATTACAGTACGATTTTGGAGGGAAAATGAGTGAAACAGTGTATTTTAGTGGACTGGCCGTTGGAGCGGTCTCGGCCGGAATTTACGCCTACAAAGTCATGAAGAAGGCGTATGCCGAAGCGGTAAGTTATATTGTAATAGATAATGGTGCGGAAGTGATGATGTTTGGAACATTTGATTGTCTAGAAGGAAGATAAGGGCGTTTTAAAAATAGCTGAGGGCTTTTTGACGTTCTTAGCGATCAATTTTAAAAAATGGAAAATTATATTGGAGTAGCACGTCAATCCAGCGCATTTCCTGAACCTTTTCGAAACTTCGTATCGATGAGAGACGAAATGTCGCGAAATTACCGGCACTTTTTCCCGCCCGAAATAATTGCTTTTTCTCGAAAACGAAGAAGAAAGACAAGAAAATGCTTTTTATCGGATAGTGACATTTCGTTTTGAACGAATCACCAAAAAGGGGCGGGAAATTTTTTCTTCTATTTTGGATTGACGTGAGTAGGTATTTGATGACAAAAAATTGTGATTTCCAGCTGAATGAGGGGTTTTGACGGAAGATATGGTTATAGTATGGCTAGCCAGAATATTTATGAGTTCTCTATTGTATACTTTGAGAACAAAAAATTATATTGTACTAGGTGGAATTTGACCAAAATAAAAAACATATGGATCATTGTAAATTTCGCTGAATAATGTCACAGCAACCCATATGAACGATTTTTTGCGACTATTACTGCATAAGGTTTCACTGTAAATTTTGAATTTCTCATTTTCAGACGGATAGTGGTCTAGGACCGACCAGAAGTGTCATCCTATCACCCGCATACTTGCCATCCGAAGAGGACAGCTACTTTGCGATCCCCAGAACCCCCGCTTCTACAGATCCGAAAGGAAAGAGCAAAGGCAAAAGTGTTGTGGAGAATAAAAAGAAAAGAAAAAGTGAAATGGGCAAGAACAAGAAGAGTAATAAAAGTAAGGGAAGAAAGAGAGGGGAAGTCAAGAAATCGGAGCAGAAAATCAACCCAGTACAAGAGATCCAAGCGACCCCAACTGTGCTTCAAACAGTCCAGCCGGCAGCTACAACTCCGCTCCAAACAATCGAGGCGATTCCCCCACGAAATGGTCACAATGAGCCTGAAAAACAGTACGAAAACCTGGAAAATCTGGTCAGTCTGCAGGACAGTGTCCAAAAGAATGCTCCCAATGCGCAATAGATTCGAATAAAATTGAAATCATGCGAGTCGGACTAATCTACAGTTTTTAAAGACGTTTGAGGTTTTCGTGGTGGGACCCAAACATGGGCATTAAAACGAAAACATGGCCGAAAGGCATTGATGTATATATGTATTTGAACGAAATTTTGTAAACATTGTCTTGGCGGAGGGTATTTTAGATTCTGAAAATTTTCAGCCGTATTTTTAAAAAACGGCCGAAAATTAATTTTTCTCAAAAAAAATTCATTGTGGTTTTCAAAAATCAAATTTTTGAAAATGAATAATCAAAAAATTTTTTTTCCCCAAAAATCGGTCATTCGACCCGATTTTGGTTGTTTCGAGCGGTCGCGGAATCCACCGCTTGCTATGATGATACTCCTCTTCCTTTGCCTTTTCCCCTTGACCTTGGCCGAAGATGTCTACGATGCGAGAAACTTGACGGCCATGGGCGCCAAACACCCGTTGTGAGGCTCTTTTCTTTCGTTTTATTTTTCATTTTCAGTAAGTTTGTTTGATATTCTCAATAAAATCTTCCGATTTCAGAGTCCTAGAAATTGGCGATGAGCTGAGTAAGTTGTCAGTTTTCGTTGTGAAATCGACGTTAATCGGGTTTTAAAGCCTTTTATTTTTAGCCGAAATTCGTTTCGAACTGTTGGGCCCGGTTTTCATCGAACTTCATCTAGTCATCCTCTTCTCAAACCACACAGAACGGAATTCGTAAGCCTCAAGGTAGACTAAAAAATGCGTTTTTTCAGAGGATATGGGGGGTATCAAACGTTTCCAGAGTTTCGGCACTGCAAGGACAATGTGTTCGGATTCTTGTACGACAAAACCGGCGATTTGTTTGGTACGTTTTGAAACTCCCAGATTCTTTTTCAAATTTCGCGTCTACACTGTATAGAGCATCTACACCCCACGTCAAACTGAGATAATCTAAAACGGTCCGGTGAATGGAGAAATTCGCAAAAAAAAAATAAAAAAAGACGCGAAAAAACCTTTTTGTCGGGGAAGAAATGGGGAATTTTTGGGGCGAAAGAGTACGCTTTTATGTGTCTTTTTTCTCTCTTTCTCTGCGAAACCAAGACGAAGTGTAAAAAACCGATAGCGAAGAGTCTATTCCGCTCATCGGACTCCTCAGTTTGACGTGCTCCCTGCATAATATTCCCTGAAAATTTTGACTCGATATGTTTTGTAACTCCACTTTTAGACCGACCAGAACCTGAACACATGACATGCGGAGATTTCAATGGCCAATTGATCTCGCTCCCAGTCAACAAGGCCAATCCCGGCTGGTTCACATTGAGCTTGTTGGTGACTCGGCGTGGCCGGGTATACGGTAATGGAAAGTATGTGGGCACACTGAATGTGCGCCCGTTTCTGCGCCGCCTCGAAAACGGTCTCGAAGCGTTTTTGTTGAATTTGCATAATCTGAAGAAGGCGAAATTGTATTTCCAATCGGATCTGGTGGTGAGGGGAGTGAGCGGCGGCGAAGAGATCATCAATGGGACAAGTGTGAACACCACGGAAAGCCCTGTACCAGGTCCGTCACAGGCTGCAATTGACTTTTATGATTATTTTGCCCTTTCGGCCTCGCTGCTCATTGCTTTGATGTAAGTTGGATACTGTAGAAGTACTGTAACCTAGTACAATATAATTGATATGTCCTGCGTTTTAGTGGCATGGTCCTCTCGAGCAGTGTTGCAACCGGTTGGGCCTGCTGTATCTTGCGATCGGCATATTCGGAAGGCGTAAGTTTGAGTACAACATTATGCCAATTTTCGTGATGGAACCAAAAATTTACCAAAAAAATTGGCTCCTAATGGAGCTGCTATGTTTTAGCAGATGATTGCCAACCTTTCTTTATCACTTTTTTACGATTTTTTTGCAGCAAGACCAACTAGCCGACGAGAAATACTTTGGCGAACATGTTGTACTACCCAAGACCAAGACGGTGAGTACGAAGAGTAAGAGAAGCAAGAAGGACGCGAAAAGCAGCAGGGCCAAGAGCAACAAGGAGAGCAAAGCCGGCGGCACCAAGTCCACTGCAGGCGAGGATCAGAAGAGCGATTACAAAACGGCCCATGCTGGGGCGAACCAGAACAACAACAAGAGCTCCTATGTGACCGCTGAGGATGCCGAGTCCAATATTCAGATATAACCAAAGAATGGGGAGAATATAGAAAGCGGGGAGAAGAAAATTCACTGACAATAAACTTATTCAGCGCGGATTTTAATGGATTTTCTGGGGTCTGAAGGGAAATTTGGGGGGTTTGGTGGAGAGATTTGAAATATTCTTAAAAATTATGGTATAAAATGGTGGGTAAATGAAGACAATTCCTTGAAAATTGTTAGAGATTTCTTGGAGTTATATTTATGACCGGTTTTTTCGTGGAATTTGCGGGCGAAAAGAAATTCCTCCAATAAAAAATATGCAAGAAAAGCAAAATATCGTCCGAAAATGGAGGACGCCAGAGAAAAAGAGAGTCCAAGTTACCCCAGCTAAAGGGTCAGGGCTTCCCTCCCCTATAGGCCAAAATAGGTGATGGAAGACGGATGATTAGCCGGTTGTACAAATACTTCGAGTTAATATAACCGGTTATTCAACTGCCCATGGGGCTTGGCTTCAGAGGGCAGCTGCCTACGCGGCCAGCCGAAAATTTTTTGGGGAGCTGAACTAGGGCTCCCATCGGGAGGTTCGGCTTAGATTGAGAAACAGGAGGAGGTCTCCCCGCTGGAAGTGAATGAAGTCATGGTTTTCGCAAGTGTGGGACGAATCAGTGCTGTATTTGCGTTATGGGGCCATGATAACATTATAACCCCATTGCCGGCAAAAAGATTGAGCGACTTTCCTCGGGGGTCGAGGAAAGACATTCGTAATGGAAATCAGCTTTGTCCAAAAACATGATATCATTCCGTGATTTGAAATTGTATCCCAAAAAACATGGACCAGAGGCACTTCTCAAAAGTTCCTCCGTTAAAATTTTTAGGAAAAAATCCATTTTTTTTGATTTAGAAAGAATTGATAAGTAAACCGAATTTTGATCCCACAAAAGCTCCAAAAAACAATTAGACGTCCTTTCCGAAGTGCCTACAACCCATTTCCCACCCCAACTCACCTAAATTTGACCGGTTCCGCGCTCTCGGCCACTTGTTTTTCGGAGTGCCAACAAATCGCCCAGCTGTCTTCGGTGATTTGAAGCGACGAAATTAGCTCCGGCAGGGTCGGCTCCTGACTGGGCGGCAGTGGAATTGTCTGAAGGAACTCCGGAGACGCCACCACAACATCCCGCCATATTGCGACCAGTCGACTTTTGAATTCATTGGCCACGGCTTCGATCGGGAGGTAGACAGTGGTGGTCAGCATGGAGTCGCGGAACGCCTGGAATATCTGTTTGAGATTTTGTGATCGAAAATAATTTTAAAAAAATCAAAAATTTCTTAACCTTCGGTTTAAAAATCTCGGTTATTTCTGCAAAGCGCGGGCTAAAAATTTCAAATGTAGCTTATAAAATCGCGCCCTAAATCTTGGCCAAGCTTCAGTAAAACCAAAAAAAATTTTTTTTTAATTTTCAATTTAATTTTCAGCAATGCTATGCCATTTTTTGACCTCCCAAAGCTCAAATTAACTCAATTCACCCACCTGAAATCCCATCGGAGTCCAGAGCCACCCTCCATTCGCTTTCTTGGACTGAGTAAACCATTTCAAATTAGCGGCCGAAACTTCTTGAAGCTGGATGAGATGCGAGTCATCGAAAAACCAATTCATTTTGACTCCTTGAGTCGTATCCAAGGTTGTCTCGACATTGACTTGATTTAAAAGACCTAAAAGTAGAGAAAATAATTTTAAAAATAGTACAACTTGCTTTGAATTTGGTTGGTAAAAAGGTCCGAGATTGCGCGACAGCCTTGGAAACAGCTGAGAGGAGAGCTGGTAGAAGCGCATCGAGTGGGGCAAGTCGAGTTTACCGCTTCCAGATCAGTGCAGCCAACATTACACTACAAAGTTTGTTTAGTCATCGTATTTTCGAAAAATTATGGAAGAAAAAAAGTTGTCAACATTGATGAAATTTTGCAAAGATTTGATTGAAATCGTCTAATTGTAAGACAATGGCATTTTTTATTTTAAAAAATGAGTCAAAACCTCACCGCCGAGACGTGGCATTCAAAATCGCATGCCGTGGTTGTACTCTCTGGCCATTCCAGGTCGTTTGAAGGTAAAGGATATGCCTAAATATTCAAAATTATATTGCATTTGATATCATGCTTTGAAAAAAAAATTTTGGAATTGAAAAATCAAAATTTTTTTAGTCCCACGACGAAAACTTTTCAATTTGTAAAACGCAGAATAGCGAATCCCAGTCATCAAAACTTACGATATTTTTGTCCAAGCAACTTTCCTGACATTTTTGATTTGAATCGGAAGTGATTGTGCAATAAAAACAAGGTAGCAATGTAACAAAAACTACAGTAAATACTTCTATCTTGTCTAGAAACGGCGGCCATTTGCGCCGCATTCTCCCTGGAATTCGGCCAGAATCCGCTGGATTTCTAAAAAAAAAAGTATTATCAAATTTTGTCCAAACTTTTACTTTTTAAAAAATAAATTGTAAAAATCGAGGTTGTGATTGCAAAATTATGATACTGGATTTGAAATTGTCGAAGAACGGCGTAGAAAGTTGTCAAAAAGGTTTCAAATGGGGCGATTTATTACCAAAGGAAGGTCTCTTCATCTACTGACCTTCCAGAACGATGGAAAAGAAATTTTTGTTTTAATAGGTAATGAGAAAAATGAGAAAGGAAGGAGACGCTAGACAAAAAAACGATAATTTTCACACTTTTCCGCAGAATTTTGCAATTTTTTTAGGTCAATAAAATTTTCAAAATAAAAAAAAAAAGAATAAAAATCAAAGAGCTCTGATTTGCTTCAAATAGGTGTAATAAAACTCTAATTTCAATTTTTGCCAAGGTTTCATCAAAAGCCTTGGCAAAAATTGCACATCGAATTTTGAGTATCTCTCAACAAGGTCAACTCAAAAAAGGGCCCAAAGTCATCAAAAAATATAATTGTCATTATTTTTTTATGTTTGCCAAGTAAAATTTCATAATACTGCTTACGCAACTTTGCAAAATAAAATCATTATCTAGACCTATTACAATATAAAATTCTGACACAAATCGGCCCAAAAATTACGAAATTTAAAAATACCTAGCAAATTGTAAGACAGTTTTCGAAAAATCACCTTCACATACAAAAATCCAGACCCCAAACAATTAATAAACCCTCCCAAAAATCGAACAACCACGGTGAAAGGCGCAAACCGAAGGTAGATTGATTTTGATTGATTATAAAAAAATCATCGATAACATGATTAGAATCCCAATATTTGAGCGGGGAATTCGACGAAAAATACTTTCAAAAACACTTTTTTTCGAATTAAAATATCCGAAAGATGTCACTCCACATTATAGTAAAGTCATAAGCGATGAAGAAGAAAGGATGAGAAATAGAAGAATGAGGGGAAAACTGGAAGGTGCGGAGAGGAATTTGAATACAAAATAAATGGATTTCGTGCTTGATAAAAGCCGTAACAACAAGATTTCTAAAGATCCTGTAGTTTACAAATTAATTAAAGAATAAAGTGTGAGCAAAGCTATTTTAAAAGCTTTTTTTAATAAACCCATTATTTCCCAAATGACGTCATTTCTAGTAAAACCAAAAATTCCCTTTAGGCGAAAATGGCATAATGATTCATTTCCTTCAACCAAATGACCGCCCAATCTTACAAACACGGCTTGCGAAACCGTTTTAACTTGCAAATCACCCGGCTTGAAGCGACCTTACATTGCATGACCCCTCCTTTCCGATCAGAGCGCGCATTTCTCCCACGCGAAAGAGCCCCTTCCTTTTGACCGCTGGCCCTTATTTCCCCATACCTGACCGCAGGGAGAATGAGTATGCAAATTTTGTGCGGCGCCTCAACTTTTCCCTGTATTTTCGTTTTTCTCTTTTTCTCCGCGCCCTCTCTCACGTCGCCGCGATCTCGAAATATGCGGGTATTTGCATATAAAGACCTTCAAGAGCGCCAAGGTGAAAAGAAGAAGGAACGGGAGGTTAAGAACATGTAACAAGAGGCCCAAATATGGGTTAGGAGTTTGGGTTCACCTTTTAGGGGAAGAGGGGGCCGCTAAGAGGGATTTCCATGCAAAATCCTTTGTAAAATGAAAAATTATGCGCAATGCGGTAGAAGAAGGGCAACAAAATTTAGATCAAGTCATGTAGTAGGGCCTGAAAATGAGTTACAAAAGAAGTCGGATCAGATTTTACAAAAATCATCAAAATACGGCAGAAACATAATTTTTTGTGATTTTTGGTCTAATTAAGCGATTTTAAAGCAACAAGGCTTCGAAAAACATAAAATATGACTATATATCTTTTTTACAATTCTAAAAACTACCTCTTAACTTACATTTCCCGTCAAATCTCTCCATTTTTTCAAATTTCTCCCACTGATGTCTAGTACAATATAAAAAATCATCTAATACGCTCAATAAGCCCTCCAAATCTCCCAACAGCTTCCTTGATTAATCCCACAAGCCCCGAACACTCAAAAATTCCTAATTCCTTCACCTTTATCTCCCCCGATCTGCGTTTGCAACCGCTCTTTGGTGGCATAATATTGGGTGACCTCCAAAACAATGCCCATCGCTCGATCACCGAGAATCAGGCCGTTGCGACGGGAAATCGAAAAAAAAACTAACATCTTTATTTAGAAGCCAAAATACTGTGAAACCAGCAAGTACAATATAAAATAGTTAATAAAATCTGAGAATTAATATAATTCCCAAACAAAAATCGATGAAAAATTGAGAGAATGCAGCTAAAATACGAATTACTTAGTCATAGCACGGGAAGAATGCGCTCTTCTTCAAATGAGGATAGATAAACAGTCGGATGTCCTCTTTAATCTCATCGAATCTCTTGATATCCTCTTCTGACAGGTCAAAATCGAAGACATCAAAGTTCTCCTGGATTCTGGAGGGCGTCAGACTCTTGGGGATCACACTGATCTTCAAATGGATCAAATGGCGGAGCAAAATCTGCAAAAAAACTTTTTATTATGTATCAATCGGCAGGCTGAAGTAAAAATTCCTAAGCAAAAGTAAAAATTCAAAGAAATTTTGAAAACCCATGATTTTTCTAGTACCTCCTAACAACATTCAGATCATAAACTAAAAAGACGGTCATCTTTATCAATTACATTACTTAAGATACCTAAAAAATAAAAAAAACCTCAAATTTATTAGGTTGTCCAACAAATAATGACCCTCTTCGAAAAATTTATTTTTTTGGTAAAATTTACCGCAATAACTGCGATCTATTTAATCAAAATAATTATCATGCGCTTTATCACGCTTGTTACGACGTGCCAAAATTTTTTTTATGTCTGTAGCTTTGCAACCCTGGCTTCTGGAGCCGATGAAACTTTTTAAGGCCTTTTGAAGGGTGTCTTGATTGTCGAATTCCCTACCACTGGTGAAACGTGCTAGATTCTTGAACTGATGGTAATGTGAATAGGCCAGCTTTGACAAATAGGCTGGACGAGGGAAAGTCTCGTATCTCTATTAAATCGGCTTCTGGAGGGTCATCTTTCAAAGGGGACGTTCCGTGTAGCCGCTAAGAATTTTTGGACTTCTGCGGCGCATCGTTGAAGACAGACGCTGCCACAAACTGTCTATCTGGATACAGTAGGGGATGGTATCTACATTTTGGCCAGCTTTCAAGAAGCTGTGTTGTACTATTTCCCATGCTGCACCATCAAGAACTAGTCATCACCTTGTTTTGGGGGGAGTCGGGCTTTGACAAGTGCCGCAGTGATACCCTCGGAGGACTCCGTTCAGCATATCTGGTCTGGTTGTCCCAGTAGGTCCTCTTTTCATCAGAGGCAACGTTTCGATCCAGAAAACGGAACGCAAACGCGAGAAATGTAAAGATTCCAATCTTTGCTTTGACCCAATAACATGGGAAAAAGTTGCCGAGCATTTTTTGAATTCCATCGACATCAAATGGTTAGCCGCCGATTATTTCAGCAGCCAGACAATGTCAGAGACGCGTTGAATATTGATTCTAGGATATTCGTCAACCGACGACCTCAGGGTAAATTGATAAAGTTCGGATTCCGTACTTTATCTTTGTGTCCCTTGCCGTCAAATCGTAATTTTTAAATCCATCGTTTCACCGTGTTCAGACTCAGAACACACTAGTCGAACATAGCGTTGATACTTTGCGTAGCTTCTGAAACTTTCGCATCCTGTTTTTGCCCGTAAAAGATGACAGCGCGAACCGACTTTTTTTTGATAATTTTTGATTAGGGCTAAATTACTGTAATTTGGTCCCAATATGACAAACGATGCATCAAACGAAAGCCTGAAATCTCAGCTACAAAATTATATAATATTTCGAAATTCCATCATCGCTTGCCTTTTTTAGAGGCTTTAAACTTTGCCCCTCTCACAGAGGGTCATTATTTGTTGGACAACCTAATACAAGTCCTTACCTGAGCCGGTGTTTTCTTGTATTTCTGGCTCAGCTCCTGGACCAGCGGATGGTTGAGGCAATCAGCTTCAGGCCACTTGTCGTCAAAGTTCTTGATAAATCCTGTTTTTCTCGCTGGAGAGCCCAAAGTTGCGTAAGAAGTCACCGTAATGTTGTGCTTCTCACAAAACTCGACCAAAGCCCGTCTTCTGGAGAAGATGTGGAGCTCAACTTGGAGATTCTGAGGCTTCACTTCAGCCTTATTGTAGAGATCTTCCAACTGAGGGACCGTGAAATTGGAGACACCAATCGCTCTGAAGGTCCCTTGTTTATAATACTTCTCCAAGACTCTCCAGGTGTCAATATGGGGGACGTTGTTGGGCTCGAGGATCTCTGGCTCGGCTTCAATGGGCTCTTTGGTGTTGGGATCCATCTAAAATTAGAAAATTTTAATATTCGGGTAACCTAAATATTAACTACCCCATTTTAAACCTCTTACCTTTGCACAACAAGCATTGTGGATCAAGTAGAGGTCGATATAATCAGTCTTTAGAGCTTTCAGAGAGTATTGGATAAAGTATTCGGCATCTTCGGGGACATGACCTTGGAGAGGTAACTAAAACAATATAAGTCAATTTTTCGACAACTTCCTTTCGCGGAAAATATTTGAAAAGGCAAAAAAATTTATTATCTGTCACTTAAAATACACAGCTCAAATATCAAACAAATTTCAGACATCAAGTTATATTATATTCGACGTTGATACCTAAAATCTCAAAAAAAAGCTGAATCTGACCAAAAAATTTGACCACAATCAATGTTGCAGCTTCAGAAAGGCAGAATGAACCTTATTTACTCTAAATCACAACCATTTTCTGCTAGTAATACTATAAAAACACCTTACTTTTGTGGTCAAGAAGATGTCTTCCCTCTTGAATTTCCCGGCTTTGTAGTACTCTTCCAACACCTCCCCAATCACGTGCTCGTTCTTGTAGAGGTAGGCTGTGTCGATATACCGATAACCAGCATCCAACGCGACTCTCAGACACTTTTCCAGCGTTTCTGGGTTGTCACTTAGCCATGTGCCATAGCCGATCAACGGAAACTTGACGCCATTCGAAAACTTGGTGAAGAACTTCTCGTTAGTGGTCATCTTTAGATATTGTAAGTCTAAAAGCAACTTTTAATACTAAGTTCAAGGTAAAGAAAACCTTAGGTTGGAGAAAAAATCGCAATATTATACATCACATCTACCTAAAATCTGGCAGGGCAAAAACAAAAAACTTCTCGGGCAATTCTGACGAGAAATGTTTGTGAAAATGATAAGGACATGAGACTACACACCTATAAACCCTTTTCAATCTTTAAAAATCACCAGAAAAATGAAAAATCATCAAAACATTGGAGTTAGGAAAGATAACGAAGAACGATAAGATAAAGGTCGAACTCAACGGTTTGCTGTTGTCAAATTGTATACAACAGACGTGCCAGGCTGTGAAAAGCATAATAAAGGGCAAAAACATGCAATACATCCATTTTCACACATTTTTTTGATCGAGGTGCCTAGTACAATATAAAATAATAAAAATTAAACGAACCTCGCTCGAAAAGTTTTCTAAAATGACTGAATTCGCACTCTAAACTAAAACACTTTTAAATTGGCCGATATCAGACCCCAATTTCTAGTCCAAACACTATTTCTCTCCCACATAACCTTTGGCCTTTTTTTTGTTTATTTTCCCCAAAAAATATTTTTGCAAAAATTGGCCGAATTTTGCCGTGAGAGGCGAAAGAGTCAAATGTAAAAAAGATTCATCGTTTTGACAAGGAAAGTACTTTTATGGGGGCTCCTACTTTTTCACGGGACATATCTCAAAAAATCAGAAAAAATGCGCTGATCAAGGATATATAAATCTTAGCTGCCCATTTTAGGTTTTTAGGGGTGAAAACTCCATCGGAAGTTGACTTAAAGTCCTATATGAACCCCTTTTCGCTTAATTTTTCACAGGTTTACAATTTTTATTCTAGCTTAAAATGGTGTTTATTGAGTTTCTAAGACGTAATAAGACAGTCTTGGCCCAAAAATTCATTTTTCCGACCTTCAACTTCAAAAAAAGTTGATTTAGCCCAAAAGGGAAATCGAACCTGTGCGGCGTCCCCTCTCTTGATTCCCAGACTACGGCACTAACCACTCGGCCACACCGCTCTCTTCCGAAGGAAGAGAACGAATGCGCTTTTTATCGTTTCGAATTCCTGCGCCTTTTGTAGGGAAATTAAGCCAGTTTTTGGGCATTTTCACCCCTAAAAACCTAAAATGGGCAGCTAAGATTTATATATCCTTGATCAGCACATTTTTTCTGATTTTTTGAGATATGTCCCGTCAAAAAGTAGGAGCCCCCATAAAAGTACTTTCCTTGTGAGAAGACTCTAGCAAGATCATCAAAACAAAATCAAAATAAATTTTATATTTGGAAGTTTCATGCTGGGACTCATGGATAATATAAAAAGATGGTTGGTTTCTCAAAAAAATGAAAAGGAAATGTGATAAAAATAAAACAGGAGTGTGTCCTTGACTTTGTTTGTGAATTTGATCGGCAAGAAAAGTCAATTGTAATAAAATTATTTTTGGTGACAATGAAGAAAAAGGACATGTAAACAGAATGGTTTAAACGGTGATTCGGTAATGTTTTTGATGCGGAAAGCTGATTTTTTATCATCATGCTGATGATAAAACTAGGCTGGAGTTGGTTTCAGTGGAACAAATTTACCAGTGCATTAAAAATTTCAATAATCATCCTAAAACAAGGTAAATCTTTTTTGTAAAATTTGGCATCCGGATTTTCAAAGGTACTGTAGTAGAATTTACAAAAACCAGGCAATCCGAAGTAATGCCACCTTCCAAGTCATTACTTTTTCATCGCAATGCATATCCCTCTATCTTTCTTCTTACGCCTTGTTTATTTACCACATTTGTTTTTCCCATTCTAAAATCCCATCAAATGGAGAGTTGAGCATCGTAAACAAGACTTTGTTATGATAATGTTTTGTAGCTCTTTTCAACCATTTATTTAGTGAGCGATCAAATATCATTTTAATCGATTTGCTATTCAAAATGATGTAATAACCATCAAATCACAGAATTTTTTCAATTCAGTAGTCATAATGCAAAGATGCAGTTAAAAAGTGGCCATTGAGATGATAATAAAGTTTATTGTATGTCATGATATAAATTGATGGGTATTTGAAGACAACTCACTGTATTTCCTTTCGTTTTTTTGCCCAAAATGAGACTATTAGTCTGCTTTCTATTTGTTGTAATTACTGTATCTTCAGCGCCATTGGAAGATAAAGTAAATGGCCTAAAGGCTGACTCGAAGGAGGTTCAAGCCTTTGGGCAATTGCTGAAAGACAATAAAGAAAAAGAGGAGTTCAAGAAGTTTGTTGAGTTTATCAAAAAGTAAGAATCTCTAAATCCTAGATTTTATGCGGGAAAAAAACCTGTTTTTGATACATTGATGACATATCTTATCTTAGCATAACGCCTGTGTTAATGTATATTAGATTTCTTCCCTTTTAATGCTTGCCCGACCGGGTTAAAAATTCCGGCTTGGCTCAGAGCCATGTCTAATCCAGCACACTACTGTGACTGTGCCGAACTTCAGATACGATCGCCGTTACATCAATGTCAGCGAACTCAAGAAGAGGTTCAAAGCGTTCCAAGCTTCTTTAGTTCAGGTGGAGAAGTTCCAAAAGGCGGACAAAAACGCCGTTTATGGAGTCACAAAATTCTCGGATTTTGAAGTTTCAGAACTCGGAGAAGTAAGTGTGATTCTTTACCTATACAATATGGTTATATGGCTTTTGTCAAAGTGTATTTCAGATTCTTGGATTCAGAACCACTGTTAAAGGTAGTTCTGTTACTGCCAACATCAGTGTTAATGGCACTACTACACCTACTACTGTTAAACCAACAACAAAAATTCCGGTATCCAATAACTCTACCAAAATTGTGAAAAGCACACCTTATACTGGTCCACCGACGACACATATCATCCATGCTAATGGATCCACAATAAGTAGTACAACAACAGCTAGTACAACTACAACCAAGGGCAATAACAAGCCCACTACGACCCGTTTTTGGCATTAGTCATCCATAAAGTGCAATGAAATTGAATGAAAAGTCCCTCGTATAAGTTATATTACACACGGGACAAAAGAAATGCATAAATATTCATATTTATATTCTAAAATTATCAATTAACAATAAACCGGCGCTTTGATTCCATTCAAAACATGATCGTATTTATTACCCATCAGACGAACTATAATTGCTTTGAAGAGTATAAAAATGAATGAAATTTTGGGTGAAAGTATCGTGTGCAACATGAAATTGGCCCTGATTCTGTTCGCCTGTCTTGCCGTTGCGTTGTCGCTCCCTTTGGAGGACAAAAAGAATGGGCTGAAGCATGACTCCAAGGAGGTCAAGGACTTGGAAGCCGGCTTGAAGGACAGTAAAGAGAAGGAGAGTTACAAGAAGTTTGTGGATTTCATCAAAAAGTAAGCACACATAATTTCCTGATTCATAACCTTCGATGCTTTGTCATAAAATCATTTCTCTAGACACCACAGACACTACGCCGACAAAGACGAACTCAAAAAGCGGTTCAAGAACTTCCAAGCCAGTTTGGAGAAGGTCCAGCAGTACCAGAAGAGCAACCCTAAGGGCAAATACGGAGTCAATAAGTTCTCCGACTTTGAGCCTTCCGAATTCTACGAACTCCACGCTGGTGAGCATAAGCATCATATCCTTCTTCACAAGCTTTAAAGAAATGATTTAATTTATTCCTTTTTAAATAAACTCTTATGAATTCGGAAGTGCTAACAATGGTTCAGAAACTAAGTGCTTCGCCCATAAACAACTTTTTGTTATTACTCATATGTAACAATATTACAATGTTCCTTTTTTAGCATACTTAAGATACTTCATGTCGTCATCCAAATAAAAAAATCTATAATCCTCTTCTACATTGCTGGTGGGATGGGGGTACACTGCGCAAAGGGTATTGCTTGAGGACAAATGAATTCCATCTTTCAGATATAAAAATCTTATCACCGTTCCTGGCGGCGTATTACAGGGCTCAAGAGTCTCGCCGGTGTAAGTTGTGTCCACATTCCGACATAAAGAAACAGCAAATCCATGAAATCGTGCTAGGAGAAGAACGTCGCCGTCGGTATTTAGTAGGGCAACATACGTAATATGGTATAGGAATGCTAAAGGTAGTATCAATAAATTCGCCTAAAATGTGGCAAATGACTTCTTTATCTGTTGCATACCTAATTGTAAATTCACATCTGCCTTTTTCCCATTAAATTGTAGAAAGTTATTATTTTCAAGCGTGAATTTGTGCAGTTCCAATACACCAACGATCTGATAAACCTAAATTTTGAGGTCTGAAAACAGAACTTTGTGGCGTTTTGGAAAGTCCGTGACTTCTCCTTGGAAGGACTACGATTTCAGAACCATTCTCAATTTTAGGCCTGGGCGCAGCTCGGAAAAAAGTTTTTTTTGTAATGCCTGAAAAAAAGCAATTTCAAGTTTTCTTCTACGGACTACAGTATCATAGAATGCAAAAAACGCAATGGTTATTTCAAATACAGTTTCAGCCCAAGGCTCGGGCGCAGCTTGGAAAAATTATTTTTTTTTTTGTAAAAAAAATCAAAACAAGTATTGCCTAAATACTTGAAATTCCTTACACTTTCACCAACTTTCCCGGATCCGTAAATGGAACGATTAGCGGGGTGCAGGTGATATCGTATCTTCCTTTTGCATCAGCCTTGGTCTTACCACACGAAGCGAGGAACTGGTCCGGTTCGATGAAAACGTTCTATAAATATGCGAGAACTATTCCTTCAGTTTGCTAAAAAAATTCCCTTCTTTTCCCGCAGGCTGCAGAATAAATCGAAAAAAATAAATATTTCGACCTGAAATTATCAAAAAAAAAAATTGTAATGCTCCAATTTGAAGGACGATTTGTACGTTTTCACCTTTCTCGAGTTATTTCAAAACCTCGGCAGTCATAAAGACTCTGCGGGTCAGCGGAATCTAAATGGAGGTTCGGGCGCAGCTTGGAAAAAATATTTTTGTGCTAAGGCCAACGACCTAATTGCAAGCTAAAAGCTAACTGAAAATAGTAGGGTGCTCGTAAAATTCAGAAAAAATGGATACGATTTTCGAAATCAGTGCCATCGAAAACCCTCCCCCGCCCCACGAGGGCGCAAAGGTCCGCTGCGGAAAGGTCCGCTAAAAAAAGAAAAGGGGGGACGTTGGTGCCACGTTTCGGCTTGTTTCCGAGCTGCGACAAAGACGCTAGCTGCGCCCGTGCAAATTTTCCGAGCTGTGCCCCCTCATTCCTAGCGAACTTTCAGTCAGTACACCGCAAGAAAAATCAAGTAGGAACGAGTGTTAAAGTGAAAAGCCAATTTAAGCTGCGTCCAGGAAAAATAGAAGCCTGAACCGAAGCGCCAACTGTCCCAACGTCTAACCAACTTTGGAAAAAGTTCCTTATTTTGGCCACAATAAAGGTACTCCGCGAACTGCGCCCAAGCTTGGGCACTAAAGTTAGGAAAAAACGCTTTGACCTAGCTGGCACTGGATTACTATAATATAGTTTTAAGGGTACCTATGAAGGCTGTGACGACTCATTTAGTTCCATACGGAGGCAATAAGTTTAGTTCCGGACATGTTTCATCGTATAAAGTGTAAAATCGCAGGCTGCAGCCCTTTTTGAAGGGTAAGGTGGTACGTAAAAAAGAAGGTACCTCACTAACTAAATCCACTGTCCGGGCATTGACAACGATGAAATGAGCGTGCACGCTAAATTTGGGCTAATTCCAACCAGTTTCCGCAAAGTTATAAGTTGTGGCCAAAATAAGGAACTTTTACCAACGTTTCATTGTATATGGTATCCTCTTTACAATGACCTTCAAAAAACAAGGCTTACAATTTTGTAGTGGCCTCTGAAGTCCGGGTTCGCCTCGCCTCCATGGTCCTTGCTCCAAATCTTTCCGTAGGTCCGCCAATCAGCGGAAACGACGTAAAAGGCGGTCGCGGAAACGAGCAGAATCAACGCGTGGCCCCACTGCATCACGAAGAGCACTTTCAATCGAAATGGGGGAAATTTAGAGCAATTCCAATTTTCAATTTATTCACACATTCACATGAAACGTCATATGGAGATAACCAAAAAAAAAATCATTTTTTTATTTCAAAATTACATTGATATGAGTTAATATGGGTATTTCTGCTCGGAGCAGTCGTTCTTGTCGATATCATCTTTTGGGCTGATTTGAACGTCCAGCCGATTGGTGCGGACTGGCTTGATGGTCTTGCAAAGGCATTCTCCGTAGATGCGATGGCAGCTGGAAAAAATGAACAAATTTTTTGAGCAAAAAATAAATACGAAAACTGTGAACTTTTTTGGTTAAAACTTCATCTTTCGGCCTATTACAAAAAACAAATCAAAAAAGTGTTTTTCCAAGTCGCGCCCGAGCTTTGGCCTAAAAACTCTTTTTTATAGTTTTTTTCGCCTTTCTCAAATCTATTAGGTTGTCCCACAAATAATGTCGTTCTTCAAAAGATTTTTTGTACAAAGAAATTTACCGTAATAACGAAGATATTTTTAATCAAAATAATCACCATGTGTTATACCACGCTATTGCAACGCGTTGAAAGCATTTTTTGCCAGTGGCTTTGAAACCCCGGCTTCTGGAGCCGATGAAACTTTTGAAGGCGCATTCAACAGGGTCTTGATTGATAAATTCCCTACCACGGATGAAACCCATTAGATTCTTGGAAAGGTAGCAATCTGTTTGAGACATGCCTATCGAGTACTCCAGACGACGGAGAGCCCCGTATCTCCATTAACTCAACTTCTGGAGCGTCGTCTTTACAACGTGGGGTTGCGCATCGCCGCCTAGAACTTTCGGAATTCCGCGGCGTGTTTTTAAAGGCATATTCTGCCATAAGCTGTCTATCTGAATACAGCAGAACCCAGCCACGAAGGACGGAAAGGTCCGCTGTGCGGAAAGGTCCGCTGCGCGGAAAGGTCCGCTGTGCGGAAAGGTCCGCTAAAAAAAAGAGGAGGGCGGGGAGGGGAGGTTTTCGAAGGCGCAGATTTCGAATATCGTATCCATTTTTTTCTGAATTTTACAATTTTGCTTATGCAGTAGTGTTAACTAGTAATTTTAAAAAAAATTTTTTGAGTAATGGATTAATTTCACAAAAAAATCCTTTTTTTCAAGTCTCGAAGCGAAAACATTTCAAAAAAAATTTTTTTCGAGACTAGTCACACCTAAAAATCAAAACACCAAGTAAAATATATCTTACGTCTATCCATTACTCAAAAATTTTTTTCTAAAATTACTAGTTAACACTACTGCCTAAGTAAAATTGTAAAATTCAGAAAAAATGGATACGATATTCGAAATCAGCGCCTTCGAAAACCTCAACCTCCCCGCCCTCCTCTTTTCTTTTTTTAGCGGACCTTTCCGCACAGCGGACCTTTCCGCGCAGCGGACCTTTCCGCACAGCGGACCTTTCCGCGCAGCGGACCTTTCCGCGCAGCGGACCTTTCCGCACAGCGGACCTTTCCGTCCTTCGTGGAAAAAAAGTTCCAATTAGATTGAAAATTCCAAGTTTACTGTTTTTTCCGCAGGCTGCAGAATGAAAATAAAAAATCCGACTTCAACCAAAGCTCGTCGGAAAAAGGTTGTAAAATCAAATTTCAGGAACCTCTAGAGCGTTTAACAGCCTTTTTTTAACTCGTCTTAGACTTCACAAGAGATGGGCCATCAAGATCTTGCCAAAAAACAAGCTGAAGTTAAAGCTCGGGCGCAGCTCGAAGAAAATTTTTGTTTTTGAATGCAGCGAAAGAATGATATTTTAGCAAAACTTTGAAATAGGCGATGAAAGCAATTCACACTTACACTCGGACGGTCTTGTACGGATCGGTGAAAGGGACAATCCAAGGGGTGCATTTGATGTTATAGTAGCCATCCGCGTCCGTCTTGGTCTCTCCACAGGAACCCAAAAATTGATCGGGGATGACGAAGACGTTCTGAAAACATGTAAAAGTACGTCAGAATACAATTTTTATATTTTTGCAGCCTAAAATTTTTCAGAAAGTTTTCATCGTATAAAATGTCGCCTGTGCAAAAAAATTGGGAAACCCGCTGTAGAACATCAGTAATCTATAAAAACGAGATTTTCAACGTTTTTTTTTATATTGCAGAAGATTTTTTTAATAGGTGACATTTTATACGACGGAACATTTTTGAGAAAAAATACACTTACAACTTCATAGTTTCCTTTGAAATTCGGGAAATCCTTGCTTGTCACTCTTCCGTGAGTCCACCACTCAGCGCGGGTGTTGGAGAAGCATGCGGAGAGGATCAAAACGACCAAAAATTGAGCCGACCGCATCTCGAAGGAGATTTTGATTGAAGTAAATCTGTTGTGGAGCCTCAAAAGCCTCCACAATTCCCACAGAAATTAGCATAAACCAAGTCATATAAAAGCGATGTCTCGTCACCAATTATTTAATTTTTCGCATGAATTAAAATAAACAAAGAAAAAAATGACTTTGGAAAAGACAATAGACGAATTCATTAAAAAAATCTTTTATTTATCCTACAGAGAACACAAAAAAATAACTAAAAATGGATCTGATCAGTGGACATAAACATGGTTTTGGGGTGAGCTCAACATCCAGCCATTCGCTTTTGACAGGGTTAATAGTGACGCAACGACAGAATTTCTAAAGATAATGGCAGCTGAAACTTGGAAGGTTAAGATTACAAAATTATTCGTTTATGTTTTACGTAGGTCAAGCATTGAGTCTATTACAGTGAAGCCTCCGTACAACAAACTTCCGCACAACACAACCTGGGAAAAGTTCCTTATTCTGGCCAGAACAAAGATACTCCGCGAACTGCGCCCAAGCTTGGGAACTAGAGTTAGGAAAAAAGCTTCGACTAACCGGCACTGAATTACTATAATAGCTCTAGTTTTAAGGGTACCTACGAAGGCTGTGACGACTCATTTAGTTCCATACGGAGGCAATAAGTTTAGTTCTGGACATGTTTCATCGTATAAAGTGTAAAATCGCAGGCTGCAGCCCTTTTTGAAGGGTAAGGTGGTACGTAAAAAAGAAGGTACCTCACTAACTAAATCCACTGTCCGGGCATTGACAACGATGAATTAAGCCTGCACGCTAAATTTGGGCTAACTTTGATCAGTTTCCGCAAAGTTATAAGTTGTGGCCAGAATAAGGGACTTTTACTAAAAGATTTTTTTTACGCTGTCAGGAATCCTGTCGAATTCACGACTTCCAACTGAAACCCCCTCGATTTTCTGTCACACTGCTATTTTCTTCAGATGCCTCCGACTTTGCGGACGCTGTCGTTGCCGCGCTATGACCATTTTCAATGGTCATTGCGAAGTTTATGCGAAGGGGTTCCTTACGATATTTATATTTTCTGAAAGCCGGCCTTTTACTCTACTACCATGCCAAATTTTAGCCTTCCAGCTCAAACGGCTAGCGAGATATGGAGAGAGAAAGCAAGCGCATTCCGAAAAAAATAGAAAAAGTCGCGGAGATCGGTTGTGTCCCAAAAGTACAGAATGCCGTGTAGTGTAATATCAGAGTGTTCGGCCTGTTACGGGCGCAACTTGGCTGCAAAAACGGTGAAACTTGCAGGTTCGAAATTTCATTCGGTGCTGTTTCGAATGGCATAGGTCTCGTCAATTCACTTCGACATCTCTGATTTATTAACTTTATTTTTTAAACATCAAATTTTGTTAAAATTAACGAACGGTTAACTGTTTTTAATCGTATCTCCCGTGTCGGTCTCTAGAACAAATAAAATCTGGAGGGTCTTGTGCGGAAAGTTCAATGTCCAAATGTTGGGTTGTGACCGGGTTGATAGTGCGACAACGACAGCGTCCGTAAAGCCGGTGGCATCTGAAGAAAATTGCATCCCAACAGAAAATCAAGCAGGTTTCAGTTGGAAGTTGTGAATTCGACAGGGGTGTAGACAGCACAACGACAATGCACAGCCTACTGTATGAGAGAGACGTAGGCATATATGTCTCGGGACTTCTAAGTCTCTCCGCAAGAGTCCATCCGAACCCTGCAAATTTACAGGGGAAGTACTCCAAGTGCGACGCTCAGATTTCCTTTAAATTTTGCACACGCGTCGGTTATGGACTAAATATCAATTCCTGAAAGTTTTAGCTTGCGCTTTGCGGGCGCCGCCGAGATATTGAACAACCTTTGCCGCTGAGAGAGCACGCTAAACGTGGAGAGCGGTCAGAGAGAAAAGAACTTTTTGGCCATAACTTTGGCAGTTTCGTGCGGAAAAATTTAATTTTTTGTAGAAACATTATCCTTTACGGTAGAAATAGGCATGAAACTTTTCGTGCCAAAATTCGGCAAAAAGTCCTAAATTTTGGCCGACTTTCGATCCAAAAATCTCGGTTCTTTTTGCAAAGCGCGAGCTAGGATTCTCGCATATTGTTAGAAAAATTTTTTATTTAGATTTTTATTAAAAGATTTTTTATTTTTTTTTTTTATTTTTGTTAGAAAAAAATACTCTAAATTTGTGCCAAGTTTCATCAAAATCTGAGCGTCGCACTTGGAGTACTTCCCCTGTTAGTCCAAAGTTTAAAGTTGTCAAAAAAGGCGACAGAGAAAGGCAGAAATTCCTACAAAGAGAGAAATTGCGCAACGTTATGTCAGATTGCGCAACTTTTAACTTTGTACTAAATTTGCAGGGTTCGGATGGACTCTTGCGGAGAGATTTAGAAGTCCCGAGCTATATTATATAGGGGAGAATCGGTGGCAATTTGCAGTCGAGGGCAAAAGGGAGGTCGAGAAGTGGAGGACCCAGGATGTTGGGAGAGAAGGAAGACTCAAACTGACAAGGGAAGTACCCCAAGTGCGACGCTCAGATTTTGATGAAACTTGGCACAAATCTAGAAAATTTTTTTCCAAAATATGTGCGAAAATCTTAGCTCTCGCTTTGCAAAAACAACCGAGATTTTTAGATCGAAAGTCGGCGAAAATTTAAGACTTTGCCGAATTTCGGCACGAAAAGTTTCATGCCAATTGCAACCGTAAAGGGTAATGTTTCTATAACAAAAAGTTATGGCCAAAAAGGTATTTTCTCTCTGACCGCTCTCCACGTTTAGCATGCGCTCTCGGCGGCAAAGATGCTTCAATATCTCGGTGGCGCTTACAAAGCGCAAGCCAAAACTTTCAGGAATTGATATTTAGTCCATACCCGACGTGTGTGCAAAATTTAAAGAAAATCTGAGCGTCGCACTTTGGGCACTTCCCTTGTGAGATAAGATTTGGTCCGAAGAGTAAGACGAGACCAAGGAGGACTCCATACAAATGATTACAATCCGCCCTTTTCCCCCTGGACTAGCCCAAAGTATTATAATGCAGGGACAACGGGAATGCTGTTCAGTGTTAACTTACACTACAACACATTCGCTCGGGTCGGTAAACGGCAGAATTCTTGGAGAGCAGTCTATTCGGTAGGTTCCATCCTTTTTAACGCGTGTACGTCCACAAAAGCCGTTTCCAAGAAAGAGACTGATGCCCGCCAATACTCTGACTTCCTGTAAATTAATAATTATTTTCGCCTTACACGCCTTACAATGATGGGTTGGCCTGTGAAATTGGGCGCAGCTTCCCCGCCAAAGTCCTTGCTCCAAACCTTGCCATAAGTGAGCCAAGACGCCAGTCCACCATGAAAACAGAAGAGAAACGTGAAAGCTAGCAAGAAGTGGGAGCACTGCATCACGAGCTGTGATGAAATGGGATCACAACCTTTATTTATGTACAATCGATCAGAAATTGCTTCGATTTTTTAATGAACACAATGCAGAATGAATTTCAAATTTTATGGCTGTATGTTAAACACAAATTCATCAATATTCCTAGACCTTACAGTTTATTGTAATCATCACAGAACCTTTAGCCCTCTCGGGAAATAACGGGGTGTGGCCGAGTGGTTAGAGCGCTAGATTGGTACATTTCTAACGATAAGAAAGAGAGTTTATTGGTTCACTCTTGTTTACTTCGTTATCATGCGCAATTTACAGTAATCTACCGCGCTTGTGAGAATGTTTCATCGGGTCGTTCCGTCGTATTCTGCGGTCTGTTTATCGATCCCAGTACTGACGACCCCGCTTTTGAACTTGCAATCTTTTTCCTGAACAATTTCTTTTTAAACGTCTGGTTCATGGTAAAATATGTGATCGCCGGGCTGATCTGCACAATCAGCCAGTTGAAATGACCGGTGTAGATGATGATGCGAGGCACTCCGTCGATCTGCATGATAAAATAACCCAGGGTTCCGAGGGTCAAGGTGATGGAAACGATGAGGATTTGGAGAAACAGCTGAAATCTTCAATATTGGTGCGAAAAAAGTTGTAAAAATAATAAAAATAGTAGTAATCTTACACCGTTATCGTTTTTGGAAGACTCTTGATCCTGGCGCATACTGCGAACGAAAAAATAAAAGATAAAATAACACAGGGGAATGGAGACGGCGACCATAACATTGTGGGAAATGTGGGAGTAGTTGGTGTACTGAAAATAAAAATTTTGGCTTTGTTTTGAATTGCTGGTTTTTAAAGTTTTGGCAGGAAATTCTGCATTTGTCTCAGCGTGAATTCTGAAAATTTTAGCGAGCTCTGTGCAAAGGTACCCGAGATATTCTGCAAAAATCTTGATGGGGTACGGAATTAATAAAAATTTCATTTTTTTTTGAAGTTTCCTATAAATCGGAGCCAAACTTACAACTCCATCCAAATCCTCGTAATAACAGAGATGCGGATTGAAGAACCATCCATAATATTGAGGGTTGAAAATGACCGGGAAGTCGAAAACAAAGTGCCCAATCGTGTAACCAACGGGCAAGAGGAGCCAGAAAGTTTCCCAATGATCGTTGAAGAGAAAGCCGGCTTTGGTGAAACAAACGCAGCGGTTGAAGGCGAGGATCACCGCACACAATGAGTAGCCCATCCAGCCGGCTGAAAATGCAAGCAAGTTTTTTGGAAATTCGAAAAAACGGCATAGACTTGAATACAAAAATGTTATTACTTGATTTTCACGAGGAAAGTACTTCTATGGGGTATAGAGTTAAAGGTCGAGACATATATGAAAAAATTCGCGAAATTTTTCTGATTCAGAATATGCAAAAATTAGCTGCATAATTTTGGTTTGTAAGGGTGAAAAAACCCTTACGATTAGAACTTTTCTCGCAACACCATGAAAATGGGCCTTTTTTTACATTGGAATTAAGGTGCAGTATAAATTAAATTTGATATTTTAAGGCTTGTGAAGATACCAGAGTTTACTGTAACTCAAAAACAAGCTTTTGATTTGGTAAAAACTTGGTCAAAAAGGCATTTGCGTGGTGTTTCGAGAAAGGTTCCCAGGGTTTTTTCACCCTTACAAACCAAAACTAGGTAGCTAATTTTTTACATATTCTGAATGAGAAAAATTTTGCGAATTTTTTGATATATGACTCGACCTGTAACTCCATACCATAGAAAGTACTTCCTTGTCAAAATTTTTTGGTCTGTCAAAAACTGCCAAAAATCGCATACCCAGCAGCCATTGGCCAATGAAATAAATGAGCACCGGATGATCGCAGTATACCATTCCATAATATAGAAAGTAACCAGTGGCAAAGGTGATCGCCGGGATCAAAAACAAATCAAACAGGGCCATCAACAGCATTAGACGATAGCAAAAGTTTTGTCGCAACTTCTTATCACATAGAACGTATATAATCAGAAGGTATAGAATGGCTTCAATAACGCCGGAGACGTAGAAAACCCAGGCCGCGGCCTTTGACACTCTTTCCTCTCGCGGCCAGGAGTCCGGGTCGTAGAATGAGCAGTTGTAGTAGAGCAGCCACTCGGAATGACGACGGAAATACAGATCCATTCACTGAGAACAACCGAAATTTGAAGTAAACTACGACACAACCCGTTCGTATCATGGTTTATATGTATATCGGGAACGACGGTTTTGGTCAGCCAGACCACACACGGACGTCACAAAATGTGAAGTGATAATAGGACACGTAACGCAATGCCAAAAAACATGGCCACCCTCAACAGTGGAATGCCAAACTCTCCGGTGTACAGCAAAATTTTCGGTAATCTTTGAGAACTTGGCCAGACCGGATAAGAAAAAAAGTGAAGATCGCGTGCTGATTCAATGTCCAACCGCACGTTGGCACATGAAGGGATCAACTGATGCTTATCCAAACTTTTTTTTTGAGGATACCTCTTAAATGTGTCAGTAGAAAGTGATGCGGCAACGGGAAGAAACGAGGTTAGTTTTATCTGTTGCAGACATGTACTTTTAACTATGCTTTGTAGGAACCATGAATGGAAAGTTTAAAAACATTTTTTTGCGCTTCATCGGTGAGATAGAAAGGCAAGAAAGCAAGTATCCGCCTGTCAGGAAAATAATACGCGTAACTTTTTTCTTTAGATTTCTCCGCGGAGACTCCGCCGATTTTCCCGAAATTTAGATTTTTCTGGAGCTGAGACCCGCCATTTTCAACCGACTGAGTTCCAAAAAAATTATATTCTGAATTGACCTTTCTATGCCTTCTCAAAGTTTTGAACAATTATAATATTTTTGAGCCGAAACCGCTAAAACTTTGAAAATTTTTTGAATGAGTTTGAAAACCCGTTTCGAGTGGCCCACCCTGTACAATAAAAGCAATTTGATTTTGTCGCTAAACAATTCATTTTCTCGGCAATGCGATTTTGGATGCGGCATTCTACTCATTATTTTCCCCACCAACTAGTACTTTGCCACCTTTTCTAAGCATGGGAAACGTATGTGTATACTACGATGTAAAGTTCTTCAAAAAGACCCAAATGCAACTACAGCGTCAAAAGAATTACTCAGTTTCCGTATCTACCGTCACTTAGCATCCGGTAAAATGTATATAATGAATAATATGTATATAAATAATAAAAGATCGTTCGTTTCTTAAATTTAGCCTCACAAAATGCCCGTTTCACATGCAAGAAACCAATCTTTCAACGCCCTGTTAAGTCATTACCCCAACCTTAATATCTTTAACGTACGGACATGAGGTAGACGGTATTATATCTATCTGGTTTTTATATTCTCCACCCACTTTTTTGAGCAAAAATCGTCAGAAATAATGCATCCAGGTGGTCAGGTCCACGAGGAAGGTTCGAAATATTTGCAAATGGAATAAAGTTATGTCACCCAAATTGGAAAGCGATTCAATTAAATTAAATAAATAGAAATAAATATCTTTCCAATGCTTTAAATTAACTAGTGTTTTTGAGGGAGTTAGCAAGGGGATTGTGACTTTCGTGAGCAACCATTCTGCCGGCAGCTGACATTTATCCATTAGAATTACGATTTTTCTATCATCATCTACGTAGTTTGATAGAAATTTTGCATTAGCAACTTCCTAGAACTCATACTATGTATACAATTCTATTGAATTCATCCATTGCTTTTAAAGTTGTGGGAATTTGCTTTCAAACAATGATTTCTGAATCTGTAAAATGCCTGGTTCATCCTATGGTAACTATTCAAGCCACTTATGCATCCGGGAAGCGTCAAAAATGTCGCAAAATGCTTCCCTCACCAAGTGAAAAAACTCCTCTTCAAAAACGCGCCCGCTCTTTTTGCGAGGGAAAGGACGTGCCCTTCAAGACGAAGTTTTTTTCACTTGGAGAGGGAAGCATTTTGCCACGTTTTTGATACTTCCCGGATGCAAAATGATACGTTTTTTGCCACTGGATCAGGTCCCCCACTGTAATTCGCAGCATCTAACGGCCAAATTCAACGTTAGAATTTGCTGTTGAAAGCAAATGTTGGCTGATCTCCAAACATGCCCGCAGAATCTCCGTGATCCTTCTAGCTGCCCGCAACGTGGTTGCTCGCAAGTGTGAGTCCGCCGTTAGCAAGGCCACTGTAACATAAAAAGAGAAAACCGAAGCTTTGGGTGCGTACTATGCCTCTGTAGAAAACGGGTAATATCTATGTCCTAGGACAAATTGGGCGGCTAATTGTTTGCATAGCACAGTATCTTTTATGCTCCTTTAGATGATATAAGTCTCGTTGAGGAACCTGTTGACAAGTACTATCTATTTGCCGGCCTCTTTTGAGTACAAACTGTATATTTACAAGTGACTTTTATACCGTCTCACAATCGGAGAATAAAAGATTTTTGCAATCGCCCTTTTTTAAAAGCCAAATCCTTAATTGACCGGCTAGACATGCTCTTAGGTTATGCAGACTTTAAACAATATTACCCTTAATTATCCGCCGAAAACCTTTCAATCTGCAAACCAAGGCGATGAGGAATTAGGAAGTTTATTCCAACCAAAAGTTCAAAAATATTTAATGCCAATATTAAAGGTAAACATGCAAATAGACCAGTAAAGAACCATCATAATATAATTTAGACCGTCACCGGGCTGATTGCGTCTTGTTTAGCAAAACACCGTCGCCATTCCTCGCTGTTTTTAACGGATTTTCCTCTGCAAATTATATATTATATAATTATATAGCGTTTGAAAAAAGTGCACTGCCAAAACAACCCCAAATTTAATCAACATACCGCTGGTATAACTGAGAAGTTCATCGGCGAATTCCACGTCTTCCAAATCACTTTCCCTCTTGACATCGTCATAGCTGACCGGCTTCGGCTCTTTCTGGAAAATTAAGACGTAGAATTGGGGAGCATTTGTAAGAAATTCCTACAGTGGAGGAACTGATCCAGTATGAAAAAAAGTACCATTTTGCATCCGGGAAGTATCAAAAATGTGGCAAAATGCTTCCCTCTCCAAGTGAAAAAACTCACACGTCCAAAGCGCGCCCGCTCTTTTTGTGAGGAAAAGAGCGCGCCCTTCAAAATGAAGTTTTTTCAGTTGGAGAGGGAAGCATTTTGCTACAGTTTTGATGCTTCCAGGATGCAAAGTGGTACGTTTTTTGCCACGGGATCGGGTCCTTCACTGTAACAGGAGAAGTGTTCAAAGTTTGATGCTCAAATTGGGCTTCGTACAAGGCTAGCCGAAATTTTCAATGATATTTTCCAACGAGAGAGTATGTGAATTGCGGAGAGCGGTCGAAAACTTTTTTTAAAACCCTCTGCTAAGTTTGTATAAAAAAAATGATCGATTGTTGAAATTTCGCCTCCTACGAAAGAAATAAGACTGAAATTCTTTATGCCGACCCCCAGAAAAACTGTCGAGTTTTGACCAACTTTGAACTAAAGATCTCGGTTATTTCTGCAAAGCGCGATCTTAAAAATCCTAGCCAACCAAACTCACCCTTAATGTTTTAAGTTCCCCATCCTTGACTTTCATGGCGTCGCCAACAAAGTTGTTGATATCGAATTTGTCCAATTCTTCGACTGGGATGTTCAGCTGATCCCCAAGATGACGGATGAGGCTTTTTAGTTTCATCCTAAAATGATGGTCGTTACTTTTGAAACAAATTTACGGGAAAAAGAAATGTAACGCACTTTCTCCCGCCAAACCAAATATCGACCGAAGCGACGTCCTCAATTTTCCTTCCAAAGTAATGTAACTTCTTCAAAAATTCGGCCGCAATCTCAATGGCCATGGTCGTCAAGGCAAGACCGACAGTAATGTAAGCAAAGGTAAGGATCAGAAAATCGTATCTGAAAGATAAAACATCATTATTCGATGAAAAAATCTCTGCCTATTCTTGCAAAGCACACGCTAAAATTTTTAAAAATTGAACCTAAAAAACGCGTATGGCAACGCGTAGCGTATCTGCCAAATTTTGCACAAATTTGCTAATCAAGTCTCCCATTTCTTCTCAATGAAAATCTCAGCCACCCACCGTTTCGGCACAATATCCCCCAATCCAATTGTGGTCAGCGAGACAAAAGTGAAGTAAACGGCGGTGAAAAAGTTCATTTCCGGCTCATACAGACTGATGATAAACGAGCCGGTGATCAAATAAAGGCCAAAGATTACGGCCAAAGTCACGGATTCAGAGGTCCGTCGCTCCTCCTGCGAAGAATTGGAAGACTCTGACTTTGCGGTTGATTTGGAGCGTTCTGTTATATTGTTATTGGCTTCTTCAATGTCCTTTATCTGAACGGTGTCGTTTGAGGAATTAGTGGAACCGCTTGCACTCTTCTTCAGCTTTCTCCGCTGAAAAATAAACATAGAATCTCTAAAATAAATAATTATTTTCTACCATACACAGTCCAGCAAGCATAAGATTTTAACTCACAAGGGAAGTACCCCAAGTGTAACGCTCAGATTTTCTTTAAATTTTGCACACACGTCGGTCATGAACTAAGTATCAATTCCTGCAAGTTTCAGCTCGCGCTTTGAAGGAAAAGCCGAGATATTGAACGATCTTTGCCGCCGAGAGAGTACGCTAAACGCGGAGAGCGGTCAGAGAGAAAAACACTTTTTGATGATAACTTTGCTAGTTTCGTGCGGAAAAAAATGATCTTTTGTGGAAACATTACCCTCTATGGTAGAAATAGGCATGAAACTTTTCTTGCGGAAAGTCGGCAAAAAGTGTCAAATTTTCGCCAACTTTCGATCTAAAAATCTCGGTTGTTTCTGCAAAGCGCGAGCTAGGATTCACGCATATATCTTAGAAAAAATTATTCTAAATTTGTGCCAAGTTTCATCAAACTCTGAGCGTCGCACTTGAAGTACTTCATACACACGATATACATATGGTAAAACCCTCTGATTATACTGTTAAACTTACCTGAAAGCGATAGCGATCAACGTCATCTTTCAGATTCGAGATTGTTTTAACGACAAATTTCACAAACTTGTTTAGGAACATTCCAATGTCAGCGATGGTCAGCAACGCCAGAGGCACTCCAATCAGCCCATAGACCACGCAAAATGCCCTGCCGGCCGTTGTGACTGGCGCTACATTACCGTAACCTAAAGTTATAAAGAAGTTTTGTAATTTTTCTAAAAATTGATGACTAAGAATTACAAAACTGCTTTCCAAATTTGCATACCGATAGTTGTGATGACAGTGAAGGCAAAAACAACGGCGTTATGAAAGGACCAACCAACTTCTTCTTCGCCCTCATCGTTATCCGACATCACTTCAAATAAAAGTTACAGTAACCCATTTATAATAGTCACTTACAAGCCTGGAATCTCCTATACTCAATAGTTGTTGTGGGCGTTCTAGGTGTTGTGGTCGCGATTCGTTTTGTTTTATTGGGCAGATGAATGTCCGCATAGCGATAGCAATCGTCCAATGCGGTTATCGAAAGTTTGTTCAGCTCATCGGGGGTGCATCCCGCCAGAAGGAGCATGTCGTGGATCGCGTTTTGGACACATCCGCGGAGCTGGAGAAAATTTTTTTTATTTTATGTCGCCTTAAAAGTCAAAAAAATTTTCCTTAAGATCCGCGAAAAATGCAAAATTTTGAATTAAAAATGAAAGCAATTTCGAAAAAAATGCTTTCCAAAATTTTTGAAAATTTTAAAAAAATTTAAATGCCAATTTAATAACATTTCATTGAAAAGTTTTTTGTTCCAAAAAGAGGCTTAAAATGACGTCATTTTCCCGTAAATTATTGAACTTACTCCCGGTGCCAACGCACTCAATTCTGGACCCGATAGCACAATTTCCCCCGAATCTGCAGCTCGTTTCGATCGCCCAGGCGGCCCGAGATATCCATTTTCCCGATTTATCCTGTAAATATAATGATATCGTCGTATCTTTCACCTACTTTTCGATTTCCGAGTTTTCAAAGGACCGCATCACATAGGCACCAAAGAGTGTGTACGCGGCGACGGAGACCACCATAAAAACGTGGATGAACACGGGCGATGCCTGGAATTTGATGAAAAATAATTGTAAATATGGTACTTCTCAATTTTGATTTTCATTTTACTGTATTATAGTAATTCTTGGTTGGCTGAGACAAATATTTAGCAGACTTACCGCCGAAAATTTACTTCGAATTCTTCGGATTCGACCAAAGAAAAACATGGTCGTCTGACTGGAAGATGACAAAAAATAAGTTCAAAATTGTAACGCGAAAATGAAATTTGTAAAATTTAGGCTACAAAAACACAACTTTTTGCTCCAAAATCCCCGAGAAAGCACTTATGGGGACAAATTAAAAAGGGCAAATTGGGCCAGACCCTCAAGCGCTTAAACGATTCGCCTTGGAAAACGCCGGAAGCGCCTTTTCTTCAGCGTTTGGACCTTGAATAAACACCCTTCGAGCAGCCTTCTTTTAACAACAAAAGTAGGTCTGTCAAAACATGGAAATCTCAAAGAAATTATTTTTGGGAAATCATTTACTTGCGGTATGTCAAAACAAGGCAAATTTGACTCGAGTTTTCAAAATAAATTCTCATGAAATTCGGTTAGTTTCGAACGTTTTCGAATAAATCTAATAAGCAAACCGGGCCCACTCCTTGAGTAATTTGTCTTTTCGAGGCCATCCAAAAAAATTGAATAGAAAAATCTCAATTTTTTTAAAAATTCCAGGGTAAAATACAGATTTTTTCTAACGAAAAAGCAAAAATGCCCCAGGGGAGTGACTAAAAATGCACGGTAGAAAGTTTAGGATGTTTCAAAAATAATCTTAGATCCTCTTGGCGATAAAAAACATGTTCATCATGGGGATGACAGATGAAAAAGTGTTCTTTTTTGAAATTCAACGGGAAAATTGAGGATTTCTGGCAAACATTTTACAAAATATTTTTTTTTCACACATTTATGTCACTGTTTTTCCACTTCAATTTCTTAAATTTCAAAATTTATAAAACCGCACAGTGCAAAAATTTTTTCGAGTGACCGCACTGTGCAAAAGAAAATTTTTTTTTGCACAGTGCGGGAAAACCGAAAATATTTGCACAGTGCGGAAGGCAAGAAACTCAAAATTTCTCAAATTTCGTCAAATTTCCGATGGAATTCAAGAATAAGCAATAAAAATTGCATAGCCTAAGGGCAAAATCTCTTGGATTTGAGCCAAAATTGTGTTCCTTTCCCTCCAAATATCGTTTTAGACACTAAACACTCATTTTTTATTTATTGGCCTAGGGAAATCGCTCCGAAAAACAGAAACCTTATAAAAACGATGGCCAAAGAACTCGCATCTGGCCAAAAAACAAAGTCATAAGTCTTTGCAGCCCCATAAATTACCTTTTCTTTGGAACTTTTTGGGTTTATTTACTAATTGGGTTTGCAAAAAAATGTGATTTTCATTAAAAGAACGAGTAACAAAAAGTGAGCCGGTACTCAAAAAGAGGCTGCTTGAGACAGTTGCAAGAGGTTTTATTACCTCAGGGTCTTTGTTTTGGATGAATTGAGATTAATGGAGATGACGTGTGGAGTGAAAAAACACAAAACTTCATGAAATACTGCACCTAGAGCATGTCCGGGTCACCAATAATGAAAAAAATTATACCCTAGTACCTATCTACTTGCCTAAAAAAATTTTCAAAAACGCACAGTGCAAAAAAAGGAACGAAAAATTTCAATCTTCATGCACTGTGCGAATATGGGCTCGCTCTCTCCAATTTTTTCGCACTGTGCAGTTTTGTCGCGATTTTTCGAATTCTCAAATTGTCGCACGGTGCGAAAAAATTGCTTCCTCTTTCGAACTTTTTCTGCACTGTGCAAAAAATAAAACCGAAAAAAAATCTCCGTGAAAACTATAAAAAATTTTTCGGACTTTTTGAAAATAATAATCAAGACCAACAATAAGTTTACTAAAAATTATTTTTTTTTAAAGTTTTTTTTATTTCTCACCTCATCTGGCTGTAATTTTTGTAGAATCATTGTAAAACAACACTTTTTAGTAGTAAATAGTAGTCTCAAAGAGCAGTTTAGGCAGCAGTAAATCGTTAAGCGAACCCTTAGTGTCTACTTTCCGAAATGCCGATAAGTTTTTGGAGGTTTATGAATAATTCGCGGACACTCAAACTCAGGGAACGTCGTGAAATTTGAGAAAAGGCAAACATAAGAGGCGGAAATGTGATGTGATCGGCAGAAAATTGTAGAAATTATGATGACAATTGTAGTGTTATCCCGGTAAAAATCGAAAAAATTTTTTTAATTACGCAGGAAGTGAAAAATCAAAAACACAAAAGAAAAAAATTTTCTCACGGATTTTGATGGAGCTTGAAATTAATTCAGAATTAAATTTTCAAATGCCTATTCGAGATGTGAAATTTTGAGCCCGCGCTTTGCAAAAAATTCGACATTTTTTATGTCGAAAATTGAAAAATGTCCAAAAATTTTTTTATTCTTTTTTCATTATGCAAGTTTAGCAGTGAATTTATAACGCCTTGTCTACTGTTTCTACAAAAACACAAATTTTTCGCCTCAAATTCGCGTTTTTTCTCTCAACCGTCTCTTCATATTTTCAGTCTTTCGCCAAAAAATTTTTTTGAGTATCTCGGCTCTCCGTTTACAGATCGAACTAAAATTTTAGGAAGCCGAAATACAGCTTAGGTAAAGTAGTTCTGCGGGGCTAAGGTAGTACAGCCCCCCAGTCCAGTTTAGCCCCCCATAACCCAGTACAACCCCCCTCGTCCATTCTGAACCCCAAAATTTATTTCAAAGAATTAATCCAAGCTGTATGGTCCAGCACAAGTCCCCTACGTTTTAGATCAAGCCGCTTACGTTTTAGATCAAGCCCCCTCCGTTTTAGATCAAGCCTCCTACGTTTCATGTTAAGCCCCCTACGTCTTAGATCAAACCCCCAACGTAGTAGATCAAACCCCCACTTACATTTTTTGTATTATTCTAATTTGTTCATTATGTGGGGTGTGAAACGGGCAAAACAGTGGGGGTTTGAACTACCTTTCGTGGGGGGCTGAACTACCGAAGCCCCAGTTCTGCAAAATTTCAAGAAAATTGCTGAGCTTTGAGAAATAAATCAATGAAAATTTGACATTTTTTGAAAAAAAAAATTAGTTTTTGAAAATCTTAAGCCGCTTACCTTGCTGCAACTCAGCTTGAAAGTGACGGATTTGGCCATTTTCTTTCCGCTGGACAAGCTGAAAACGAAAAATAAGTTATAAATTCTCTAAAATACGCAAAAATTGATTACTTACAAAATGTGAAATTCCATTGTAAAAATTTAAGACAGCTATTTTCCGAAAGAAAATGATAATTTTCTTCGAAATTTTTTGTTTGTTATGAGTAATCAGGTCAAAAACTATTTAAAAAGTGTTGAAAAGACAGTGTTTTGTAAATATTACGAGGAAACTCTCGAGCTATGAGGTCAGCCTCCTGCAGTTACGTCAGAAACCTCAAGTCCCGCTAAATTTAAAACTTCAAGCGGGGGTGGAATCTTGCCTGAAGCATTTTCGATAAGAAAAAGTAAAGAGTACAAAAACGAGCTATTAATCTGAGAAAAAAGTAAAAATAACTAATTTAAAGAGAAAACACAAGCAAAAAGTGGTAAATTCCCTGAGGCAATGTACCCCAAAAACCTTTGAATAATAATTACTCTAAGGGCAAACATGTGGCCTTTATCTTCCAGCCTTTCCCCGGCCCTCGGCCAATCCATCTTGGGCCAAGAAGGCGGCCGAAAAGGTCAATTTCATTGGCCAATTTTTCAAAAATTTTTTCATTTTTGATTTCGACCCCCAATTTCCTTAATTTCGGGTATTGGCTACAAAAAAAACGGGGCCGCCGGCATCGCCGAAGGAATATGCATGGGCTTTTAATTGCGGCTCGTAAAATGTCAGCGTTTCCCGGCAAATGCCTTCAGGGGATAAATGTTTCCATTTTTCAGGTTGGCCAAGTTCCAAGAACAACTACGATGACGTCATTGGGGTGAAAGGCTGCAGAAAATGGGTGGAAATTGGGTGCAAAGAGTAGGGTGAACAAGGGAAGTGGCCCAAGTGTGGCGCTAAGATTTTTTTCTAATTTTACACTCACATTGGGCCACAAATCAGTTCTTGGCAGTTTTTATTTAGCCTCTGTAGAACACCCTAGGTACTAGTCCTTCCGGAAAGTCGCCGGACGGAAATCGGCGACATGCACTCTGCGAAATCGAAAGTTCACTTTGCACTGTGCAATTTTTGGCTTTTTGCACTGTGCAATAAGCTTTTTCGAGCTGTCGCTCGCACCCTGAGTTTTTTCGCACAGTGCATGTCGCCAATTTCCGTCCGGCGACTTTCCGGAAGGACTAGTACTAGTCGGGACAAAAAGTCCTGATAATTTTGCACTGTGCGGATTTTTCTCCGTTTCTGTCGCACTCTGAAAAAACGATTTGTCGCTCCGAAAAAGTGGGAATCGCGCGCGACGTAAGGCAAAAACAAACAAAATGCACTGTGCAAATGCACTTTTCGGGTCAAATGCACCGTGCAAAACACCTTTTTTCGCGATTTTCGCAGCGACGGCCCAAAACGTTCAAATCCGCACAGTGCAAAATTATCAGGACTTTTTGTCCCGACTAGTATTCAACAACCTTTGCCGACTTGAGAGTGCCGACTATGCGGAGAGCGGGCACAGAAAAAACTTTTTTTGGTTCTAAATTTCACACTTTGGGTGGGAAAATTTTATTTTTGAAGGAAACGTAGCTTTGTCTGAAGAAATATAGACCTTATTTTGCATGCATGTTAAAATATTACTTTCATAAAGTGTATGGACACCGGCAAAAAGCCCACTTGGACCGTGCATTTCAATGTTTTTTGGTCTTCACAATGTGAATTGAACGGCAAGAGTTTATAAGTGCAAACAGCTTTTTTTTCGGCCGTTCAAAGCGCGATCTACATAAAAATCTCAAAACAAAAAGTTTAATTTGTGAAAAGCCTTCTCAGAATCTGAATTTTTGCACTTAGAACACTTTCCTTCTTCTAAACCAACGACTTACTTTCTGTTAAGCATCACTTTGATACCCATTCTTACAGCCTAGTCAGTGCTCTACTGATGCCACTCCTTGCGATTGAAGAGTAAAAGATTAAGACTTCCTCTAATTGGTCATCAGTGAAGTGGCCACACAAATAACGTAATTGAATCGTACTTGTGTGTTTTGCATTATACAAATGCAAATAAAAGATGACATTTCCAATTCGGGAGGGGGGATTTACTGCAAAAGTGATGTGAAAAAAGGAAAGTGTGTGCTTCTTGCTTCTTACTGAACGCATCGTATTTTTTTGTGTAGGTTTGCACAGCAAGAGCGGAAAAACAATACAGCGGATTCTCAATGTGAAGCCGACTTTTACACGATTTTTTTAGACTTATGGCGTTGTCAGTTGATTCTGTGTGCTGGTTGACAAATAAAGCGGGTTTTTATTTTTACATTTTTTTATGAGAAGAGTATGGAATCACAAAGCTATTTTATTTTGTCGACATCAAATTTTACATTACAAACTTGACGTCAGAGCCGCCGATCTTTGGTGATCGTTCTCTTTCCACTTCATTTTACCAGTACGGTTCTTTTGTCTCCTTCACACGCCGTGCCCACGGCGCTGGGACCGTATTGGTTTGAGGGAGAGACATCTTTTAGCATAGCTATTATTGTAAGCACTCATATCTTGCTGGTGTTCTATTGAACATATTTCATAAGACCGAGGACTACCTGCTTTACGATTTCTCTCCTGCTCTTTCTTTTCTGGCTACAAGAGAATTAAAAATGCGCCCTTTGGTCCCTGTGGAAATGGGACATTCCTGAAATCGCCGTGGAGTCTCGCGCCTTCACACTGCCTGTCCTTAATTTTGCACCGTAAACGGTCGTTGAAATCGCCTGGATGTTAATTTGAAACCATTAGCATTAACCCGTTTTTTGAAGGTTGTCGAAATGTTGGGGCCACATTCATTGGTGTATTTGCAGAAGAGAAAAAAAACGGTATTATTTATTAATTGCTTTCTTTTTAAAAATTTCCAAAACATTCGTGACAGATGGTGAATAAGACGGGAAGACACGTATATAAAACTGCTCTCTTAGCTCACTTATAAATTGAAAATGAACATTTTATTCACAGACTAACCGACTGGAACCGTGAAAAGACCGAAGCCCTGGACTGGGCATGATTATTTGTTCCAGGATCACTATCGGGGATCCGCGAGACGGTGGGATGATCCCGAACCCCCTCAAAGATCGGCCCAATCCTCCTGGGTCTTACCCTGAGGCGCTGGAGTATTCTCTTAGCGTATATTCGATAAGGCCGGATCATGACGAGGATAATAAGACACGTGAAGAAGGTATGAGGCCATAAAACAATGGAGCAGATAATCGAAATTGAAGGCTTTTGGAGGGAGTCGGACAAGACCCCGGCCACAACGCCGGGAGTCGAAACGAAGACTGTGTGAGCGACCGCTTGCGCAACAAGGGCATAGAACAGCATCCAATGGGTGCGCAGAGTGCTGGCCGAGGACTTAGATGCCTTGATGTTGTAAAACATTACGAGTAGAGTGATGCCAGTGATGGCCATAAACCCGACTCCGGAGTAAATCAGATGACTTGAAACGGTGTGTTCGGGGAAACAAAGGACAATGTGCTCGTTGGAGATTTGGGCAGGAGCAGGGTCGGATTGGGTGAGATTGCGGAGACGGGTCTCCAAGATGACATCGGTGTCGGCAATTCGCACCTGAAAGAATACTAGAGAACACTCTCTGGAACCGCTTGAAGTACGAGGCTAAGATAGGCCTAAATTGAAATTAAAATTTGCAAAAAATAAGACCCATAGTTCCTATCTTGCGCTTTGCAGAAACCATGAGATTTTAGTCGGAAAGTAGGCGAGAACTTTTTGCGAACTTCTGCATGAAAAATTTATGGCTTATACGGCACTTTTTTAATAATAAAAAATTTTTTTCGCGCTAAATTGGCAGGAGTCCAGCCAAACCCAGTATTTTTGCCCTCTGGCCACAAATATCGTTGACTATCTTGGTTGCCCATGCGTTTTTCTGGAACTCTCTCCGTATAATTTTTGTGTTCTCACTGCAAAACACAAAGGGCTATAACCTCACCATAAACAGCAAGACATTCACGACAATCATGACATGAAACAAGAGCAAAATCTTCCACGTCGCCACGTTGTGGATATCCACGTAAAACCTTGATTCCGGATGAATCGACGCGATAAAACGAATCATGAAGAGCCCAACTTCAGACGCGGTTCGTGCCAAAGAGACTCCATACGAAAGGAATAAAAGGATGAGGGCTGCCAGATGATCGAAGTTGGAGACGAATCCCAAGAAAACATAGCAACCATTACTGCCGAGGGACACATTGTCGCGTGCGATTGAGGCGACGTCACTGACTACACACCTAAGCTAATATTAGTACAGTCTGCAGTGAGCGAAGTACCATTGCATGCTTACAAATCACCTACCAAACGAGATGATTGACCAGAAAATAACTGTACTTTTTGGTGACGCTGTTTGATGCTAAAGACAAAGTAAATTAGCTTCGATTTGATGACAATAACCAACCTCTGAGTACCACAAATATTGTAAAAAACAGAGTGACAAGATTAAAAGTAACAATAGAATACGAGAAGACGATAAAGAAATCGACCAAGAATTTGTGGGGCCAGATGAAAGTAGGGGTGTAATTAGCCTCCATTAGAAATGGAAGGCTCTTAAAAGAGAGTTTTTTACAAATGGAAGGATGGCCCGGACATTTCGAAAAAACGACCGACCCAGAATCTTTTGATATTTTGCATAGTTGATGTACTATGATAGCTGAACGTCAGCACGAATTTTTAGTTTCGGAAATTACCGTATACGGGGGTTACGGTAGGTACAATTTTTAGAAAGATTGGGTTCGTATGTAAAAACCTTAAGGAGCAAAGGCACAAAACCTCGCCGTTTTACGTTTTTGACCATGGGGAACATTTTCATAATTGACAACTTTGCCGTAGGATGTTGCCTTCGACTACTTTGAAAAATACCAAGGTACCATATTGAATGTAACTTTTTTGCAGAGAACTTGTCTCAACTTTTGAAACCTCTCAAAAATACGTTGACATGTATGGAACAACATATCAAAAATTTGGAAAAATAAAAGGGGGGGGGGGTTTTGGAGTTACGGTACTTTGAATGTTGCCGGTACGGTATATCAAAAAATTATTTTTTTCAAAATCGGTGTAGAAGACCCGCAAAAATTGCCAAAACACGTCTTCGACCATGGCGAACATTTTTGTAATTGACACTTTTTTTGTAGGATGTAGTCTTCGCCTACTTCGAAAATGACCCAGATACCATGTGTAATGTAACTCTTCGGCATTCTACTTGTCTCAACTTTTGAAACCTCTCAAAAATACGTTGACACGTATGGAACAACATATCAAAAATTTAGAAAAATAAAAGGGGGGGTTTTTGAGTTACGGTACTTTGAATGTTGCCGGTACGGTATATCAAAAAATTATTTTTTTCAAAATCGGTGTAGAAGACCCGCAAAAATTGCCAAAACACGTTTTCGACCATGGCGAACATTTTTGTAATTGACACTTTTTTTGTAGGATGTAGTCTTCGCCTACTTCGAAAATGACCCAGATACCATGTGTAATGTAACTCTTCGGCATTCTACTTGTCTCAACTTTTGAAACCTCTCAAAAATACGTTGACACGTATGGAACAACATATCAAAAATTTAGAAAAATAAAAGGGGGGTTATGGAGTTACGGTACTTTGAATGTTGCCGGTACGGTATATCAAAGAATCATTTTTTTCGAAATGGGTGTAGAAGACCCGCAAACATTGCTAAAATACGTTTTCGACCATGGGGAACATTTTTGTAATTGACAGTTTTGTTCTAGGATGCAGCCTTTGACCGGTTTGAGAAATGTCAAGATACCATGTTCAATATAACTTTCCGGCATTCAACTTGTCTCAACTTTTGAAACCTTTCAAAAACACCTTGACATATGTGTAACAACATATCAAAAATTTAGGAAAATAAAAGTGGGGGTTTTGGAGTTATAGCACTTTGAATGTTGGACATACAGTACACCTCGATTTATTCTCGGCTTAACTTTACGTAGATTATTTTAAAAACAAAATGTAATGTTTTATCTATGTCGTACGACTCTCACAAACTATTTTCACAAAAAAAATCAAAAAAACTAGACCTAAGCATACTGTAACATATCGTGCGCAGATGACTGGTTACTGTAACAGCAAGATCAGTGATTTCTTAATTTTTTTGTAACAATTGACACGGTTTAGAGACGTGTGTGCCATACGACGGTGGAATCTATCAATATCGGATGTCAGCATCACAGAAAAAGTTTGGTGTACTGTATGTCCAACATTCAAAGTGCTATAACTCCAAAACCCCCCCCTTTTATTTTCCTAAATTTTTGATATGTTGTTACACATATGTCAAGGTGTTTTTAAAAGGTTTCAAAAGTTGAGACAAGTAGAATGCCGGAAAGTTATATTGAACATGGTATCTTGACATTTCTCAAACCGGTCAAAGGCTGCATCCTAGAACAAAACTGTCAATTACAAAAATGTTCCCCATGGTCGAAAACGTATTTTAGCAATGTTTGCGGGTCTTCTACACCCATTTCGAAAAAAATGATTCTTTGATATACCGTACCGGCAACATTCAAAGTACCGTAACTCCATAACCCCCCCCCCCTTTTATTTTTCTAAATTTTTGATATGTTGTTCCATACGTGTCAACGTATTTTTGAGAGGTTTCAAAAGTTGAGACAAGTAGAATGCCGAAGAGTTACATTACACATGGTATCTGGGTCATTTTCGAAGTAGGCGAAGACTACATCCTACAAAAAAAGTGTCAATTACAAAAATGTTCGCCATGGTCGAAGACGTGTTTTGGCAATTTTTGCGGGTCTTCTACACCGATTTTGAAAAAAATAATTTTTTGATATACCGTACCGGCAACATTCAAAGTACCGTAACTCCAAAACCCCCCCTTTTATTTTTCTAAATTTTTGATATATTGTTCCATACATGTCAACGTATTTTTGAGAGGTTTCAAAAGTTGAGACAAGTTCTCTGCAAAAAAGTTACATTCAATATGGTACCTTGGTATTTTTCAAAGTAGTCGAAGGCAACATCCTACGGCAAAGTTGTCAATTATGAAAATGTTCCCCATGGTCAAAAACGTAAAACGGCGAGGTTTTGTGCCGTTGCTCCTTAAGGTTTTTACATACGAACCCAATCTTTCTAAAAATTGTACCTACCGTAACCCCCGTATACGGTAATTTCCGAAACTAAAAATTCGTGCTGACGTTCAGCTATCATAGTACATCAACTATGCAAAATATCAAAAGATTCTGAGTCGGTCGTTTTTTCGAAATGTCCGGCCCTTGTTATGAGAAGCTTCAATTTGTAAAAAACTCTCTTTTAACAATTACAGTATACTATACCATCCACTCTGCATTTTTATGACGAAGGACAGCCCTCGAGCCCGTTTTTCAACAGTGTGTTCATGGAATTAAAAAAAAGTGGAATTCAAGGCCAGTACCGAACGATCCTCCACATCGCATATTCAGGCACGCATAATTATGCAAACTTGGGCTTTGTTACAACAATTAGGACGATAATAACCACAAACAGGTGATTTTACGGCGAGAATATAAATGAAAGTTTTCAAGTATTTGCACCCGGGGCACACTACAAGGATCATAACTACAGGGAGAACGCACAAAATAGGGGATCTGTTTATGGTATTCGTACAGTAGTCCTTGAGTTCCTGCCTAGTTTCATTAAAATCTGAGCACTTCTCAATTCTACAGGGTCTTTCAAGAAACGTGAAGGGCATTCGGAGGCCACAACTTTTGGCGGAGGCGGCGCAGAGACTTCTTTTTTGGAACATGTATTTTTAAGCGACCTTAACTTTTGACTATGAAATAACAAGATTTTAAAGTGCAAACTGAGGTCGCTATGACCTCTTGAAGTAGGCCACTTTTACCCCGAAAACCAGTTTTTTTCGGTTGGAAATGATCAAGTTATGGCCTCCGACTTTCTTTCAGGTTTCTTGAAAGACCCTGTAAATGTCCCTGATCCCTCCAATGCTAATAAACGCCCGACTTTCAGCTCCTTCAAGCAAAAAAAGCATTTGAAAATCAAGGAAAATAACAAATGTTTATCTGAACTCAACTTTAATTGATATTTTTAATATAAAAGTATGAACAAATCAATTCAAAAAAATAGTTAAAGTTTACAACAAACTGATCAACGAATTACTCAAAGTTACAGAAGAAATGTGACCCATATTCTCTCGATTCCCTTGTTTTACAATTTCATATACAATACATGGAAACAGAGGCCTTGTTTGTGCGGTTATTCAAATGGAAGTCCTCGGGAAACTCTATGACAACGTTAATAGAAGATTTGAAGTTTGTGATACTTCTAATTGATCCGTAAATATTCTATTTGATCCCCCAGATATCCCCATCCTTAATGCTGTACTTGTTGATCGGCAATCGCTCTTCTGGCAGCTTCAATCAAATAGTAGAGGCCATTCAATGGCTTGGCACATCGAAGGAATGGGTGTTTCAGCAACTCCGCGGCCGAGTATCGCCGATTTACATCCACTTCTAGCGCGGCGTCGATGAAGTCTCGGAAGGTCGGGGAAATTCGATCACGGCCGGGGAAGTCTGGTCGACCATTCGTTGCGATCAAATAAATCGCCTGGAAAAATAAAAATTCAATCATTATAATCCAACAAAATCTTCTCAATTGCCGTCCAGAAGCTCTTACCCTAAGGGGATTTTCATTGAGATACGGAGGTTCGCCTTCAACCATCTCGATGGCCATGATTCCCAGAGACCAGACGTCCACTTTCGGGCCGTATTGTTGTCGAGAAACCACTTCAGGAGCCTGTAATCAACAGTTAATGTGATCCTTCTTTTAAATTGAAGCATTTACGACAAAATAAAATTATACTTACCATCCAATAAGGAGTTCCAACCAGTGTTGTTCTCTTGTTCTGTTCGGCCGAGATCTGAGCGCAGAAGCCGAAATCAGCTAAAAACAATACATTACAGGAGAAAAAAATAAAAAATATTTGTTTTACACCATGTACACTATAATCTACTACAAATACCAAAGAAACCCACTCAATTTGACGGATCCATCCATTCCAAGGAGTATATTGTCACTCTTGATGTCTCGATGGATCACTCTTCTCGAATGTAGGAACTCCAATGCCTGGAGAACCTCCCTCGAGACGGCAGCGATCATTCCTTCCTCCATTTGGCATTCCGTCACCACATCCGTCAACGATCCACCAGCCAGATACTCCATCACCACCCACAAATCGTCGCCCACCAGATAACTGTCGAGATAATTCACAATGTTGGGGTGTTTGTTCTCTCTCATCACCAGGATCTCGTTGATGATCAATTCTTTCTTCGGTTGCTGACTGAGATTCATCTGTTTGATGGCGACCTCAGCGCCTGTGGTCATTTCCATTGCAGTGAACACCGATCCAGAAGCGCCGGAACCGATTTTCTGCAGTTTCTTGTACTTGTCCTCGGGGTTTCCGAGCGTAACGATCGTCTTCAGACGGCGAAGAACCTCGGCGTCGCTGATCTTGCGGCGATTCTGCCGAGTGGCGGGGGATTTGCCGAAAGCGCCGTTCTCGAGGACTGCCACATCATTCGGGGTTCGGTTCTCTTCTTCTTTCGGTTTTGTGTACTAAATAACACAAGGTTATCAAGTGTAATGTATTCACTTTTGAGCCCCAAAAATAATAAAAAATTAAATTTTCACAAAAAACTGAAGGCACAGTTTTGTAGAGAAGAAAAAGCTGTATCAGATGAATATATTCACATTGCCAAACAATAAAACCCTTCTAAAAAAAAAGAATAAAAAAACGAAGGAACTTTCTGAACAACCCAATAGACTTAACAACTCAAAAATTGCAACCACTTACAATCGATAGTGTCTTCATAGGCCTCTCAGGGATGGGCGGGGCTTCGGCATTGTCCTCGGGAATCGGGGGAGGAGCGTAATTCTGCAAGATAGACCATAAACTACCAAAAAGGTGCCAAGAAAACATAAAACTCGAAACAACTACTTACCGGCGGTTGAGAATCGCGTTTTCGGTGTTCATCGGGCAGGGAACGCGCTGAAATAGTGGAAGGATGCAGACTTGAGAGCTCTTTTGGCTTTGGCGGGGCATTCTGGCTGATGAATCGATCGAGTTCTTCTTCGCGAGAACTTCCTGAAGGAAATTTTTAATAAACCGAGCAAAAAATAGATCAACAAGGGCTGACGCAACACTCGAATTATCAAAAAGCATATTAATTTATCTCTAAACACTTAAAATCATCTAAAGTAATATAAATCACTCACTTTCGCTGCTGAGTCTCTCACTCTTGTAGCCATTGATGTTATTCAGATGCGTTTCGCCTTGACTGAACTTCCGATGCGCGCTGACCAAGTTCTGCGGGGGTTGAGGGTGAGAAGACTGTTGTTGTTTCAATTGGGTGAGGTAGGGTAATGAGCCGGTGGAATACGAAGAATGTTGAAGGCCGAAGGAGGAGAGTTGAGGGTGTTTGTAATTGGACTGACTGGCTTGGACATAATGTTGATACCCGTGGTTTGTGTGAGCAGCGCCGTGCGGGGAGAGTTGCTCTCGAACTAAAATTAGGTATCCAATTAGCTGGAAATCATTTCAGTTGGATAAAGGCTTTAAAAATAAAGAAATCCTTTAGAACTAGGAAGATTATTCTTTTTCACACATTTCCAGATCAAAACCCACAAGGTTCTGATCAATTCCAACATCAAAAATATCAGCTCTACCTAAAACACCAAGAACAATATCGAAAAAAACCTTACCGTCATAGCTCTGCATCCATTTTTGATTCTTTTGATCGTGATTTGTGTAGTATTTCAGTGCGTTTAGAACGGCTTGAGGATTCTTTTGTTGTTCGGACTTGGAAATTTGGGACTGTTGAAGTAAAAGTTCCCAATGTTTGGGCATTCCCGTGAACTCTCCAGTGTGGGGATCATAGCCAACATGAACAGTGTGCTGGAAATCGGACGGGAGGGAGATGATGGGCTTGTCCGAGACCTTCTCCTTGTCTTTCTTACCTGAAAAGAATTAAGGTAAAATAAAAACAAATTTTCAAAAAAAAAAAAAAAAAAAAAAAAAAATTGCAAAATTTTGCCTAATTTTTATCCAAAATCTCTTACTCTTTCCGCCAAAGACGGTCTTTTTCTTCGGCTTCCCATTGACGATCAGAGGTGCACTCGAGGAGGCGATTGAATGTTGATCATAATATTTCTGCTCCGGCGTTATTGGCAATGGCTTCAGGTCGAGGCCGTTCCGGATTCCGTTCACCGACGAGGCCGAGGCGTACCGCAACGGGGGCGGGGGAGGCTTTTCGTCGTAGCAATACGACATCTGGGTTGTTTTCGGTGACTAGTCGATCTACTAAAAGTCCCTGAAAATAGATAAAAAATTAGTCAAAAGAGGTGAAACCAAATTTTAAATATTACAACGATAAATATTACATCTAATAATAGAGTAATCACGATAGTTTACGGTATAAATAAAGTAAATTTTTGATTCGAAACCCCACTTTAAGTACTACAATATAATCGTAATGGTCATCCCAATATTGCTTTTGCTTTCTGTTTCGATAAATCGCGTCTTAACACAGTTTTAGCCATGACTAATACCATAAAAGAAGGCCTTCGATACATTCATAGGAAGAAAAAAGTTTGCAGAAAAAAAGTATTGTAATAACGATGAATCTCACAAAATTAATATATAAAAAATGAACTGTATTAGTGAGTAATCCCAGAAAATCCATTGCACTTTAATTAAAAGTAATAAGTCACCCAATTCACTACAATATACACTAATATTTATATATTTTAGACAATTATTCACAAAAATAATGTAAAATATCGAAACCTCAGTAAAACCCGGACTTGTTTTCGACTGAAATTCAGCTTTTGTGAGAATTAGAGGGTCTTTCAGCTCATTTCTCACCTCTTCCCTCAATCGTCCATCATTTTGACTCCTCTCTTCAGAGCCAATTTGATAAAAACCGGCGCTAAGTAAGCAAAATATTTTTATGAAAGTGATAAATAGCCCTGCCCTCAACAAAACCGGCAAGATTTTTGATGGCAAATACTCGATTCGCACACTTGAAATGGCCCACATTGTCCGATTCTTTGTTTCCCATTAAATCTGCATACATCTGTTACCCCGAAAACATGGGCCTACTGTTCGGAAAGGGTCGCAAAGGGCGTAAATTGGGGGGAAAACTCTTCCACAGGCCTCGGAATTACCGAAACAATACGGAATTTCGATGACAAAAGGGCGGAATCACTTCCATTCGATGAAAGTAATGTCCGATTTCGGGGGGAAGATGACTAAAATCACATCCAAAACTGCCCAAAATTAGATCTACCGTTACGTACAGTGGGAGACCTGTTCCAGTAGCAAAAAACGCACCATTTAGCATCCGGGAAGCATCAAAAATGTGGCAAAATCCTTCCCTCTCCAAGTGAAAAAACGATTTCAACAGCGCGCCCACTTTTTTGTGAGGGAAAGGGCGCGCCCTTCAAAACAAAGTTTTTTCACTTGGAGAGGGAAGCATTTGGCCACATTTTTGATACTTCCCGGATGCAAAATGGTACGTTTTTTTGCCACTGGATCCGGTCCCCCACTGTAGAAATCACTTCGAGCTGACTTTGGCCTAATTTAGTCGGTTAGAAGGCTGATTTCAACAAAAAATTGCTCTTTAGGTTTGTCAGAACCTACCACAAATATGGGAATTGATATGGGAGGGCTCGTAAAGTGAGTCATAAACACACAAAGTTTACAACGTCAACTGTTTTGGGGCGAGTGCAGCCGATTAGCAGGTTGTTGACATAACAAACCTATTAGTTTCGAGGAAAGGTACCCAAAGAGCAGAGGGATTACTTCCGAATTCAAGAACTTGATCCACAAACACATGCAAATTTCCCATCAAGAAACGGATTCGGAAAGAAAAGTAACGAACAAAAGACGAGATCCGACTTATTCAGGGTGAAAAGTGGTCGGAGGGAAAGGGGAGAAGACGAAAAAAAAACACTTTTCCAAATAAATTCGAGCTAATTTCGAGGATTCGGTTCCTTCAGGGACTTTTGTACGGAACCGGGGAACAACAAATTGTCTTGTAATAAACCAATCATCAAATAATTTGGGAGTGGGAACGCTCAAAACACGGAATATCGTCCATTCAGAAGGCTCGTAAGAACATGGTAAGGGGGACCCAAAGAAAAAAATTTTTTTGATGACTTGAAAATACTGATACTCTAATTCAAACTACCATAGAAATTCTTAAATTCAACAATCTGCCTTTTTTCAAACAGCTCATCTAATCAAATCACGTCCCAATTCTTCCAGACTACACTCAAAACGGGCTGCAAAAAAATCAGCTGACCATTCAAAGCCATGTTGATTTGAACTGCGTCACGTTGAGAACCCACAAAAATGATGAAGAATTCGTCGATAAAAAGCGTTTTGTTTTCCGTTTTTTCGCAAAACAAGGGCCGTCTCCCACCGTCAAGAGTTCCCTTTCACATCTCGAGATGTGGAAAACAACTCAAAACAATCAAAGTTTAACTACCCAACCCTTCGTTAAACATTCCTTTCGCAGCTCCAAGACATCAAATTAACATTCCCATTTTTACATTGTAAACGAGACTGGCGATTTTTTTTGGGTGTTTTCGCTGCCTTTTCCTTCGGATTTGTCAATCTCCGTTCCGCCATTTGCAGTCGAGATTTTCGCAACGAAATCGAAAGAAAAAGATGATGGAGATCGTAGGAAGGGATGCGGGGAGAAGTCAGAACGAAAATCGGATGGATCATACGACGGGGAAAGGGAGGGAGATCAAGTCGCGGGGACGGGATTTTTCAAGGCTGACCGAGAAATCGACTAAAAATTTTGATGCAACAAACACTAGTACTGTCTGCGGCCTCTAATGCGCAGGCCTACAACTCAAAACCGGCTCGTATTTTACTAATTCCATCTCTTTCCTACTAAATAAACGACGATCTATGTCAAAATCGCCAAAAAATTTCATCAAACCCTCATAACTTCCCAATTTTTTTTTTGTAAAACTAAAAACCAATAATCAAAATAGCTATCCTTCACAACAGATCAGGATTACACACCATAAACCACACTTTTCTCATTGATCAGGACATGAATCCAATATTTTATGAAGACTTTTTTTACTCAAAAAAACTAATGTTTACCGTTCCCTTTGCGAAAACCCCATAATCTGATTACCAAAACCCAAAATAAACAAAAAATGTTTACAAAAACCCGCAAATAGTTTCGCCATGAGCCAAAAATCATCACAAAGGCCTTAGGAAGACCATGAATGCTCAAAATTAGAGAGAAAGGGGGTAAAATTAAGCCAGCATTTACTTTTTCCGGATTTCCCAAGCCCTCAACTTTTCAGAAATTCCAATTACTTTTCAACTAGTCGTAAAAATATTTCGAGAAAAAACCTTTACCTTTTTTCTTGAGGATTATTTCCTCTTTTTTCATTTGCTTTGACCTCAACTAAACCCATAAATCCCATGGTAATAACCGGTCTCGATGGGGTTATTGAAAAGCGACCGTTGGGAAATCATGAACAGAGAAAATTTGCTACTCTCAATTCACATCATTAAAATTCAAATTGAAAAGCGAGGAAACTGAAGGAAATTCCGTTCCACCAGACAAAATATATTCATTAGATTCAACCAACTACCATTATTTTTTATATTTTTGTTACAAATTTACAAGGTCGTGTTTACAAATACAGCTCAAACTCTCTAAAATACGAGCTTCATCGCTTTAAACCGCAAATCCGATTGTCAAAAATGAGTTCATAACAAGCAAAGAGTGACTGCACAGTAAAGAGTAGTCTGTGATGCGCAAAAACAACCCAAATTTGAGGGAAAGACAATTTCTACGACATTTTCAGCCATTCTACGATATAAAACACCCCTTTCGGCAATTAAAACTACGAAAAAGTTCTCCAAAACACTCTGGAAACCGTAAAAATTATTCTAAAACAATATCGGCTCGTCTAATTGCGGTCTATATAAAGTCCGCCTTGAAAGGGAGAACATGGTTTGGAACGAGAAAAAAGAGCGGGGGTACCCTGCGCGTTTCCTCGCACTCTACCGTTTTGTCCCAGCTCTCCGCCCAGCGCGCGTTCTCTCCACTAAATATTCGCCTCGTGTATTTATTCGACGGATATTTCAAAGGTATATGGGGGAATGGTAAGGAAGACAGGAGCGGCGGGCGGAAGAAAGGGGGCCGATCTGACCTTAATTAGATTTGTTTTACAAATTTTCGAAACCTTGAGGGCAGCGGGAGTAAATGTATTTTGAGACATCAAGCCGTATGTTTTGGTCTAATTTGTGACTTCACAACGGTTTTCCGGAGCAAAAAATTTCCGAAATATGCTGTATTTATTTCTCGAACCTCTAGATTTACCTTCTACGGTGAAGGTCCTGATCCAATGGCAAAAAAAGTACCATTTTGCATCCGGCAAGTATCAAAAAATGTAGCAGAATGCCTCCCATTCCAAGTGAAAAAAACTCGTTTTGAAGGGCGCGCTGTTTCCCCCACAAAAAGAGCTTTTTTCACTTGGAGATTGGAGGTATTTTGCTACATTTTTTGATCCTTCCCGGATGCAAAATGGTACACTTTTTTTGTCACTCGATCAGGTCCCCTTGTGGATAAAATCCACACTGTAGGTGGATTTTATCGAGAAAAAACTTGGTTCGAAATAAAATCTACCAAAAAAAATCCCTCACGACCAGATATTCAAAGTAAAATTCAATATCGAAAGCACCCTCCTCATTCAATTGCAGCCAAAATCAAAGCTGTCCTGACATCACACGACCATAAACCTGTGGATTCAACCGCGTTTTCCACACTAATTGCCCTAATCGTCGGCTCGATGGCTAATCAAGCAAACGAAACGGGGGAGATTCCAGTTCAATTAAAGGCGGAATCAGAAACCGAGACGGTTTCGTGTCTTCCACATTTTTTGCATTCTTTTGATGGTCATCCCCCAAATGTCAGTCGACATGGGGAAATTCCCCAAGCCCTCGGATCGGAATTCTTTTTTTTATCATCGGGGAGAAAAAACGGTCCGAATTTCAGTTTCAATTCGGTTCATTCCGTCCATATGAACATGAATACAAACCTCTTTCAAGACTCGCAATTCAGTAGAATTGCAATATCATTTTCACATCAAAATCGTCCAAAATTCCATTTACATAAGCACCCTTTCATCCAAATGATGCATTGCCCCCATTTAGAACACTTTTTATAAGCGTTAATGGAACGGAAATTAATAAATTTCCCGAAAAAGGCGGTGTTAGGAAGACGGGCTTATCAATTCCCACAAATCTTCCATTCGAATTTAAATAGAAATGGAAAACTTGGAGATCACGGCGATAAAAACGCGGCCTGACACCCACATTGCCCACACGGAACATCTACGTCATAAAAAAAAACATTTTCTGATAATTGTTTGGTCCGGTGTAAGATCGACTCGGATGAAGTGAAAACAAAGTCCAGGGCCGAATTTATATTATAAACAGAGCTCCTTGCAAACTATTTCTCAATTTTTTCTCTTCATTTTATCCCGTCTATTCGATCCGCACCTTCCGTTTTTCGAATAAAATTCTCTCCCGTGGACGAGAAAAGAACATGATATACATGCATATTCTCGTTCCAAATTTTATCTAGTTCTATCGTGAGGTGAACTATACGATTACACGCCTTAAATCAGACTCAATTTTTACAATAAAAATTTTTTTAAAAGTAACTCAATTTTTACAATTAAAAATTTTTTTAAAGTAATCCCAAAGGATAACTAACCTCCTGAACGGACGATTTAAAGAGCGAGTGAAACGTGGGGGATAAATGACAAACAAACAGAGAACTTAATCGAGTATAAAAACTTTTGGATTTCGAAAACATCAGAATTCGATATCCCGACGTCACTATTGTAAAATAAACAATAGATTGATCGTTTGGAAACGACGGGAGCTTATCACCGACATCATCAGCTGACCGAGTGGAACATAAAACGAACTATTCCTGGGGGCTGAGTCATAACAGCGATAATATTCTTGTTAATAAAGGTCTAGTATAATATCGGTGGTCAAAACAACTCATCCCGATATCCAATCCCTTCGGATTTCAGTTAGTTTTTCGTTGCAAAGCCGAGAAAAAAAGTGAAAATTGAGATCGAGTCAAGAAACGAATGGAGGGAAGGATGGTCACTTCCCGTCCGAACATTCCTCTTTTTCGCAAATGAGAAAAAATCGCGGATCTGAGCTCGGATTTCGCAAAGTCCAGGGAAATTCGATCGGAATGGCAGCACTACTATTTTGACAATCTTAGCTTACAATAACATCACTGGAAACGCCTCAAACCTTTACAAAATTACTACTTTCTTCTCGAGCTCTCCTATAACCGAACCCCTAAACTCAAGACCCCAGTTCCTCTTTCCAGGACTCGAGATCCAACCTTATGAACACAATGCCCTCAAGCAATCGCATGAGAACCAAGAAACAACCCAAGAAATGCCACACGTCATGTCATCCATCTCTCCGACAAACATAACGAACAAGGCGCACCTGGCATTCGATCAATATAACACGTAGATCTGGAGGGAAACCAAGGGCAAAAGTTTTCATAACTTCTGAGAGAGTCCGAGATAAGAGTGATGCTAAAACCTGCCGCGTTCCAGCGTTCCATTGCCACACAAGGGGCACTTTATCAGAAAAAACGGCCAAACAAAGAACCGAACACTAAAACAATATAAAAACCAAGAGTTTGGTTGGAGATAAGTCAGAGATTGACTTGTAATGTTGTAGAGCACACCAGTATGGACTCTGGACTCGAAATAAAAGTTACAGAGAAAGAGAAGACAAGATATAAAAGGATTTTTAGAAATGCGATGACAAATGGAGAACAAACAGATAAAATATGGCAATCTCTCAGTTTAAACTGTATTCTACAGTCTCCAGAAGTCACCAGAGACCAGCAGAGAGCGACTACTCTCTTCCTTAGAAGTGACATACGAGGTTCTGCTCCTCCGGAGCCTCATACGTCACTCTGTTTATCCTTCCCTAACCTTTTGACAGCCGATTTAAAAGGTTAGGGAAGGATAAATTTAAACGATCGGCCTTTAAATCCGTCCAATTAACGACACCACGACATTCACCTGAGGTCGGTGCGCCTGTTATCTTTGTCATAAATCTCTGGGAGGCCCATTGGCCTCTTTAAAACCGCATTCAATTTGGGGGAAACGGGAAGAGCGGGGATATCAATTCGAAGGTGGGCACGAAAGGAGATAAAGGGAGCTAGCTGTTCGGGAAGGGTTTACGAAAATATCAAACAACCTGACGGAGGTCGTTTTCGGAGCGGAAATGGAAGGCAAGCATTAGAAAAGTGGCTGATATTATACTAGACAGGCCTCCGATTGCTAATCATACCAAAAAATGCAATACCTCTAAAATACCACAACAAAATATTCAGCAGCCAAATTTAAAATCAAAAAAAAACATTTAAATCAGCCGAAAACCCCTTAAAAGCAACAAAAATATCAAAAAAGGTGTACCAACCACTAAAACAACATCGACATAACATAAAATCGGTATAGATCTGCATTTATTGAACAAAAAACAAATAACAAAATTCACCCAAGGATCCAAAAATTAAAATTTCGGATCAAGGGTCTCAATTATAACAACCTCGAAAACAAATCTACTCTCCATCCAATTGTTTCTTTGCAAATTCGAATAATTTTTTGTTTTCGCTCTTCAATTTTTCATTTTCCTTCAAAATCTTTTCCATTTCTGCTTGTAATGCGGTAAATTCAGCCAAAGAATGGGCCTTCTCACTCGCTGTCGCTTCTTCTTCCACTTCTATTATATCCGGTTCTTCTGGGTTTTGTCTTCTCTTCTTGGTTAATCTTCTTCTGGCTGATTTTGAGAGAGTTCTCAACGGGACAAACGATTCTGTGGATTTTCTCTTGGTCGGAGGCCTTAGGACTTTCTTCTCAGGGGAAGAACTTGTTTCTGCCTTTTCCTTTGAGTTCATCCAGTCATCCAGGGCCTAAATAATTAAATTTATATTGTTTTCAATCAATTACCTGAAACAATTCTCAAAAATAATATCAAAATATCTACTACAATATAAAAAATCTTACTTGGACCTGTTTATTCCACCTTTCATCGTCTCCAAAGTGCAAGGTAATCCTTGCACTCTCAGCTCTACTCAATTCTCTGTGCAATGGCTTCACACTTGTCGTATCCACAACATAATCCGTCTCGGTAACTGATCTGAAGCCAGGAACGAACCTCAAAGTAGTAATCGGACCGGCTTTTTGAATCTTGAACATTGTCTGAAGATTATACGAGTCCCAAATGTATACAACACCATCCGCGTCTCCACTTGCACCTTTACATTCATCTGTATTTAGAGCAATTCGGAGGATGGGAGAAGGGTGTTTGTCGACGATCTGAAGTGAATTATCTTCTTCGTCAGTTCCCTGGGCTCGAAGGAAATCATTTTCGGCAATGTTGAACCTCTAAAATTAAATCTTATAGTACTTCTGACAAACCGAAAATAAAAATTATATTATCCATCACCTAAATTACAAAAAAATTAGTCGAAAAAACCTTACCGCAGCTTCTGTTGAAATAGAAATCAATTTTCCACTCTCGGATCCCAAGAATATCCTCAGTTCCGTCGCATTTAAAAAGCCAGAAGTCAATTTTTCATCGACATTCATTTTGATGACAGGGATTTCTTCCCTAATACTCCATAGTACCATGGAATGATCTGAAGAGACTGTCAATAGTCTTGAAGAGTCCAATGGGCCAAAACAGAGATCCGTCACAGGAAGTCGATGATATCTGAGGGTCTTGTAGGGAGTAGTATCTTCAGAGAGGACGCCGCGGACGATTAAACTAAATTTCAAATAACAATTATAGCAAAAGAACTTACTCTATCGTTTTGAAGATGAACACAGCACCGTCTTCAATCGAAGGAACAGCCATCAATTTGCCATCTGGAGAGAGAACAATCCGATTGAACTGGGCCATGGAATTTGAGGAAACCTTGATCATCTCGCCCGTTTTGATCTGAAAAAATCGCAGTTAGAATTTCGGAATGCAATGACAATACGGCTCATGAAGTTTTGACTTTATCTAACTTTCATATTTCGGAGATTAAAGTCGATCTTCATCATAAAAAATCTAAAAATTCGAAACAAAACAAGAAAACAAAAAACATACGTTAAAAGTAAATATTTTGTGCTGCAATGCCAAGTAGACGAAAGTTCCAGTCGAATCAACGGCGCAACTATCTACCGGGGAATTGACGAAACAGCTAATGGGCTGAAATTTTGCAGCGGAAACGATGGCCAACAAATTCTGAGAGGCCGATCCAACCAACATCACATCGCCTTTTCGCCCAACCGGTTCAGCGAATTTGACCGCTGATCCACGTAGTTCATTGCCCTTGTGGGACCATAGAGCATGGCCAGTGGAGGGATCAATGTATGAAGTGGAATACGGACTTTCACTTTGTGCAGACAATAGAAGGAACTAAAATAATATAAATAACTAAAAAATCCATGATAATGTTTGAAAATATAGTTAGAAATGATTGACAAGGAAGCTCTCTGATAACATCACAGCATTTCTTACCTAAATTCAACAAGAAAAAAATAGTTTCTTACCTCTGGCTTAGAAGTCATGTGTAATATTTAAAAAATAACAACAAAATCAACAAAAAGGTATCAATAACAACGTAAATTCAAGGAAACAATCGTTTTTGTCCAAGATCCCACCAAAAATAATGTCGTGGCATTCCGTTTTAAATTTCGCAAAATCGCCGGGATTTTTGAAAAGCGCAAGACTTGACTCATTTTGAGCAACTCTTGACGCAGAATAAAAATGGAAAACAAAAATTTGGAAAGTTGAACTGATAAGAAGAAAAGTGAATCAACAATTGGAAACTTGTCGAATATTAGAATAAACAGCCAGAATGACCGACTTTGACGTGTTATTATTAGATATTGAAGGAACGACAACATCAATATCCTTTGTTAAAGTAATTTTCTTCTGTTCTTTGTGATTTTATTATAGGATGTCCTCTTTCCATATGCCAGAGATAATGTGGAGAAGTTCTTGAAAGAAAATAGCTCCTCCGATGAAGTGAAACCGGTTCTGGAAGACCTTTTGAAGGTTTCAAATGAACTGGCTGGTCAAGTTTCAGAGGTCACGAAGGTAGAGAGCATTAGTGATGTTGATAGTATTGTCAAGAACGTCAAGTATTGGATTTCCAAGGATTTGAAGGTATTTTGAAGCGATTTTTCTTGTCAGTTTGTTCGATAAATACCAATTATATTACACATGTCCCAGTGAAAATGGATCAGCTGATTTTAGGTACCTATTTTCAGCTAAAGCCACTAAAAGACCTACAGGGACTGATCTGGGTCTTTGGATACAAGAACAACGATTATAAGGCTCAGTAAGTTCTATTTCTATCTCAGTTTTGATTCATATCCATTTGATACCAAGTGTGATATAAATAATGTTTTAGTGTTTACGACGACACGCCAAGGCTATTTGAGAGAGCAAGAGAGGCCAAGATCCCAATCAACATCTACTCGTCAGGCTCAGTTTTTGCCCAGAAACTCTTATTTGGCCATACTTCCAAAGGAGATTTGAATGGATTTATAAAAGGATACTTTGACACTTCCGTTGGATCAAAAGTGGAAGCGCAAAGTTACAGGAACATTGCGAAAGAACTGGGAGTGCCAGCGGATAGAATTTTGTTCGTCACGGATGTAGATAAAGGTAAGATTTCTTATTTTTTTATATTATCCTTAACTGAGCTGTAATTTTTATGCCTAAAATTTGAAAAGTTTGATGATTTTCAGAAGCCTTTGCCGCTAAAGAAGCTGGTTTAAAGGTGCTGATCTCTGTTCGCCGTGGGAATTCTGAGCTCTCCGATGAGGCCAGAGAGAGGTTCAGTTTGATTAAGACATTCGATGAGATCGATCTTTAAAATAATATTATGTTATGGTTCTAACAGCCATATCTTTTAATACCTGTGATTTTGCAATCTTATATGCAATTTAATAAGATGATATATTAAGGTTTCACTTACAAATGACTTTGAAATACGCATTTTTTCGTTTAACTTTGGTTTTATAAGCAAAAAATGCAAAAAGTATAAATACCCATGAGCAAATAGTTTATTTAGGCGCTTAATATTATTTACAACACATAACAAGGTTTATTACTTCCTTCCAAGACTCATCAAAGCCATATATCCGAAGGGAATGCATCTGCAATCATGTGTAATATCATTGGAGAAGTCTCGGCAGCCTCCCTTGCAAATATTGAGCCCATCCGTACATCGATTCCTGACTCCATCCCATCCACAACCTTGAGGCTGAAAATCGTTGGGATAGATACGAATTTCGGCGACAACCAGAAGATTAATTATATTACACTTGCCTGGAAATTGTCCTTATCGTTTATGTATGACATTAACGACGACATTGCTTGTGCATACTGTGTTCCACCGTAGGCCGAGCCTCCCATCGGGCCCATCATTCGATTTGCTCCCATTGGACTTGCGATCATCTGATCATAATAGTCTTCCATAGGCATCATTGGACCGTATCTCGCGCCATAAGGCGGGATCATTTGAGGGAATGCCGTGGAAAGGTGTAAAATCAACAAAATGACGCTATGAAAGACTGTGGACATCTGAAAAATAAAAAACAAATCAAGATTTATATTACACATGACAAGTTAAAGGGAAAATTTAAAAAATAATTGACTGATCCACCACTAAATAAAGCTAATTATAGGAAGGAAGCTCTCTGCCCTTGAGCGCTTCCTTCTGTAAGGCTCGTCAACCTCCAGATGGATGCCATTTATAAGCGGAGCCTCTTCAGAAGGCGATCGGAATTTAAATTCTCTTCTGTTCCGGAAGTGAAGCGGAGAATCAAGAAGATGAAGTGAGAAGATCGAGGAAAGGAACCTGAACATAATACCATAACAGTAAGTCGATTGGATTTGGAGGTAAAATACGACAGGATTAAGGATTGCTGTGGATTTGGAATGGGGATTTGAGAAAGTGAAAGGATTAGGGTGCGGGAACTTGATTTTCCTGATATTGGGAGTTGTCAAAAAAAAATTTTTTTTGCAGATTTTGGGTTGAAAATTTCAGTTTTTATTGCTAATAACACACAAAGTTTTTACTCCAAACATTACAAATTTCGATGCAGAAACAAAAAAGTTATGCGCGAAATTCGTTTTTTTTTTGTCTGGCCAACTCTCCTCATTTCACACGCTCTCTTGAAAGAACACCGCCGAATATCTCAACTGTCGCTAAAATAAGCAAAATAAAACTTTTAGGGAAAGATATATGATTAGTTGAGGGTAAGTACATCGTATCTTAAGCCAATCCGAACCCTATCTGAAATTATTCCAGATTTTCAGGCTGTAATCCCAAATAAAGCCGTCGTATTTTACCTGAAACAAGATGGACCCTTCACAGTTATGATGCCATTATTACTTTGCATCCGGTCTTTAACCGGTTTCCAGTAGTTCCCACGGGCTATTGACCTTCTTTCACCTTACTTTTACTCGTATTGTTTTCACTCCGACCTTTTCTCAAGTCTTCGAAACGGATCGGACCGGCTTCTGCGCCGTGAAATTGACTCGCAAATCGAGTTATAATCGGAGAAATGCGGACTGTAATCCTGCTGGTGATGATATGTAAGTATCAAATTAGGCATATACATTTTTCGAGGTATTTTGAAATACGATTATCTTGATTTCAGCCCTGTCATCGGCGCAGATCCGGACTTCAAGCCAGCTAAATTGTAATTTTGAGGGAGATTGCCGCTGGCAAAATGCGACTGGTCAACCGGAGCAGATCGGATGGACCATTACCAATGACATAATCCCAGATGACCGGTTCCCATTGACGATGTCAAAGAACGATGAGGGTTTGTGAAATAGGCCAATTTTAATTTCTGATGAAAAGACTTTCAAATTGATTGCCAAAAATTTGATGACAATAATTTTTTAGGAAACTCTTTTGCCTACACATTTGGTCCTCCGGGAATGCATCAGATCGAATTGGTCAGCGATATTGTCGATTGTCAGTTGGGTGGGGCCAAGTTGTCCTTCTGGTACTACTTCTCCGGTCCCCAATCTTCCCTGGATGTGTGTTGTCGATGGCCTCCGGGAAGTAACGATCCCTCGCACCGGAAATGCTTCGAGCCGACGGCTGGACAAGGGCGGGCACAGCAGTGGACTTTCGCCAGTTTGGAACTGCCTCCCATTTCACAATCTATGGAGGTATATCTTTGGGGAATCAAGGGGTTATTATTAGGGTGTTATTATTATAATACAGGGTGGGCCAAAAAAAATGGACAAAATTGAAAGTCGGTGTATCCCGGCACGAATACCGTAATCAACGGAAAGGAAAATAGTTTTATAATTGTCAACTATCCTACTTTATCACAACTATTTAAATTTTTTATATACTTTTGTTGAACCGCTGATACAAGCCAAAATACTAGACCAGTCCATATTCTGACTACGTTTTCCGAAAATTTTATGAGTCCAAAAATCTTCAATGACCTAAATCTCTACGACCAGCCCAAAACTGGTGGTTGACTGTTTATCAGGGTACTAAGGGGAGCCTACAGAAGCAAAAAAGCTGATAGTATTCTATTAATTTCGCTCCAGCAGTTCTCAACGTGATCCACAAGAGGTCCATCTGGATAATTCTAGATTTTTGAGATAATTGACATTCAAGAGTCGCAGGGGAGCCCGGCTCATGCTATTGATAGCAAAAAGTGGTCGCTGTAAGGCATCTAACATTGCTTTACATGGGCCAGCAGTTGATTTGATAATAGCTTGCATCAGCCGTGCGCAGACCTTAAAAAATTTCAGCCGGCTATACCCAGAGACGCTGATATTTTTTGATCAGAAAATTTTTTCTTTTTTGTTGGCGTTTTTCAACGTGCCGGATAATTATGACGGGATACTTTTATATCAAGGTGATACGACCCCTTTCTTCCATTTTAAGTCTGTTTCATAAAATTAGGATGCAGCTAGCCTTCAGAATCCATGTATTATTGCGATGACCCATCAAAAAGTAAAAAAAAATCGATTTTTTGCTTGCCATCTTGCAGATTGAGTGGTACTGTTGTCAAAAATGCGCTTAGTATATTCATCGTAGAGTAGTAAACACCATATGGGGGTAATTAGTTCGAAACTGTTCAATATTTTTGGCAGAGCATCGATTTTCCGAAAGCGCCCAAATTAAGCTCGATTTTCCCTGGCCGAGTGTCTAACTTCTGGTCACTGGTTCTTCATTTTCCGAAAAGCTTGGGCTAAATCCTTTTAAAGCCTAAGGGGGCATGTCTCCTAGATTTGCGTAGACCGCTTGGTATGTCTTTACAGCGACTCTAAAAATTTTAGGGGTAAGAACTTTTGAAATTTTTGCCGCGGGAATTGGCGCGCTGACCCGGTGACCTTCCTGCAACCGTATGTTAGAAACTTCTGCAGATAGGACAAAAATTCTACAGTAAATATGTTACCTTAACACAGTACTTTCATGCCATGTATACGTTTTTTCACAAACTGTTTCATGGCAGGAAAAATCGAAGAAAAATTAATGTCCATTTTTTTTGGCCCACCCTGTATATTTAATATTAAGGTGTCCCGTAAGAATTGCAAATTTTTTGGGTCGTCGATTTGTCCGAAGTCTTATAAGCTTTGAAACGCATTACGGAGTATGTTGGATATACTCGTTTGAAGCCCAGATAAAGAGCTTCTAAATCGTATATGAAAAGGACACATAAGGTACACCTGCTACCCACACTGCCCCGATATTGTACTAGACATTAAGAAATAACATTTCGCAGGAAAATTCATTGAAACATGACCAGATTTTGTAAAGATTTATACCGAAAGCGATTTTTTCTTTTGGAAAAATTACTGATCGCTCGTTCAGGGGCAATATTGACTTATATTTTGATTGCAGATTGTTCTCCGAGCCCGTTATGAGTCTCCCAAAGATGTAGTGGCCATTGATGACATAAAATACGAGGCTATTTTGTGTGGTAAGTTTTTTTTTGACCTTTACTGCCCTTCCATCGAGGTGAACAAGTTCTGAAGATTTATTTTTTACTCTATTTCGAAATTTTTTATATTGCACTTGACATATATCACCGAAAATTTTTTTCCAGAGAGTACTCATCGTCTGGGGTCTACGTCCGGTGGCGGTGGCGATATTGGAGAGCCAATGGTCCCTCAGAACATCCTGAGACAACTGCCCACTCAGAATGGATTAAAAACTTTGGACATGCGAGGAGCTTTACTGGCCAGTGAGGGTGTTGAAGGTAAAATAATATCAAAATCTTTGCTTTTTCAAAATACCAATTTTTTTTCTTGGACAAAAATAATTTTCAATGCATAATGTTCCTTTTCAGTCCCAAAATCGCCGTTTAATTCGGACTTTGACTACGATTCGGGCAACTCAAAGACAACGAATGAGGAATTGCAGAGGATTCACTCGATTCCAAGCGAATCCAACTGCAATTACAGCTGTAATTTTGATGATAATGTAAGTTTACGTCTATTAGACTCTCTTAGATTTTTCAAGGTGTATAATATTAAATTGTGTTTTAGAACCTCTGCAACTTCACTATTCCTTCAGTCATCGACTTGCCGTCGGTTGGGATTTGGGAATTGAGGAAGGAGGCCATGTATAACTCGATTACTGGGATTAAAGAGGACGTCAGTAAGAGTGAGTGGCGATTTTTTTGCCGAAAAATGATGACTAATTTGACCAAAATTGTTGGCAATTGCATGGCACTGTGCAATTTCTCCATTCTTAAATTTTTTATTCAACGCTCAAATTTTCGAGGTCCAATTTTTTTAAAATTTTGCCCACATACTCTATGTGGACCACTGATAACCCCCAAAAAATTTTAGCTCAAGCTTTGCAAGGGGAGCCGAGATATTCAACAAAAATTTTTGGGCAGTGGCTATGGGAAATCGGATAATTAAAAAATTTTTTTTTTTCAATTTTCCTATTTGCCCAAACTTTCTCCGATTTGCAGAAGGCTCCTTCCTGGCCACAGGCCCCAAATCCACTCCAGATCAGCAGTACGCGCTGCAGATCCGGCTGCATCTGGCCGAGCCCTCCAACCTCCACTTTGCCTACTATTTGGCCGGGATTAAGGGTCGGTTACGGGTGTGTCGCGACTTCCCGGCCCTCCAGGAATGCCCGTTTCAAGTTGACGGGGCCCGATTGGAGGGCGACGCACGCCAATGGAAGGACGGGAAAGTGAGACTGGCCGCCGGAGAGCATACAGTAGGCCTTTCTTGTGTTTGAGGACTGACTCATTGCAGATTACAATCGTGGCCGACAGATTGGCCAAAAACTATTTGATCGGTATCGACGAGTTCCGATTTCTCAACGAAAATGACGCCAGAGAAGTTCAATGTTGATTTGTGCCCGAATATTATGACATTAGACTGTATATACCTCAAACTTTATTGCTTAAATTTGCATAAATCTTTATTTCTCTCAAAACCGGGTGAATTTTGCGATTTTAACCGGGAAAAATCTGTTAATTATAATATGTTTGGAGCAATAAAACAACCGAAAATGTTGTCAATCTACATGAAGAATACAGTAGAGACTCGGAAAACGCTGTGAGATTAGAATTTGCCGACCAAAAGAGCCGAGAAAAACATGAAAATTAGGGAAACGATGGTCGAACTCGGGGTCGACGCCGAGTTCCATCGCTGGTTGCCCTGGGGGTCGTTGAAACGGCCGTTCAGCTCTTGACTGTCCTGGAATTGCCCTCCAAAGGGACGCTGCCCTCCGGCACCGCCGCCGTTCGCAAACCCGTACTGGGTGTTCTGGGCTTGGTAGAGACTGTCCTGAGCGCCGGCGTTGTAGGCACCGTATTGCTGAAAACGAAAACATGATTTTGTTCAAGTTGAAAAATAATTTCATTTTTTAAATAAGCAGCGTTGTTTTGATGACATTAACAGGGCTTTTAATCTTTGAAAACCCAAAATTTTCTCCTTTTCTGGGAGTTTTGGACCTTGTAGATGATAATAGAAAAGTTTTCTTAATTCTGCCTCAAGACAATTGTAATTTTTTGTTGGAATTTTTTATTTTACACCTAAAAAAGACTCTCTATTCTCCAAATTGAAAAAATAATGCTTCTTCTTTTTATCAAACTCACTCTAAACTGAGGTCTTGATCCGTAAGCGAACGGAGAATTGACTTGACTCCTGCCACTCGGAGAGATCGTCTGGATTTTAAAAATCTCTTCTTGAGCCAAAGCCATCGCCAAAACAATGCATAAAAGAATTAGGCACTTCATGGTCAACTAAAAAATTTTTAAAAAAATTAAAAATTAAAAAAAAATAAAATTCAAGGAGCTTGTTATTCGCGTGGCTCTCAAAGATCGGCGAAAAAAAAATAAATTTTAATTCACTGTGATCGGGATCAGATCTCGAGATGCAACGGAAATAAACTCGAGCACGTCAAAGGGGAAGGCAAACAAGAGGATCGGCTCGAGTGGGATGTCAACCTGTGTGCAGCCGATACGAGTGTTTATCGTAGCTCTTAATACTTGATCTCGGATTTATTTGGGCCGCAAATAAGGATACTCTACTTACTTCTTTAACTTTTGAAAAAGGCAGTTCTCAAGGGTAAATTTGAAAATTTTGCTTATAATTTGACTGAAAAAGGCTGGACAGGCCAAATTTCAACTTCTGAAAATTGTATGACATCAAGGTTTTCAACAGACTTTTTTGGCGAGAGAGTAAGGAAAATGAGGAGAGATGGTCAGAGAAAAAAGTATTTGGTTCAAAAACGTTTAGTTTTTTTTAGAATTTTCTAGAATTTTTGATTTCTGCAAAGCGCAAACAAAAAATATTTCATTTTTTTTAAATCTCCAAAATTCAAAAATTTTTTCTCCACAAAAATTCTTTTATCATTCGAATTTTTAAAATTTTTGGGATTAATTCCGCCATAATTTCTGCAAGACCCAACCGAAAATTAATTCAAAATTCTTCCAAGACCGTCAAAAACTATTATATGTTCCCTTAATTCTAGAATACTGCCATTGATTTCAACACTATTGAAATGCACTAATATCATCAACAACCTCTGAACTCCCCCAAAAAACGATGACTACATATTGTCAACTTAACCACCTAAAACTTCGTTTAAATGCGTTGAGTTTGGTTTTGAAACGTTTTTAAGCCCGTCCCAAAAAAAACCCGGGGCCAAATCAGAACTGCAAACTAATGCGAAAACTTAAGTCAAAGTAAAACAAGGTTTGGAAAAAGAAGAAGATAAACATGGAGTAATCAACTTTATAGTTGTCAAACAAACGTCAATTCGACAGAAATGAGAGGGAAACTATAAAGCGGATCGCCAAATTACGCGCTCTATTGTAGCCTGAGGGTGGGATGAAAAAAAGGAGGCGATGACTCGGTGTTATTTTGACTTTGTGGATTTATATAGAGAGAGTAAAATTGGGAAATTATATTGAATGGGTCTGAAAGGAGAGCCTGAAATTTATTTTTGAGCAAACAGTAAAAAATTTTATGTACAGGGTGTTCCTAGAATTATGGAAAAAACTATTCATTAATAATTTGTGCTCGGTGGTCCAATCCAAAATTTTTTTTTGCATTCTACAGAAAAACCTCGGAGTTTTTAGAATCAAAAAAATGTTTTTCTTTTATCGGCGGAGGCTTCCGTAATCCGCGTTGGATTCGGCAGAGTGTATTTTTCACAAATGAGGCTGTAAATTGTTGTATGTGTAAAGAAAATGGGCGGGAAAGGATTCGGAAGATACAATGTGACATTTATTTAATATTTTTGTCATTTGGCGGAGACATTTTTTAACCTCGGCGGACGATTTGTCTTCGACTTTGGGGAGTCAAAATTGGCTAAACCCAAAACGTATGGTATTCCTGGGGCATGGCGCCTAAATAAGACCTAGTACGTCTTCGGCCCACCTAGAGAAGAAAAAATGCAATTAGGCGGAGAAATCGGCGGAGAAAAAAATTATCCCATTTTTACAGCCTCATTTGCGAAAAACCCACTCCGCCGAATTCAAGGCGGATTACGGAAGTCTCCGCCGATAAAAGAAAAATTTTTTTTGATTCTAAAAACTCCAAGAGTTTTCTGCAAAACGCAAAAAAAATTTTTCGGATTGAACCACCGAGTACAAAGTTATTAACGAATAGTTTTTTCCATAATTCTAGGAACACCCTGTAGTTTACATCGCGAAAAATCGCGATCTTTGGCGCAAGCTTTGCAAAGAAAAAGAGACGGCGAATAAAATTTATTTCTCTGGCGGTCTCTCCCCATTTTCTACAGTCCCTTGCTGATCTCTTTTCGAAAGTCTTGAATGGGAATGCAAAATAAAATTTCCCGCAAATTACGATTTTCCAGTGACAAAGTTGGTCATCTTTGAAGCTTCATAAAAACCGCTGTGTCAAGCCCTACTATACAAAAAATATATCAATAGATAGCGTTTTCAAAGTTCTTTTAGAAGATCTTAACACAAATTTTAAAACCTTACAGCAACCTGTAAAAAAATGCAAACAAAAAAACGGCGAAGTCATACTTCTAGACCTAATAATATTGCAAACAGACCACCTCTCCAAGACTTGAAAAAAATCTGACGATCTGTCATCTAGAAATTTAGTTTTGAATGACGTTGCCTTATTACAAAGAACTTCTGGACATTTTATATGATTCACAAACAAATTGGTCATACGTTTTCAATAAACTTCGGTCCATAAAATACGGTAAAAAAAGCAAAAAAGATATTGAATTACGAACAAGGGAGAGTAACTCGAAGATCGAGCAGTTCAATGCTCTTTCGAGAACAATGTTGCATATCGGATTGCTGTTTGGATTGAAGCTGTGGATACAAACTAAACTCTAAGGTGGACACAGGTTTAGATTGTAAAATTATTTCGATTTTTAGTTGGGAAAAGACGAAAATGGAATTTTTTAGAACCTATCTTTCTTCATGAACGCAATTTAAGTTTTGAAATTTTTGGTTTAAGATTTGTAGCGAAGGCTAAGATTTTTCAAATTTTTTTTATAAATATAAGGCCTTATAAGGTCATTCTAGATCTATTTTTTCCATAAAAGTACAACAACCAAAGCCATTGCTCATTCCGCCTTCATGTCTCGGCATCGTCAAAAATAACCATCAAATTGCCAATAAAACTTTTTTTTTTATTATACATGGCCAGACGAATCCATAAAAAATTTTTTTGGACTTTTCATCGATTCCACGAGTCCTTCAACTGGTCGAAATAGATCTCGCCGGCATTGGAGCAATCCAACTTGTTGGGTTTTCGAGGCATTTGCCAACAAGTCAAGCGATTGAGGTCGCGGACAAAGGCCGATTTCACGAGAGGAACGTAGGCAATGGTACAGGAAATGTGGCAGAGGGAATACAGATCCACGATCAGAAAGCCGACCTGAAAAGTTTACCGTTAGTTAATGCGAAGGTTGATTCTCTTCTGGCCAAAAAATTATTAAATTTTTTATTATAAAAAAAGAGCGAGAGACGATGTTAAATGAGGAGAAATGGCCAGAGTAAACAATATTTTTGACTAAACTCTTGCAAGGGAAGTCCTTTACGTTCGAAAAACACAGTCAAATGAGATGTTCCTCACACTTAGAACACTGCTATAACAAACATGCAATTCTTTGATTTTTTTGGTTGAAAGTTGTCCAAAAATTTCAGTTTAGTCCAGAACTTGTGCTCCAAATTCTAACAAGGAAAGTCACTTTTTTCGCAGACGGACTTCGGAACGGGACCTAGTAGGTTTCAAACCTGAAGCGTCTGCGATCATACAACTGATTTCCAAAAGTGTTTACGGGGCTTCTCGGCCGAGAAAATCGACCGCAAAGTTTAGCCGAAATGAGCGAATAGCCTCCTCAAAAGAAACAGCTTATTTCATCTGCAGTGGTGGCCGAGTGGTCAGCGCGCTCGCTTTTTGCGCCAGAAGAGGCGGGTTCGATCCTCTGCGCAGTTGATTTTCTTTTTTGGTTCGTAAATATTGATTTAGTATGTAAACATAAAATGTATACACTTTTGTAATTTTTTACAGTAATTTAAACGTAAATTCAAAGCTGAATGTTCATGAATATTGTAAAGTCAAAACAGGGCTGGGTTAATGAAGATATAGTTCCTAAATTTGTGTTTTATTAAAAATTGCTAATAATTAGCATATGTGATGTTAACGGCATCTCTCTATTTGATTCAATGGCCAAAAGAAATGCATCCGCAGGCGACCGAAGCCGAACTCACGTCTTCTGGCGCAAAAAGCGAGCGCGCTGACCACTCGGCCACCACTGCAGATGAAATAAGCTGTTTCTTTTGAGGAGGCTATTCGCTCATTTCGGCTAAACTTTGCGGTCGATTTTCTCGGCCGAGAAGCCCCGTAAACACTTTTGGAAATCAGTTGTATGATCGCAGACGCTTCAGGTTTGAAACCTACTAGGTGCCGTTCCAAAGTCCGTCTGCGAAAAAAGTGACTTCCCTTGTAAGAAACTTTGAGTGTTCGGCTTGAAGGCTTCTCTTGCCACAAAATTCTATTCTATTTGCAATTTACTTCATCAAAATCGGTGCTATGCCCTTTTTTGGCAGTACAGTGGGGGACCTGATCCAGTGGCAAAAAATGTACCATTTTGCATCCGGGAAGTATCAAAAATGTGGCAAAATGCTTCCATCCCCAAGTTCAAAAAAAGTTGTTTTGGAGGGAGCGCCATTTTTGGTCACAAAAAGATCCGGAGATTTCAAAGGATCGCCTTTGAAATCTGAGTTTTTTCACTTGAAGGTATTTTGCCAGCCACATTTTTTGGGTACGTTTTTTGCCACTTTATCAGGTCCCCCATTGTAATTGTCTAGCCTTTCACACCTTTTATCCACTTTTCAGACCGAACTTTATTGTGCAAGACCTCCATTGTTTTGTTGAAAACCGAGTGCCGTAACATTCCTCATGTCCTACACTAACCCGTCCATTAAACTTATTTTTGCATTTCTTTCTCCCTTGTACGCACTTTACACATGCAAGGGGGTCATTAATACACCTAATTTCACATTTGTTTTCCTAATGTATCAGTTAATACTTGGTCGTTCTTTAAAGGTTATCGTAAAAAACAAAAATGGCACGAGATGTTGCCAAGATTTGCGAGTAAATTTAATCTAATTTCCGGGGAAAACAGCTTTCGAAATCAACAGAAATTACAGCTAGAAATCCATGAGCCTGTTTAACTCATAATTTCCACTATAAATTTAATGGTTTAAGGGCCAAATTAAAGGCAGTACTGTAAATGTCATGGATAATATAAAAAATACCCTTAAATGTCACAAAAAAAAGTAATTTGGCTACTTACATCGCCCAGAAACTTGGAAAATACAGTATGATCGCCATATTTTTGAGCAAGAATCCCACGGTAAACTCCGATCGCCAGACCAGTCCACGCCGCCAAGACAAAAGTGGCCATGGACGGGAAGATGGAGGCTGTTGTGTACGAGTTCTCTGTGGCCTGAAAGCGAGCACTGAGACTTCGAAGGCTCAGACGATTCAATCGGCCTTGTCTGGTGCTCTTTCGGAGAACGGCGAGCCACTGAAATCGGAAGGTAAGGTAAGTTTGAAGGCTTTGAAATTTTGATGACAATAAAATTTTTTAATTTTTTAAATCTCAACGCGTTGTTGCAACTGTTCAGTTGTGAATTCTTAGAATTCCTTTTTGAGTTTTGTGCATTTGATATAAAATTTTATACTTTGAACTCAACCAGCAGACATTTACAAGATATTTAAACTGAATCCACAATGAGCCGTCTGCATTGAGCCAGGTGAAAGCGCTTTGCTAACTTTCAAATAAACCAAAATCAAAATTTTTCTGGTTCTATGCAAAAAAGCATCTTGATATTATACAAATGAATAAGATATAAACTTACCGCCGCTCCCAACAAACAAGAAGATGACGAAAAGGTGAAAGCAGCCACCTCGTAGAACCAGTTGATGTGGATTGGCAGGCAACTCATCCGCGAGGTGTAGAAGTCAAAGTCGTTGTATAGGAACATAAATACGTACCAGGAAAAGATCCCGACAGTGAGGCTGATACCGAGCTGAAAAAGGATACTGTAAAAATAAAAAAATTTTAAAAGTAAATTCTAGCTAATATTCTAAAAAAGATGGTTGTAAAATTGTAAGTTTTAATGTGTAAAAAAAGAGTAGACTGTTGAAAAAAATGTAACATACTCCTTTTTACATATTTATTTTTACATATTTTTGCAATTTTATACTAAAATCTCTCTTTTTCTATAAATATTATACGTTATCTCAGACATCCTTAATATTTTTCCAATCAAACAGCATAAAATATGACTGCTACAAACGCCCCAAACTGTAATTGAAAAAGAGTACATTCAACCCACCATGATGAAAACAAGAGTCCACGCCAGAGCCCTGGCCTTTGTCTCATACACATCGACGAAATTGTACGCCAATTGTCTCTCAACGGCGAGCATTAGCATACTCACAGACGCGTCTACTGCCGCGATGTTGTTCAGCATGCCCAGAACAGTACAGCCGATATTCACACCCAAACGATTCTCATTATCAATTGTGAGATCGTTGTAAATGTGACCAAGAAGTAGAGTGATATGCATAATTTCCATGGAGATTACTGTATTGCACTGAAAAGTATGTATAAAAATGCATTTTTCGTAAGGAAGATTTAAGGTAAACTTTGCTTCTTAATTTCTCAATTTTCGTATAAATATGCTCTACTTTAGAGAGGCGGCTGAGAAATTCAACAATGATTTTTTGTGAGAGGCTACGATAAATTGGGGGAGACAGCCAGAGAAGTTAAACTAAGGCCGACTTACAATTGTAATTCTGAAGTTGATATGCAACGCTGACAAACTCGCGATCCTCCGCACATAATAAACTTTCATCACAAAGGTTACCACCGCAAACAATCTGTATCCCGTCGTAAAATCGTTGTAAATATCCTCATGCCGATCGAAGTACGGTACGAGGCTCATGTTGTCCCAGGCCCTGTTCTCTCGCATTCCCAGACGAAAATAACACACGGCCGATTACTCAAGGAGACGTTTCCATTTCTATGACACTGAGCAATGGGTTCAATTGTAATTGTAAGCACGCCGGGCAGAAGGAGTAACAATCTCCGAGGGATCTCGTGCCGATAAAAAGCGGGGAACGCCTCGAGCAAACAAAATGGGAATTCATAAAACAGGTTAATGGTGGGGTTATGCGATTTACGCAGGTAAAAAGCTAGTTTGTGGTTGGTAACATAATTACAGTACTAGGTAATGGTAAATATGCGAGAAATGAATGATGTTTAAAGGCAGGGATCGGGTCTGAAATTACGTTAGAATATCAGTAATAATTGGGGTCCACAAATAATGCGTAAATGAGGGTAAATTGCAGAAATTTGATTTCGAATTTTTTGCAAAACCCGTTGTTGTATGCTGTCAGAAATTTAAGATTTTTTAGAGACAATAACCTGGATGCAATATATATTTCATATCTTGATGGACTGTTGACAAATTAGGAGCAAAGCTTTCTAAAACGTTATCGAAATTTTTTTTGTTAAAATTTTTAAAAAAATTTAAATTTTATGAAAGTAGTGTATGTATATATGCCTCTTATGACTCCTCCACATTTCCTATTTGCAATAAAAGTTTCGTCAAAAATGTCCTTGCAAAGCGCGAATAAGAATTCTCACAAATTCTGTCGCTGTCATAACAGGTAGGCAAAATTTGGAGAGACTTTGTTCCTGGAGCATCTATAAAGTTTAGAAAATAAAATGAAATTTAGGTTTAACCATAAGTCATCCAAAAAAGTGCAAAGCTTGTCTTTCGCCCTCTATACTTACCCCACGACAGTATGTATTAATATGTAATTTCTTGCATAAAATTCTGAAAATATAATAACATGTTTCCTTTTCACAGCACATTATATGTAATTACAACCTTTGCAACAATATTTTTAGCCTTTAAATTCCTTAAAAATGTCGAATCTTTAAAATATTTTTAAACTCAACCGACAAATTTGGAATACCACCTCTGGAATCTACGCAAAATTACAACGAATGTCCTGAAATTCCACAATAAACTGTCTGAACTCTTTAAACCTAGACTTGTATGACAAGTGTAAAGAGTAAAGCACAACAATTCAAAGGCACAAAAGAGAAACTAACCTGTAGAATTGGGCCAAAGTTTTAGAAAATAAAAGCGATGACAATGAGACGCTGAAACGTGAACTTGAAACAGTAATACAGGGTGCGGCAAAAAAATGGAAACTTTTTTCATTGGGTCCTGACGCAAAAATTTTTAAGTGCAGCAAAATTATTTTCATACCATTAAATTCTACGTAGCTTTCTCTCCTAGACCTTATAATTTCATGACCATATCGGTTTATTAACATTCTTTTTTCGAATGACAAACAGAGGGACCTCGATTTTGGACCTGTTTTTTACCTGTGCGAACTGTTAATTTGCCCGGCATAGAAAGCACGTTGTGTCCAAGGTAATCACACAATGCAGGGAGCTTTTTGACAATTTTAAGCGTCCAGTAAGCGAAAGAAAACGCACCGCCAACACTTCTGCCAGCCGCGGAGTCATCAATAGCGAAATCCGTCGATTTCGAGAAAAAATTGCCCGTGAGACCGGCATCAGCGACCGACCAGTCGGCCAAATAGCTAAAAATCAACTCAAAGTCTCCCCACGCAAGGTCTGAAATGCCCAACTCCTAATCGGCAAGATCAAGCCCGTACGCCGGAAAAAATGCCGAAAATTCCGACGTCGGGCCGCAGGTCCGCGATGGGAGCGCATTCCCTTCGCGGTGCAATCTTTGGCGGATGCACAACCAACAGAACGTCATAGTCCAATCCGATGAGGCCCCCTGCACATCGGCTAACGACGAACACCGTCAAAATAAGGGCCGTCATCGCCTAAGGCGGAATTTGCGCCAGCGGCAAGAATTCCGAGATTTTCGTGGATCAAGAGGACAAAATTCTAGCGCCGCGTTAACTTCGATTTCCTCATGCTTCTGTTGGCTCAGTAGAACCTTGGCAGTGCAAATTTGACGTTCCGACTAGACTCAGCGCCGACTCACAGGGCAACAACGAGTCAAGACCGATTTTGAGACCGATTTTCCCGATTTCACCCCGTCTGCGAAAAGAGCGCCTGCTCGCCGGGTATAGATCCAATGGACTGTAATTTTTTTTCAATTGAAGGCCAGCATCTGTACTGCACGCCACAAAAGTTTAGGGTCGCAAAGTAATCGTTGCGTCAAGAACGGGACCGATTTCCCCGAAAAAAGCTACGGCCAAAAGGCCAAAATTTTAAGTCACGTTTGGAGCTCTACATCGCCACCAAAAGCAGCCACGGTAAAACGGGTTGAATATGTTATAAACAATGCTCTATGTTATTGAAGATGACCGTTACTTTTGCAGAATTTGGATTGCTAGGAAAAATATAGCTATAAAAATAAGTTTCCATTTTTTTGCCGCACCCTGTATTACTATAATATTAATTTTTAACGGTCAAAGGTATGCAAATTTGAGGCTCCCAATTAGCAGAGACAACCCAGATTTTTTATCAGAAGGTTGATGAAGATTCAGCATTTTTTTGCAAGCTTAAAAAATCTAGACTGGTATCAGACTGTCGGAAAAATAATGTGGATTCATCGCGCACATCAACTCTTTGCAACGGCTAGCCGCGGCTGGAGAGTTGGTGCGCTAGTGCGATGAGGCCAGATATTTTACTGTCAAAGAATTCCACATTATTTTCCCAACAGACTGATATACTATACCGGCGAGAACTATCTTTCAATAAAAAATTAATTTTTTCACGCGAAATTGGCGGAGATATGGCGAAGGCGCGAGCTTCCGTTTGACCTATCACTACGTACAGTGAGGGACCGGACCCAGTGGCAAAAAACGACCCACTTTGCATCCCGGAAGGGACCAAAACGTCTCTAAACCCTTCCCTTCTCTAAGCTAAAAAACTCCGTTTTGAAAAGCGCGCCCTTTCCTTCAAGGGTTTGGAGACGTTTTTTGCCACTGTATCCGGTCCCTCATTGTATTTTCTTGTCGTCGTAGATTATTGTATAAATTGGTTGCCCGTGTATTTGCATGAACTGGTATATAGAGCCTAGACCCGACGTATATGGACACGATTTGAAGGAAATCCACGACATTTCCTTCGTAGAGACGGCGATGAATGTCGCACTTGAAGAATTGTCCTTTTAGCAAAGTGCATGTACATATAAACGATACTGTTACCTAGTCCATAAATTACCATAATGACTCAAAAAAGTTGTTATCAAAATCTGGAAAACTCGAGGAGGAAATGGATTCAAAATTGCCGCTTATCACGATTTCCTCGGGCTATTATGCAGTGATCTGGCTGAGTCCTTTAAACATGTTTGCATCGCGTTACAGGTCGTCATTATAGAGCAAGTTTTGCCCTATAACCGGAATTATAGTAAACATGAATAATACTTTATGGAGAACGTGGTTTGTGACGCATTATCATAAAATCACGTTCTTGGCTACACAATTTCTACGGGAAATAATTTTCAACACGCTATACGACGCAAAGGTTTATTCAAACAACGATAAAAACAGTTTTCGGAAGATAACTTTTCTGCGTACAAAGCAGAATTGAGCCATTGTCTAAACAGAATTGTATTTTAGACCTCCCATAAAAGTTAAATTACCCCTTGCAATGCCCGTTTTCCTTACAATTAACAAGGGAAGTACCCCAAGTGCGACCTCAGATTTTGTTTTAAATTTTGCGCCCACGTCGAGTATAAACTACTAAATATCAATTCCTGAAAGTTTTAGCTCGCGCTTTGCGGGCGCCGCCAAGATATCGAACGATTTTTGCCGCCGAGAGAGTACGTTAAATGCGGAGAGCGGTCCGAGAGAAAAACGCTTTTTGGCCATAACTTTGGCAGTTTCGTGCGGAAAAATTTGATTTTTTGCATAGACATTACCTTTTACGGTACAAATAATTATGAAACTTTTCGTGCCGAAATTCGGCTAAAAGTCTTAAAATTTTGCCGACTTTCGATCTAAAAATCTCGGTTGTTTCTGCAAAACTCGACCTAGGATTCTCGCATATATTTTAGAAAAAAATATTCTAAATTTGTGCCAAGTTTCATCAAAATCTGAGCGTCGCACTTGGGGACTTCCCTTATAAGCTTAAATTTGGAATTTAAAATGCTTTGGATTGTTGTTCTCCACAAGGTTTTTTGATTCATTGAACATGTAAATACATAAATCAGCAATAAAAAATTAAGGAAAGGCTAATTAGTTGTGTTATAAAAGTGCGTTACTGTTATCAGCTGTAACAAAGTAAGAGGGAAGAAATAAAACAGCACCGGTCGGCCGGAAGCAAAATGCAAAAAAATCTTCCCTTTTTTGAAGAAATAGAATGGAAAAAATGAGATAAGCATAAGAAAAAAAGGCTAAAATGGAAACTTGGCCTCTTTTTCAAAATCCCAAAATCCATCATATTTCTTCGCTCTTAAATTTTAAATTTTTGCCACTGAAATGTTGTTTATGGACAGGTTCTAAAATTGAATTTTATTCTAGCCCATTTATAGGCCTGATTTTGCACTGCAAGCAATTAATGACCAACACATAAAGAAATGTCCATCAAATTATTGAACGAAAAACAGAAAACTGTAAATTCAAATAAGTGGTGATTGAACCTAACATAATGCGTAATGTTCGGAAAAAGAGAAATAAATAATGTTATCTACCGAGAGTGGACATAGCCACCATTTCACTAGGTCAATAAACATCCGAGATGAAGAGGAACAGAGAGTGTCAAGATGGCGTTGTCCAGTCATCAAGTGGTCTGGAAGGAGCAGGTTTGAACCTCATTTCCGGTGACATTTTTTAATCTATTTGTTCCGTATATGAATACACGTTTACCTGGAGTTTTATCCCAACAATACCGAGAATTAAATCGACGGTGGGAAACTGTAATTTTGGGTTGAGCTTCTGGCATTTGTCAGCGACCACATCATGAGTCAGAAAAGTACAACTACTTTCCAACGGTAGGAATTCACAATGCAATAACTAATCAAATTCCCATTTCTGTTTGTTAGTAATCGTTTTACTACTACTTTCATATAATACTGTAATGATCCCTTTCTTACGTGCATCCTTGCAAATGCTGTGCAATTTTCCGAAAAGATATGCAAATTATTGTTGCAAAATATGCTCTCTTCACACCCTTATTTACCGTTCACAAAATTGGCGAAGCAATAATTGGCTTTCGCATTTCCTCCCTCCCCTCACATCATCTCCCATCAAAATGTCATGTTCCGCCCAAAGAAACAAGATGTCAGAAGGGCATCTTGTTTCTGTGGATTATTGACAACGTTTGCTTCCTCCAACTTTAATTACATTTACTAATTTGTCTGCCCGACTGCTGAAAATGCCCTCAGGAACGGCAGAGAACATCCGTTCGGCCTCCCGCTCTCTCATTTTTTGCCATTTCGGATTCTTTTCGACTCTTTTTTTCCCGTCTTTTGTCTCCGGCTTTTCATAAATATTATGACCCTTGGATTGCCAGCGATTTCTGGCATATTCTCCATTCGAATGGGGGCTCAGAGTTCGCGCTTTGAGGGGGGATTTGGTAAATTTTCTTGATATTTTTGAGCATTTTTAATTAAATTAAATTTTGCATTTAAATTTGATGGATTCAAGATGAATTGAGGCCAGTCCCCGCGCATTTTAGACGGTTTGCTCAGTAAAATTGGTTAGTCTTGATGAGTATTGAACGATTTTTTGTTAGAATGTTACATTATGCAATTCTTCTAATTAATTTTTCGATGACAATTAAATGTTTGAAATCTGCCGGTCCAATTAATCCAAATGCTTTTTCAGACACATTTGATCGTATAAAATGACGCTTCAATAGAAAATACACCTCATCGTATCGACCATCTAATTACCGAGTTAAAAATGTCATTGTAATCTTCCTACTCCCACATTTTCCAACTTCCTTCAACATATTCACTTGAAAACATATTCTAATTTTACTCCCTCCATTCAAGTCCATTATCGACCATATTATCCTCTGATATCACCGCGAAATGCCTCATCGTGGGACCAACATGGCATTGAATTCCTTCTCCTCCGGCAAGAGCGCCACCTTGGCCGAGCGGAGTCCGGTGACGCCCGAGGAATTCCGCACAATTTTATTTGTCTTTGCCGGAATCCCCGCTTTAATTGTGGCGCTGGGTGTCATGGTGAGAATGGGCGTTTGTCAGCGATGTGCCGAGTATTGTGATCGGAGAAAGCGAAGGAAGGAGATGAGGAGAAATCTGGAGGAGAGAATGGAGTGAACTTCTTATTTATTATTCAATTTATGGAGATTGTAAATAAAGGAATTGATGTCAAAAATAAAGTTGAGTGGGAAGTCAAACCGTTACTTCTGGATAGTGGAATTTGCTCAGTCAAATCTTTTTTTACTAAAGCTCAGCGGTCAAGTGAACGGTCAAGAGAAGGTTAGCGAATTTGAAAACCGAGTTCCTGATAGTGCAAAGTTCCAGCCTCAAAACATAACTGTAATATAAAAACGTCTTTTTTCTGCTGCCAGCGATTTTCTTTCCTCATGCTTCTTTATTGAAAATGCATTCGTTAGCACCTCCAATTCTAAAGACAAAAGAACAGGAAAGTTTTCCGAGCTTGACCATGCCTGGTACCTGCAATGCGAATGAGGCCAAGATCACGGTGATTTTATAATATAATTAATTTGGCAGACAGAGTAGGTGGAAATTTTATGGGCATTTTCTTGGCTTTATCCAAGCTCAAACGTCTGTTTTTTTGCAGTCGAACAATTTTCAAACAAGACTTTGAAAGCGAATACGTATTTTACCTCTAACCCCAATTTTTTGATGACTTTCAATTTTCAAAATTCATTTTTTAAACTTCCGATTTACCTCGGCTTTTTTTGAACTTTCTGTAATTTGATTTTGCTCATCCATTTTGTCACTCAATTCGTACGGATGTCGGCGGCTTTGCACACTACAGTCGAAACTGGTCTCGTTTTCCTTGGCATTTGTAATAAAAATTTTGATTTTCTTTAATTGTCATATAAATACTCATAAAATGCTCTCAACCGTTTTTAAACCTTTTCTTCACATTGGAAAACGTATTTTACTATGGATTTCAAAAATTGATTTTACTTTTTTGTACTTTACATTATGTTTGCTGATGACACCTGTATTCATTTTTGATGCTATGCCGTATTTTACCTCCAAAACTCTGTTTTCAGACGTCTGTTTTTCAATCGGCCTACTGGGCACATTTCTTTTCCAATGCGGTGTCCGGAAGAGTAGTATAAAAGGATCGCAGCAACTGGAAGTCCGAAAAACTAGCAGTGCGACAGCCTCGGCTAGCCAGAGTAAAGGCACACCGACCGCGGATTCCAAAGATAAAGGACAAACCCATGAACTTCAAGGGAAGAATGGGAAGGAAAGTGGGGCAAAAGGCGGAGAACTCGGTAAAAACGAAACGAAAAACAAGGATGGAAAGTTGGAGTTGGGGAAAAAAGAGTGAGTTCTGGACAGATCGTATCTACAAAATACCATATTCCTAGTATTTTTGATAATCTTTTATCTCAATTTTAATGACTTTTCTCTGACCGTATATCTTCATTTCCATTGGCACTCGTCAAAAATGTTACTTGAATATCTCACCTGTCTTTCTAAATTTCGAATCGAAACTTTCTGAAATTAAAATAGAGCCCTTGTAGAATGTGAAGAAAATCAATTTTCGTTATTAAATTCAAGTCTGCGCAAGTTGTTTACTTCTAAAATAAAGTCAATTTTAGACTTACTGAGGACAAAAAAGATTACAATCCAAAAATCGGATTGAAAGGAGCTTATTCCTTCATTTAAATGGCTACGGAATTTTGTAGGTTATGAAAATATGTTCAAGCACCACTTTCGATGATTACACAGCTTACTGTAGCACTTTTAAATGGTCGCCGAAGTTTTAAAAAACTTTTTCTTTTAGCCGACCAATCGATCCAGAAGTGATGGAAGAACAAGCTGAACAAGGATCTGATTTTGAGGCCAAAGGAGAACAGACCAGTATTCTTACTTTGGGAAGGAAAAACAGCACTTCGAACAGTTGCAAAACCATCGATAATCTTGATTCTTTAGAGTAAGTAGTTTTATAAAATTTTATTACTTTTTAACTATTTATATTGTCATTTTTAACAGATTAAAATTCATTTTTAGGAAGATTGATTGTACACAAACCTCGGTCCCAGTCTCAGGTCTCTCCAAAAAAACCAAAGGCTCCATCACACCTAATAGGACAAGAGGCTCCACTTCCAGAACCAAAGGATCCAAGCCTTCAACTCCAAATTTGAATAAATGAGCAGTATTTTAATTTCAATTCGATTACTTTTATCCAAAAACTCCAAGTTCCCTCGTCTCTCCAATTTCTTATAAGTTTATATAACTTTTGTTTACACTCGTTTTCTACCAACACTAGGAATACACATATTTCTCGGATAAATACAATAAGATTAGATTAGATCAATAATTATAGAGGATCCGTGATGAATGGATGTTTCAGTGCCTCGCCACAGGTGGTTCTCTTCGAGGTTTCGAGGTTGAGCATCCCATCCAGGAAGTCGCGGAACTGTTCGACTCTTTTGTATCCATCTCGGTCCAGTTCTTGGTCGCCGATGAGGTCGGTCAGGAGGTCGCGGGTGGGTTTGATCACCGGCATCATCGTTATTTTCTCCTGGAACGGCATGAATAAATTTTGGATAAATAGATAATGCGAAATAAAAATTATCAAAAATAAAAAAAAATCAGTTTACCTAAAGTAATATAAATTTCTAACAAATCCCCCACAATTACTCTCTCGCCCTACCAAATACCTTCCTCAATTTCCCACCACCTTCAAATTCCCCTCTGCATCCAATCAAAACCCCTCCTTACCCTTTGCGTGACCTTATCCACCTCATTGTAGATGAAATTACAGTTGAAATCAAAGTGCTGATCCTTGAAAATAGCCTTTCTGATCACCTTGTTCGGCAATTTTCCCTTCATATCCATCATAAACTTCAACATTTGGTTATTTGATTTGCCTGGGAACATGATTCGGCCGGTATAAACTTCGAAGAGGGTGACCGCCACTGACCAGAGATCGATTCCGTAGTCGTAATGGAGGCCAAGCACTAAAATGGATCGAGTTTTATCAAGAGTAATACGAAAAATCTATATTTTTTTCATCTTTTTCGCTTTTCTATGTCTAAACCCTTCAAAATTTATGAACTTACTAATTTCGGGTGCTCTGTAGAACCTGGAGACCAGATACGGGGCCGGTTCGGTATCTCCAACATGACTGGCTGATCCAAAATCGCACAATTTAAGGGTCAACTTGTTCTCAGCCACCAGGATATTGTCCGGTTTTATGTCTGCATGTAATATCGAGCACTTTTTCAGCAATTTCAGAGCCATTAATAGTTGCTGTGCGTAAGATCTGACGGCTTTCATGTGGAGGCCGACGTTGTTTCCGTATTTTTTTAGTAATTCACGCAAGTTCATACTGAAACAGTTGATATTAGTGCTTATAACGCGGCCTGAGCCTAACAAAGTCATCTCCAAGACCTGTTTGATCCAAAAGCCGCAGTAAAATCTCACCTTAAACTTTCGAATACCAAGCAAATGTGATTGTGATGATTAAAGGATCGGTATAGCCGGAGACAATGGAATTTGTCTTCTCGATCGGTTTCGTTCAGTTTTCGGAGGGTCTCCAGTTCCCTCATTCCCGTTTTTCGCCTGAAAAATTTGGAACATTATCAGGAAAAGTAAGCCATTTATTAGGTTAATATCAAGGAGTAAAATTAAAAATATAATTAATTTTCCGCAAGTCTAATGCAAAATTTCTAGGCCTCCAATTAGATAAACTACTCATATCATTCTCCTCCACCTTCAACTTACATGATTTCGTTGTTTCTGATGATTTTAATGGCCACTTTTCGGTCCTTCTTTCGAATATCCGTCGCTCTGACCACATTTCCAAAAACTCCGGAGCCAGTGTAGCCATAAACACGATAACGATTGTCGATCACCTCGCCAACTCGTACTCCTGCAAGTAATCAACATTATCTTAGCCAACCTTCATTTTAAACTTTATCTTCACCATAAATAATGTCCAAAAAAACCTACTGTAATATCCCTCTTCATCGTCCCAATTGTCCTTCATCGAGGCGTTCGAAGCGTCCATCGACGCGATGGTGGCTGCTTGAGCGATGGCCTGGAAAGCGTGAACGAGATTAGCAACGGCGGCGCGGGTTCGCCAAGCCAGGAGACTGTCTTTGAAGGTGCCGCTGGAGGAAGCGATGGATGACAGGTCATCCAGTTCGTCGTCATCGATGATCTGGCTGTTCGTTTTCATCAACCAAGAGCTCAGATCATCGATGGACTCTACCGAACTTGTTGATGAGACTTCAACGTCTTCAAGAGTCGTTTTTCTGGTCACCACTGGTAATTTAACTATGCTTTCTTGGCTTAATTCAATTATTGGCACATTTTCCTTTTCGATTTGAGTCAGTTTCTCATTTTTGGCCAACTTCTTGGCCTTTCTTTGACTCCAGATCATCTTCAAATTCAATTTTCCTTCAGAATCGAAGAGTTTCATCTCCAACTTCTTCTTATTTTCTTTGTTACTTTTTAGGACCAGTTCAGTGACTTTGTAAAACGGTTTGGAAAGATCAGAGTCTGTTCGGATCGTCATTTCTCATCTATTGTCGCTATAATTTGTCAATCTTACTCTTGTCAAAACAAATTTCGAAATAATTCGAAATACCGCGGGTTATATGAACAAAATGTGAACATTCGGCTTACACGCGACCTTGCGTTACTCGAACGTAAAGACTAATTTACAAACTCTAAATGCTCATAACTACAGTAGGAATAAAAAAGAGGAGATAAATCAGCCCCCGAAATTCAGTTTCAGGTCTATTAAAAAGCGAATAAGCTCGCTTCGGGTCTATTTTTGTGGCCATTCTTTATAAATATTCCGGCCAAAGACTAGTGTTCCGAATTCAGGATTAATTCGTTCCGTTCAGAAAAACATGTGCAAAAAAGTGGAAGGAGAGCGAGCACTTACTCAGCAGAAGCCAAATGAATGAATTATTCGAGGAAATACAGTCATCAAGTGTAAGTGTTCGCATTACTTATGAATTACGAGGAGAAACAGTTGGCAAGTGCAAAAACTCTGCTATATGTACATAGAAAATATCCAATTACCCTAATGACCGCAAACACTAAACACAATAAAAATCGAATCAAATGAATACAACTTTAATTCCAGACGCCAACTCAAATGTTGCCAGTGCAGAACCCATTTTGAAATGCAAACAATTTAATCGAAGGGACGAGAAAACCGTGCCCTTACAGCGGAACACGCAGCCAGTAACCCCGCCCACCTCCGCGAACACAAACACAACACCCTGTCTATTTGAATATGGCTTGGCTTTTGTTATTCCACCGAATAAACGATTCAACTGGAAAGCGCTATATTCTGGCAAACATATGCAAAACGTGAAATCTTTAATGTGAAAATAAGCATCAAGGCCCCGCTGTGCCGGAATAGCTTTAGCCGACAAACGAAAACATAACAAAGACTTGCGAATTTGGTATCAAAAAGATCTATGCTCGATCGACGTCTCTGTGCCATGTACCTTCAAAAACTGAGCCAATCAATAACTTGCACTCCAAATTTTCCAGTTCAACGGACAAATGGAAGTGGAAACCCGCGGATCCGTTCAACAATAGAGTCTAGAACATCAATAATTCTACGGATGCCTCGGGATAATTACGTGGCAAAGATGTCAGGAGTCGGGCCCAGTCACAGGTTTCTACCGTAACTCTCGCCGACAAATTTAGCCGCATTTTTGGAAGAAACAGATTCCAAAATTAGTTCCGATTCCAAAAATAACTTATCCAAAGGAATGCAGGAAGAAGCAAGCTATCCCGTGATTAAGAAAGTGACAAATTCTTCGAAAATAGCAAACGCAAATGACAACTAAAAAATATAAAAACGACCCCGACTTTCGGACTACGGTCCTCACCATGAGGTGCTTTACGGCATACTACAACGGCTGTATTGTTATAAAACACCCTGTTGGTGAGCTCATCACCTATAATTCACGTTCCCTCGAATCCATTTCTGCGATGGCCCTAATGAATTCCCAGTTCAGCCATTAGTGAATAGTGGCATTGTTTGACAAACCTCCGTACCTCCCATGTAAAAATATTTTCAACGAATACCGGATATAACAAATCAAGTCCTTCAATTTTAAAAACGAATCCATTTCTGAACGAGTGGACAGCCGAAAAGCACTTCAAAACGGATTTCCATGCTGTAACAAAAGGAAATATTGACCTCTCAAGCTGGAATTGATACCATGGAATCAAAGACATGGCATATGCCGTGAAATCATCCGACGTATTTCATTTCCCCGAATCTTTTCCGAAATTCAAACGAGCCCACGTCAAGCGCCCTGAAAACATGCCCCATCTTCACGTGTAGTTCATTCCCATTAAAACCCTCACAGGCCATAAAACGAATAAAAAGAGTTTCTGAACCTCTGAATTTCGGAACGTTGTGGAATGGAGGTCAAACTTCCGTTAAATTTCTGGGAAAAAGTCAGGTTTTATTGTTCTCGGTAAATAAAAAGACGACGTTGAGGAGGTTAGCGTAATTTAAACAGCAGCGGTCCGCAGAGACCCATTTTCATTACGAGTTTGGGGTCTCGGCATGATGAATTAAACCATGAAACGATAACATTTCTTTTCATTTCAGTTGAAATGGTTTATCAGAAAACCGGAGATCCCTAGCCAGTCACAAAATTAAATTTTTCTGGATAAAGCCCCTTTTATACCCTCTCAACTTCCAGGAACTGTTCTTTAATCATATCCCTAGATAACGGAGGACAAGACATTAAATTACGTTGACCTATCTTCCCAATTCCTATCCGAGTGAACCCTTGTAACCTTGTTATAAACCGAACCACCACTTGAACTTTCGGACTAAACTCAATTCCAAATTTCATTGGCAATCATCGAATTTTAGAATAACCAAACACGAGGAAGTCCCAGCTGAAATCGAACCCTGAGGCGTCACTACCATAAGATTACCATAATACTATTCAAATTCGACGACACAATCTACGAAATTTTATCTCATTATCCGTTCGTTTGACATCCAAATTGAACGGGGCTCCCGTAAGTATCCGATAATTTGGGTAAACATTCGGAAAATTGAAGGAATTGAATAAGGCACGTGAAATTTATAATTCAATCCGCAAATCCTATTCCCAATGGGACCTTCAAATGGAAGGAAACTTGAAAATGGAAAACTTCTGTTACGCATTTATAGTTTCTGTCCCATAACAACCGACTATAAAGAGAATACTTTAGAATTTTGTAGTCAAATTTAGACAAAACAGTTAAAGCGGAAACGGAACGTCACAAATTCAATTAATTTCATAACTTGGATATGTCATTCTTTATAAATTTCAAGGCTTCCTCCAAATTTTACTCGTCTATAAATACTCCAAAAGGCATCTAATTAAAATCTACGAAAAACTTGCACTGTGAATATGTGTAATCAAGCTTTGCAGAGCCGCAGGCACTCGATAATTAACTAAAAATATGAGCGGAAACACAAACTTCTGACGTACTACAGTATTCTAACAAAGTTTTAAAGACCATCTACGTAAGCAGACCTCATAAAGGCTCTCTAAAACCATGGGGACCATATGGTCTTTATCTTCGACCATAAAACTTGATACAAATGCTCTTCAAATAACCTTGTGACAACTTTTTTGACATTTGACATTTCAAAAGCTTCGAAAACATTGGAGAAAGCAATCATAAGTGTGATCGCTGACGAATCAAACGCATACACGTCTAAAAAGCGCTTTTTGAATCTTCACGCACTCTCCGCCACCTCGCGAACACACGTAAATTTCACTATCAATCCAGCAAGATGGATCTCCTACCTCCTCCATCAAATAAACTTTCATCCAGCCGTCTTTTATTTTCGCTTCGTGACCCTCTTCAAGCCCATCAAAATAAATAATTATCCGTCGGATATCGCAAAAGGTGGTGACTATGAACCCCATACGATCTCGAAGAATATTACAAACGCTCACAATTATCTCTTTATTTGTATTCGTCGTAAAAGTTTTGGTCGTTTTTGTGTTCGCATAACCCCGCTCTCTGCTTAACACTTGCTGTCTACGCGCTACTCTGCCCCGCGGCGATTTGGTCTTTGCACGTTTGGAGAGCAGTAAGAACATCAATTGCGCGCGCGCAACCCATCGTCGCTCGAATTTTGGCTCCTGCGGACAATTAAAACATTTTGTTAATGATTCATTCGATTAGTCAACGTGATTAGCCGGGATCAACGACCTAATGATCCGAGAGATCAAAGTTCTTCGGTTGAGATTATGGGTAATCAAAGATATCCCTTTGGTCGTCAGATAAACACTTCAACAAACAGATCAGGTTCGAGTGATCTAAATGCGACCATTCGCAAAGGAGGTTACGGAGGCCCAAACGTGATATCAAAAGATATGAGAGACAAAGGTGCAGCATAAATATGCTTCTCCAATGAAATTCCAAATCATTCGCCAAAATATATCTATATATATTCCTCCAACTCTATTCATATTTAAAGTCGATGTTTACGAAAACTAGAAATCACAACGTCGAAATAAGCAAAATAAGCTTTCCAATCCCACCAAAAATGGTAATGAAAACAAGAACCGTTGGCCAGAGATCACAAAAATCGAGGGCAAGGCAAGAACACCTCTTACGTACCCGGTCAGAATAAATAAAAGTCAAATAGAAAAACGAAAACCTAGAAGATGCAAAGCCACTCCCCGATAATTTACGGAGGTTGCGAAATAATAGCGAACACTTTGCCGTACGAAAATATGCAAAAATGAACGTAAGCCACCTTTCTGCAGCATTGCAATTGGCGATAATAGCCTTGTCCACATTCACTGCCAGTTTAAATAGATGATGATTTAGGCCGATTCAAACATCTCTGACTTCTGATCAAGTCGAAACGTGACTCTGTCACAACTGCGAACACATTTTGCTGAGCACATCAGCATAAACGAATGAGAATCCGCATCTATTTTCTAGCCTAACTCGAACACATAAAGTTATTCTGCCAGTACTACGAACACAACTTTTCTAGATACATCAACATAAACGAATGATAACTAGGAGTTCCACATCTATTTTCTAGCCCAACCCGAGGCAGATTTTGATAACGTAATTCTATCAGTACTACAAACACATTTTCCTAGACACATCAGCATAAACGAATAGAGAACTAGGGGATTTCCGCATCTATTTTCTAGTCTAACTCGAGTACATTTTGATAATTCGTGCATAAATCGATCTCGCAACGTCAGAGGGAGGGATGACTCTTCGCGGATAGGGATTTGTTGCATAGAAAAATTATGCAAATCCCTTGGATGTTTATGTCATTTCACGTTCGTCCGGGAAATACTTCACAATTCCGTCGATCGAGTTCAAAGTTGAAACAAACCACAACAAATCGGATGATATTCCATATGCGGAGAGGGCCGATGAAAGCACAAACATGAAGATTTCGAGCAACAGATTCACGATTCACACCCATAACAACAATTTTCAAGCACATATTGCCAAACTTAATGAATAAAGATCAACGAAATTTTTCGAATATCCAACTTGGCTCAGAAACAGCTCTCTATAATCTTTGTTCTTCCTCAAATTCATTTGCATAACTGGTAAACGGAAATCAGAGATCAAACCAGTTCCAAAGGCTGTCAAGTTATAAAAGCAATCATTCAGAGCAAGCTACCACCTTCACTTCCAAAATACAAATAATTTCAATTAACATTGATCAACTGAAAAGTCTGAAATCTTTTGGGAAAAATTTACTGACCGAGGAGGACATACTGAGCCGCATTTTACTATTGAAGTTGATGAGTTTTGGTATAAATAATAAAAAATAATTTAATTTTTGTTTTTTAATGCCTTATCCGATTTATTCTGTCACTTTTTCGTCATCCTGTTTATCTCGGTTTATCGTCATAGTCAAATTTTAATCATTTTTTTGTTTGTTGTTATTTTTTCGCATTTCCTGTATTTTCTAAGGTCTATGACCTAAAGCACGATAGAAACTGGCATTCCCACGTACTTCCTCCTTTCACGGCACGACAAGACAGTTTCTCCCTGACCACCCCCACAATTTCAAAACATTTCCTACCTCGATCGGCGCATCCTCAGCAAACATATCGAAGGTGTCAGCTTTCTTCTCCTTCTCCGGCACCTTTTCTTTGGCTTCTTCCTTTTTCTTCTCATATTCGATGCGTTGCCGTTCCTCTTCGGCCGATATTCGCTCTTGTTGTTGCTGAACCAGCCGTTCCACATGTTCATTGCGGCTTCCATCGATGACATTTTCTTGATCGTTTGGCTGCAAAATAAGCAATAGTAAGATCACGTCATAACGCTGTAAAAACCAGATGAATAAACAATACATTAGTATATTATAGTAGATCCCACTGTAAGGCAAACAAATAAACAAAAGGTTGATCAATTTCGGATCAAGTACAAACAGCAAAACTCTATGAAATTCTCCATTCGAGACCTTAGAACGGGTCCTGAAAGGGTAACGGCGTCACGAAAAAGTAAACAAAACTTTTTAAGATATACCTTTAAATGGGCAAAGTATGAAAGGAGAGCCGACGAACAAAGATCAAGGTAAAACTGTCAAATCTCAAACTCGGTCAAAACGATAAAAAATTGCTAAACTTACTCCCCCGCCATTCTTAACACGACTATGCTTTTCATTTAGCTCGTTGAAGAAATCCGAAGGACTTTCAGGGGGTATGTCGGTACCATAAGACGGAGAAGAAGCTGCTGTGGAGGTCTCTGATCCTGCAGGGGATCCAGTCATCTTTAGGCCAGCTTTCAAGACATCTCTTGCTTCATCGATCAAACGATCTGCTTCATCTTCAGAAGAGTCCGAAGAATCTGATGAAGAATCAGAAGAAATCTGCTCCCCTTCCTCAGCAGTTTGAGCCGTAGACTTCTCATCCGAATTTCCACTAAAAACAGATTAAAAAATGCTATTCACTTACTTTTGATTCTCCTTCTTGGCCAATTCCTCCAGCATTTTTTGTCTTCGTTTTCTGGCTTCTTCAATCTTTTTCATCTCTGTGTCCTCTTCATCCGAATCCAAGTTGATATCCGAAGGTATGTCAATTCCATCATCTTCCTTCTTTGCGGCCTTCTTGGCTTTCTTCTCTTCCTCAAAACAATTTATATTACTCTTGACGATACAAACGAGACAAAAAATAGAATTACAAGTGGAAAAGGTGAATTTCTTATGGTCTTAACGTTAAAGACGATGCATAGTTAAGACAGTCAACCAAAATATTATACAGGTACCTAAATTCGTAAAGACAATAAAAGAAAATTACCTTTCTCCTCTTCTTCTCGGCCTTTCTTTGACGGCGTTCTTCAGAAGTCTCATCACGACGCTTTTTCTTATGTTTCCGTTCAGCCTTGCTGTCTCGGCGATGTCTCCCATTACCATCATCTCTTCTACTCTTCCGTTCCAAACTTCTTTTCCTAGGACTGGAATTTCTTCGGTCCCTATCTCTCTCCCGTTCTCTTCGATCTCGACTTAAATCCCGTGTTCGACGATCAACTTCCCGTCCTCTTCGATCATCCCGGGATCGATGACGGTCTGTGGAACGACTTCGGCCAGACCGGACTGGACTGTGAGCCATTCGAGTCAACAATTAGTGATAACCGTGTATTGTAGTAGGTATGTTCACTTTACTTGGCCAGATCTAGATCGCCTGTCTCGTTTACCGATTGAAATATGTCCAGACACCCGCACTGGAATGTAAATTTGAATATGTGAGCAACAAGAAAGCAGTGAACTTACTGCTACCAAGCCAACAAAACCCCCAAAGAAACGAGCCAAGATTAAAAGGAAATCGGCTGAAATATGTGTAATATCAAACGAAATTGGACGCGAATCACGGATTGTAAGGCGTAAACGAAAACTGTCTGTAGAATAAATCCTCGACGAACCTTGGCGCGCAACAAAAAAGAATAAAGAAAAAGTTGACACGTTACGAAATGTGCCAAGTGTTACCAATTTAAAATGAATTTGAACACGGCGCTGTAAGTAAACAACTCTGGTGTTGGACCAGCTGGTAAGCTTTAGTAATGATGAAAAAATTAAAGTATTTTGTATACAGCGCTAAATTTGCGACTTTACAGTGGAAAATTTGGTGAATGTAACGCCTGACCCATAAAGGAAAGGTGTCAAGTCTTTCCCAAAAAAAGTTCTCGCAGGGGTGGTCGGCGGGCCGGGCCGGCCCGGCCCGGGCCGGCCCGGCCCGGCCCAAACGGGCCGGCCGGCCTCAAAAATGGAAATTGACAAACGGGCCGGGCCCGTCACGGGCCGGGCCGGGCCGGGCCGCGGGCCTGGGGTTTTTCCGGCCCGGCCCGGCCCGTCTAAAATACAATGCCAAACCGTTGGCATTCATTGTTTTCACGCCGGGAAAATTAATTGATGTTGTTATAGTTGCTGTTTCTCAAGTTCTAACACGTTTACAAGTCTATAGTTCCATTATAGAACCACAAAACTATCACATTGATCCTTTACTAGCTAGATCAACGCCTTTTTTGCCTCAGTTTAGATCCCGAGCCTGGGCGCAGTTCGCAGAACCCTCTATAGACGGGCCTGCACGGGCCGGGCCGGGCCGGGCCAGGCCCGTCACGGGCCGGGCCGGGCCGGGCCTGGAAAAAGACTAGACGGGCCGGGCCGGGCCGGTGATTAGACGGGCCGGGCCGCGGGCCGAAAATCGGAAAAATAGGGTCTGCTGACCACCCCTGAGTTCTCGAGTTTTCAGGTGAAATCTTGACCCACTCGTTCGCGCCATATGAGTGAGACCCCCGGACCCTCAGTCACATCATCCAGACAACCATCCGAAGACAGCGAAGTTCGTGATCTCTCCCCAGATCGACCTGATAATAGTCTAAACGTGTTTGTAAAGGCTTTCTTCGACGCTTTCTTTGAGTTTGTACTAGCCTTATTGACGGTCTACTTCTTTGGCGACAGGTATGAGCGCCAACCAAATTTTCGGTGTTATCGTCGCCGGACGATTGGTACGTTTATTCACTTCTTTTTTACACTTTTAGATACGGTCATAACGAAAAAATGTAACGTTTGTTTCTTTGCCTTTGTACGTGATAAACCCAAAGCCTTCGTTGTAATCCAAAGTCCACCGAATTAGAAAGGATTAAAGGGTTTTAATTTGTGTAATGGACTACGTTTCCATTAGAATCGAAGTGTAATATAATGGTTGATAAAATTTCAGATCCAAACCGACTTCGTCCAGGCTGGTGATACCGAGTTTTTATGCGAAATCCAAAATGCGGAATCGATCAACCATCTAGTCGTTTTTCTGACAGGACTCCAGCCTTTTCCCGAAGGAATGGGAGGATCTGGTAAGGTTTTTGTTTTTTTTTTTTTTTTTTTGATTTTTAGTGCCCTAATTACAAAATTCTCATTATTTGTGTCTTCAGTTTTCATCCGTTGGCCCCAAGCGTCAGGGGAAGTCCACTGGCACTATCTCGGATTCATAGCCAATGACAAGCCAAGTGCAATATTCAAAGTTGCTCAACTCCACAAGGCAACTTCTGATCATAGTACAGATTTGTTTTCAAACCATTCCAATGAACACGTTGTGGGTAACGCCTTACTTGGTATTATGGTTGAACCTTTGAGGCAGATACAGGAAAAGGTCGCCGCCGAAGGAACGTCTATCACTCAACAGGTAACTCTTCAGTTTTCCTTTGCATTATTAATTTAGGTTATGGCTTGATGTTCTAAGTCCCTAATTTTTCCTTATTTTTAGTCAACACTAGTTGAATTCACTGAGAAAATGCTTACGAATTTTGTGAACCACATGGGTTCGTATGTTGTTCAACTCCCGGATCCTATGAATCCCTCCCAAATAGTCGAATACATCCCAATAAAAGCCGTCAACGATTGGTTTACCAATTTCAAACGCCGTCTTCAATTCAATCCACATTTCTGGAAGAACCTGTAAAATGTATCATGTTTGTTTTGCCTAGTTCACTAATATTATTATCCCGCTGCGTCCTGTACATGAACAAATAAATATGAAATGTCATCTATTTTACATGTTTTTATTGTTCACATTTACATTATTACTTGTTTCTTTGTTCTGTGAAAGATTTTATCAGGAGTGAATTTATGTTCATCCCCAGGCATTTTTTAGTTGATCAAAATAGGTCTCCGTCTCGTGGGCATAGTCGATTTTACAAGTCGACTTAGTCTCTGAATAGTTCAGGAACGCCTTCAAATCACGATACAGTATGTTCTTCAAGATCGGATTGAAGTATACGATGCAGAACATGTGTGATATAGCGTAGAGATCCACGACAAAAAAGCCAATCTAAAATGGGTAATGGTGAATATAATGATAAGTCCATACCTCCGCCGAAACCCTTGAGATCATTGTGTTTTCCCCATAGAGGTAGACGAAATAGCCTCGAATGGCTGCCATTACCATCCCGATTAGGCAGGCGGTCGTATAACATCCCATCGATGGAGCTATCGATGCTGTAGTATAAGAGTTTTCCGTGGCTTGATATCGAGCGCTGAGGCTGGTCAATGCAAGCCGCTTCTCTCGACCTCGCTTTGTGTTGGTTAGGAGTAGCCGGAGCCACTAAACCAAATTTTTGATTACATTGAAGGTGTAGAATATAAGATTAGTACCGAATATAAGCACTTACTCCATATCCTATAGAACAAGTGAGCGCGCCGATGGTGAATGCTCCAAATTCCCATTCCCAATGCAAATCAGTTGTTACACAGCTGACTTTTGAGGTATTCAAGTCGAAATCATCCACTATAAAGAGGAAAAAGTACCAAAAAATGGCTCCAATTGCGAAACTTTGCACGCACTGAAAGTAAGGTGTAAATTTTTGATCTTTATGTTCTTCGTACTCTGCAATTTATTCTGGGTTTGCTGAGCAAATTTTATGCGTAATTACACGTTTTCGTAGAATACGTACTAACAATCCCCTATGGGTAATAACAAGCTTGCAGGTGCTATTCTGATGTTTTTGGGCTATCTTTCGCTCATGAACTCTTCTATGTAGTTTATACTCATTTTATGATCCAATTAGGACCAAATTGTAATTGTATTAGACCATGTTAAACGTTGAATTAAATCGATTGAAAGTTTAGATACCCTGAGGGTAAATTAAACTCTTTTTTGTATGTGTAATTGTCAAAAATATAGTATTGTATTGTTTTTCTCACAAATTGTAAAAAAATTGTGCCAAAGCTCACCACACACATTCCCAGCACACATCCCAGGGTATTCGGCTTTTCCTCGTAGACATTTACCCAATGATAAGCGAGTTGTCTTTCCAAAGCCAACATAAACATGCTAATCGCGACTGCAGCCGCCATTACATTATTCAGCAGTCCGATTATGGCACATCCAATGTTCACATAGAAACGATCGGTGTGATCGATAAAGTAATCGTTGTAAAAGTGCATCGTCGGCATGCTTAGATGCATTAATTCCATGGCGATTACGGTACTGCACTAAACTATTTTATTAATCTTTTGTCCCCTAATTTTTGGGAAAACTGCGGTTAAAAAATTTTTCAAAATACCCAGAATTTAATGTCTGTCTGATTTCGTGTTTTTACTTGGCTTTAATGACCAGTAATCACGGTTTTATTGTAAGGGGAAGTAGTTGTGGTTTGGTTACGTAAATTAGAAAATTACTGGCTAAATCCAGGAAAAACAGTTTCTTGAAAACGTGTTATGAAGAAATTAGCTCAAAAGGTTAATCTTATAACTTCGTTTATAAGAGCATGGTACTTTGGTAAAAGTTGAGAGCTTCAAATATAGTACAAGAGCTTGGAAGTGGATTCACCTTTCTAGAAAATTGTTGTTGTGCAGGTATTGTATTTCGGTCATCGTTTTGATGCATCAACTATTGTTGCGTACAAAAACGAATAAAAATTGGTGCAGAGGAAATCGCGATGCGATAGGATAATTTTATTCTAGGCCGTTAATAAATTTTCTAAAATTTAGACTAGCAGTTTGAAGGGAGAGCCGAAATATTTATAACAAAACTTCCACTTACCACCTGAATCCGATAATTCACATGGAATACCGTAATGCTCGCCAATTTAATTGTGAAAAGAATATTCAGAATACTGTTGAAGACACCAAAAATCAAGTAGAAATTTCCAAAAATATGGTAGATACTTTCCCTTCCTTCAAATACCGGGTCGACCCTGAGGCGATCCCAATCCATCGAATAGTTTGCACTCCACATAATTGCAATCTAATAGGGTAATGGCCAATAGGAGTGTCATGAACGAACTCAGATAAACCCCTCAAAGGGTATAATTGGCATGGGAATATAATGGATGAACTTGAAAGTGTAGCGGTTACAGGTTGGAGTTGTAGTCCAGTGCAAAGGTTTAGATATCTGAAAAATTGTCTTTTGAATTTATGAGATGTGAAATAAAGAATTAACAACATTGAAAGGCAAATTAAAAGGCCCAAAATTTGAGATTTTCGATTTTTAACTTCTGTTAAAGACCATGGGCCACTTGATAGATTATAACAAAATTTTTTAAAAATAAGGTTTCCCATACTAAATTCAGTTCTATACAAAAAAGGCAAAGGTCATGGATAGGCCGCAAAGCGCAAGCTAAGATTTTTATTAGTTTTTCAAGGCCCATGCAGAGCTTCGGCCAAAATTTAATAAAAATTTTATCCATCCGCCGAGCACAAGTCCTACTCCTGTAGCAAATAAATTGCACAATGACGTCTGTAATTATAAGAGCCGGCTAAATTAAATTGTGAAATCTGAATAATAAAAAGTAATAAGCACGAAAGCTGCGGATCGTAACAGCCGTTGTAATCATGTGGGAGCCCGAAGGTTATACGCCCAATAAAATGTATTCACACTTTAAGTAAGGTGTAAAAAGGGTGTGGAGGTTCTTGGAACTCCCATTGAAATTAAGATCAGAGAGGACCAAAACCGTTGATTGCCTGAGGCAGAATGTGCGTAAAAACGTATTTCCGGAGGGATTTATAAATAGAATTTAAGAGATGAGGCGATGAGAACAGCGATCGGTTCTATAATAATATATAATCAAAAGAAGAGCAGACGGCGAAGGCATGAGTTGTACGTACTTTAGTCTGAGATTTGACTGTAAAAATGCAGCGAATAGCAAAGCCATGGGAGGTCGAAAATGCGCGGTAAAAAGAAAAGCGAACAGTTGAACAACTTAGGAAACAAAAAGTGTCATCGTATATATACTCCCCGCCATAAGTTTTGACCCCCCTTCTAACTCGGTCCAAAGTGTACCAATTTGGACCAAATTTGGTACGTAGTCTACTGATAACCTAGTAGTAAAAAATATCATATCAGGGCAAACCACATAGCTGTATTTCAAAATCGAGAGACAATTTTTTAAAATCACCCCCAAAAAAAGAGGACAAAAGTTTTGACCCCCCTCTAAAAAAAGTTAAATATCGCCACCGGATGTAGCCCGAACCTTTCGCAATCGACGTGCCATACCTGAATACAAGTTAATAAATGCTTTTCCGTTGAATGCTTCGTTGCATCTGAGGATGCAACGCATTAAACCGAGTTTGATGTAGAGCTGCCCAAAATGGTTAATATCTCGCTCTAGCGCTTTCCAAATGTTCTAAATTGTGTTTATATCATTTGGTTTTGACTTGTAATCACCTGCATTAACCTTCTCCTTTTGAAAAAAGTCCACGATGGCCTAGCGGTGTCGATTCGGCCGATATCCAGTTGTCATGCCCAGCCTTGGAGAGCCATTTGCTTTTTGGCTAAAGGTCTAGATGTGGTCGTTAGGTCCTCAATCTAATCCTGAGACTCACATCTACACTTAGTCCAAGAATAAACTCCCGCTGACACGATCTCAAATGGTTTGCCGCCGCAACTTTGCCGATCTGCACCTTAACCAAAAAACCGAGTTTTTCAAATGGATTTTTACCGAAGAAAAATGCCTTGTATTAGATGGCCCGCGTAATTTAAGAAGCTACGGCACCCGCCGTCTACGTCTGAGACGTATCGAACGCCAAATTGCCTGCGGGGATCTGATCGTCCTCGGGGGCATTTACAGTTACGGCGAACTCAAGATTAAGGTGAATGAAACCCATTACAAAACGTGTCAAATCGAGAAATTTTACAATACTGAGTGTAAGTATGGGTCTCAGGATTAGATTGAGGACCTAACGACCACATCTAGACCTTTAGCCAAAGAGCAAATGGCTCTCCAAGGCTGGGCATGACAACTGGATATTGGCCGAATCGACACCGCTAGGTCATCGTGGACTTTTTTCAAAAGAAGAAGGTTAAAGCGGGTGATTACAAGTCAAAACCAAATGATATAAACACAATTTAGAACATTTGGAAAGCGCTAGAGCGAGATATTAACCATTTTGGGCAGCTCTACATCAAACTCGGTTTAACGCGTTGCATCCTCAGATGCAACGAAGCATTCAACGGAAAAGCGTTTACTAACCTGTATTCAGGTATGGCACGTCGATTGCGAAAGGTTCGGGCTACATCCGGTGGCGATATTTAACTTTTTTTAGAGGGGGGTCAAAACTTTTGTCCTCTTTTTTTGGGGGTGATTTTAAAAAATTGTCTCTCGATTTTGAAATACAGCTATGTGGTTTGCCCTGATATGATATTTTTTACTACTAGGTTATCAGTAGACTACGTACCAAATTTGGTCCAAATTGGTACACTTTGGACCGAGTTAGAAGGGGGGTCAAAACTTATGGCGGGGAGTATATAAAGGTGGTCATATAAGATCTCGGAATTTTTTTTTCCCAAATCGCGATTTTCGGTGCACAAAAAAGTCGACGCCCAAATCGAAAAATTGGCGTCAACTTAATTTTTTCAGCACCGAATTCCGAAATGCGGTGCTGACTTAAGCACTTAAGTGTTCGGTGCAGACTTAAGACTTTGTGCACTGATTTCGAAAAACTTCGAAAAATTTATCGAATTTCAGAATTCGGTGCCGAGAAAAAAATAAGTCGACGCCAATTTTTCGATTTGGGCGTCGACTTTTCTGTGCACCGAAAATCGCGATTTCGGAAAAAAAAATTCCGAGATCTTATATGACCACCTTTATATAGCCTCAACCGTTAGTCTGTTTTTATTTTCAACAAAAAATGTGGCATTCTGCGGTATGAATCGTTCAATTTGCAATATAATTACACGCGACTTTACAATTTTAAATTCGTACCTCTCGAATGTCAACACAGCTCATATTAATTTTTTTCTAAATTGTGCCTATTCAACAGAGGTTCTTGAACTTTATCAGACTCTGGCAAAACAAGCAAGATTTTCGTGGGACTGCCCTTTATAGTGTGGGTTCAGGTTCCTTTTCTTTGAATAACACCAAAAATTGTAGTAAGAGGAATCCAGAAGTCATCGGAATCAGGTTTTAGAAAAAATTTGGAGTCACCGGATTTATTTCTACAGTATGCATTTCCGCAAAAAATCCGATTTTTATGCATCAACTCATCTCTGCAAAGCTCAAGCCAACATTTTTATGAAACGGTAAAACAAATTAATTAAGGGGTAGCGTTTCGAATTATCGTCAGAAATGCGTGCAATTACAGTTTTATTATAGGTTGCCCCGCAAATGGTGTCCCTCTTCGAGAATTGTATAAAAACATAAGCGGTAAAATTTCAAAATATTGCACCATTTTGTAGCCGAGATCTCAAGCTTTTTCTTGAATTATCGATGAAATTGCTCGAAAAAGATCACATAAATTTCGGTAAAACTTGGCACAAATAGGGATGACAATTTTTCTAAAGAATTTCGGTAGATTTTCGGCTCGTTTTCTTAGAGTGACTTAACAAATTTATTCACCAAGAACATTATTTCCAGGCACTTTCCAGCTGTTGGAAATACATTTCCGTTTCTTTACAATAGTTTACTTTGTTTCTCCGTGGGTCCGGATTTATCCGGAATATCCATCTAAAATCCTTAACAAATACTCGTTTGATAACTGGCGTGTAGTTGACGATACAGTAAATATGGCATAATGAGTAAATGTCCGCAGTGCAATAGCCGAGCTTAAAAGTTCAAAGACTTGTAAAATACGGGCACTTAACCTACTTGCGCCAAAAATTTTGATATGATTGTATTTTCTCCATATTTCTTTACAATACTTCCACGATAGCCGCCCAATGCAGCTCCAATCAGGGCTTGAATTGTGTAGAGAAACATGGACATTGATATGGAGGAGGTTGTCAACGAGTTCTCTGTGGCTTGATATCGAGCACTAAGGCTCTCTAGAGTCAGTCGGTTCAGGTGATTCCGACTGGTTCGGCGCTTGAGGAAGAAGAGCCACTAAATAGCAAAATGTGTAGATTTTTTAGAGTCATTTTGACTTACGATGGCTCCACAAATACAAGTAACGGCAGCAAATGCATATCCGAGAAATTCCCATTCCCAATGCAAGTCGGTTGTTACACAACCAGTACATGAGTTTTCGAAGTCAAAATTATCGAAGTTGATCGAGAAAACGTACCAACAGATTGTTCCAACCAACAGGCTTTGAATTATCTGGAAAGCAAGGGGTTTTTATGGGGCTTCGACCTCGAAGTTAGCACAATTCTAACCATAAGTTGGCTACATTTTATAAGTAGGCCACATATCAATTTATACAATCATTTTCAAAAAGATACGGCCTCGAGGACACGGTTCTCACCTACCACAACGGTAACCAGCATACATCCCAATGTTTTTGGTTTGTGCTCGTACACATTGACCCAAACGTAGGCAATCTGTCGCTCCAAAGCCAACATAAACATGCTGACTGCACAGGAAATTGCTGCACAATTACTAATCCACGCAATCATTGAGCATTTTACATTAACAAAGAAGCGATCCTTCACATCTTTGGTGGCTTGGTAATACATCCGACCAATTGGCATGGTAAAGTGCATTAATTCGTAAGATAAAGCGGTGCTACACTGAAATTTTCATATTTTTAAGTAAGCAGAAAGCGCAAAAATATACTTACCACATTGATTCTGAAGTTGACATGGATTGCTGTGGTGGCAGCGACTCTTATGATAAAATAAACGTTCACAAAGAAATTAAAAATTCCGAAGAGCTGGTAAGAATAATAAAAATATTCGGCAAATTGCTCAAGGTTCGAATATTCCGCGATTGATTGGAGATTCTCGTAATCCAACGTGCAGTTTTGAAGCATGGTAAGCGTGCTTCAACTGAAAATAATAAAAGTAATTTTGTTTGTACGCTAGACAAACAGTGAATTCTAAATTAAATTTGTATGTATTATAAGATTAACTTTGTAGGTAAATATAAGTCCAATATATTAGTTCGTCACGAAAGTAATGAGAACAGTGTCGCTGCGCCGATTACGTCACTGACAATGAGGTGAAACCCAATTTGAAACAATTCATTTTCCCGGCGGAGATGGGATTTTCGGGGCGAAATTGTACCCATTATTTTCCCGACAGACGAATACCCGAAACTGCTGGTCTTTAGAAATATATCAAATGAAATCAAAGCGGGTTTTTAATAAGTCATCAGCGGCTTTAAAGATACAAAATGCGTCTTCTAGGATTTTATTCTTGGATTATAAGGCCCGCAGAAAAAAGTGTGGAGTTATGATATCAAGCTGTCTGGAAAATAATGTGGATTCTTGGAATTAGCCATCATAGCTTTGAGACGGCTAGCCGCGATTGAGGATTTCGCGACTACGATGACTAGACATTTTCCTGTAACAAATCTGCATTATTTTCCTGGCAGAGTGATATTAAAACAACCCCGCCTCTAACACTTCCTTTGCAAATTATACTGTGATCAAATTATATCGTCTTAAAACGGCGTTAAAAGAGATTGTAGTTGTAGCATAATACGAAAAATGTCAATAAATCTATTCTTTGAATGACTGCTGAGCCTTGGCCAAAAAGTAGAAACGTCAAAAAATACCATAACAAGCGAAATTGGCAGTCGTCTTTTAATACCGACATCTACTAATTATTTCAACTATCAACATTTATTAAGTACTCATATGTCATCAGACAGGAGCCCCGGCCTATTCATCCGACTAAAAGTTACCTGAGTTCCGCATGTTTAGTGCAACCCAGGCAATTCAAAAAATTTTGTCTTTTGCGTCATAAAATTCAGAAGGATAAAAGTATTACAATGTGACTATGATTGGTCAAGATTAATGTTTGTTTTATAGTCTTTCATTACTATAAAGTGCACCTTCTTGCATGTTCTTGTCGGAATTGCAGATGATTACACTTTCAGACACCTTTAGAGACAGCTACTTTTACTAATGATATTTTAACAAGCTGCTTGTAGTCTTGAATGCATTTTTGGCTCAATATATTCGTTGGTATTTCAAAGGTTGTCACGGAACGATTCAATCTTTGAGAGAGAATTTGTAGAGCCTTTGGAAAAAAAGTTTGCTGGAAATTGTGGTTTATACGGTGAATTTCAAAGGCGAACGTGCCAAATATTACATATATTTATTACATTTTCAATATATACACAGTGAATTTGTGGCCCTGAAGAGGGCCGTTTGGGATCAGAATTGCTCGTTTGGCGAGGCTAAGACCATGAGGCTAAGATTCCAGCTTAGGCCTGGCTGTCTCCGGTCTTCTTGGGCAGAAGGACGGCGTTGATGTTGGGGAGGACACCACCTTGAGCGATGGTAACTCCGGCCAAGAGTTTGTTCAACTCCTCGTCATTTCTGACGGCCAATTGCAAGTGGCGGGGGTTGATTCTGGACTTTTTGTTGTCGCGGGCGGCGTTTCCGGCCAACTCCAAAACTTCAGCGGCCAAGTATTCGAGGACGGCGGCGAGGTAGACGGGGGCTCCGGCACCAACTCGTTGGGCGTAGTTGCCCTTGCGGAGGATACGGTGGAGACGACCCACGGGGAACTGGAGTCCGGCTCGGGATGAGCGGGACTTGGCCTTGCCTCCGGTCTTGGCTTTGCCTCCTTTTCCACGTCCAGACATTGTTGAGCGAGTTTGAGCGAGTTGCTGATCGAACCAAAGAATTGGTATGAAAATTTGAGGGGAAAGCGCTGGTTTATATAGTTCCTGCCGAGTGGGGAGGGGTTTTAGGAAAGGGGAGTGGCCACTACTGGTGTGTCGGCGTCCGAATTCGAGCGGGAAATGGACGCTCGCGCCAAAAAATAGCGCGGAGAATCGGCGAAAAAACAGGCATCAAGGGGAAGCGAATATGGATCAGGCATTGCGTATGACTTCTATTACCACTCTTCAACTTGCGTTATATTTCATTTATTATACAGACAGAACTGGAGAGTCTCAAAAATACAAATTTTGTGCAAGCACATACAGTTTCAAAATCTACTGAAATCTTGATAGAAATGTAATGCATTTTTGCTCTTTTACCACCAGAACAATAAATTTTATATTCAAGTATTTGTAGGATCTTCAAAATTTCTTAGTAAAGCTAAAAAAGTAAAAGTTTGCAGCCGCAACCGCTTTTCTCCATAAAATTTATATCTTGGGTGTTTGAAGAAGCCAACGAAACAAGCTGCGATTACAAATGAGGCCTCAGGAAATTTTGTATTTCTTCATGCTATTGTTGCTCTTCCTTGGATAGAGAGCTTAATTTAGTTTAGTGTACAAAGCATTTACAAATATTATGTATTGTGCGGTACTCTGCAGTATTATCTTTTTGAGACACAAAAAATTGTTGTCTTCCCCCAACCTCTTTTGTGACTTAATTGAGTATTGCAGGTTTACTTATGATTTGGAACCGTTCTTCTTGCTTTGCAGCCTTGTGAAATAGAGTTTGGACACTCTCATTTCTCATAGTTATACATATTCTCTCCAAAAGTCTTCTACATATAATTTCCCTTAAAACAAGTACACATTTCTAATTTATTTACAAACACAAATAAATGAGGCAAGGTTCAATTGTGGCCCTGAAGAGGGCCGTTTGGGATCAATGAAGTTGTCGTGTGGAGGGCACGGGCCGACGAGCAGGGTCGACTTATCCACCGAAACCGTAGAGGGTGCGGCCTTGGCGCTTGAGGGCGTAGACCACGTCCATGGCGGTGACGGTCTTTCTCTTGGCGTGCTCACAGTAGGTGACGGCATCTCTGATGACATTCTCGAGGAAGACCTTGAGGACACCACGGGTCTCTTCGTAGATGAGGCCGGAGATACGCTTCACTCCACCACGACGGGCGAGACGGCGAATGGCGGGCTTGGTGATGCCCTGGATGTTATCACGGAGGACCTTGCGATGGCGCTTGGCTCCACCCTTTCCGAGGCCTTTTCCTCCCTTTCCACGTCCGGACATGATTCACTTGATTCCGAGTTGGTACGACTCTGCGTATGAAGAAAAACTGCTCAAACCACTCTTTATATACGCGAAGAAGATGGGGTGGGCGGGGCTTATTCGAGCGCGAATACGAACTAAAAATAAGAGAGTCGTGCATCGATGATGGCTTGGCTTGGTTTGCGAAGGAAAACGCGTCCTCTAGAAAGTGACCTAGGTCAATTTTGGCGCCAAGGAATGGACGAGGGCCATCTGCGCCTCGGAATGAGAAAGAGAAAATTTAAGGAAACAAACTACAGTAATCTTAATTTGAATTGAAGATCTGTTCAAAGTTACATTATAATTGCTAATCTGGGAAGTAATTGCAACCCATAAAATGACTTTGAAAAATCTAGGGCGTAATTTCGCAAGTATGCATCTAAAGTTGAAACATTCAATCGAAATAAAGTGAAAAAAAAATAGAATGTGTAAAGTGCAATTTGAGAAAGTATATGTGCGAATCTTGCTAATAATTTAGTTGTAAAGTCCAACAATTCATTGTCACATTTTTTTGTAGCGGGAGATTTCAAAAATTTTTACATTGAGATGGTTTCAGAGAATCTTTTATTGCCGTCGAAATATTTATTAATAAAATTAATGTATGTATTTTTGCACTTGACGGGAAATTGCAGTGTAATCATTTTATAACTAACTTACACACAAAAAACCTAAACTTGCCTACAGATAACAAGCAATATCAAATCTCCCATTAGTCGCTAAAAAGGCGAATTAACCTCCGTACTGTAAACCCTTCTGTAACGAATAGTTCCTTTTGGTTCTTTACAGAGGCTTGGTTGTAAAATTTACCATACCTCTTGCTGATTGTTGTATAATATTATATTTGCGATCAGGAAACAGCACCTTAACAGGCACCACATTATTACTCATTTGTTAATCAACTTTCTGTCTTTTGTATTCATTTTTAAGTCCTGTAGCGGATCCGAACCTTAATTTTAAGTGTACTAAATTTTCTTCTTGAAGATGCTTTCCGCCATCTGGAATGACATTAAAAGATCAAATACGTTTTCTTTATTACAAACAAATAAATATGGCATGTAGTTGTGGCCCTGAAGAGGGCCGTTTGGGATCAAAATGGTTGACGCGGGACTTGTGCAAGTCCTCCGAGTACAGTCATCCAGTTTACTTGGAGGAGGTGTACTTGGTGACGGCCTTGGTACCTTCGGAGACGGCGTGCTTGGCCAACTCTCCGGGAAGGATCAGTCTGACGGAGGTCTGGATTTCGCGGGACGAGATGGTGGACCTCTTGTTGTACTGGGCCAATCGGGAGGCTTCGGCGGCGATGCGCTCGAAGACGTCGTTGACGAAGGAGTTCATGATGCTCATGGCCTTGGAGGAGATTCCAGTGTCGGGGTGGACCTGCTTCAACACACGGTAGATGTAGACGGAGTAGGTCTCCTTTCTCGACTTTCTTCTCTTCTTGCCGTCGGTCTTGGCCACCTTGGTGGACTTGACAGCCTTCTTCGCGCCTTTACCAGTTGGTTTCGGAACCATGCTTGATCTCAAGAGTTGTGCGGACACAATGAGGAGAACTGACGAAGACCCTGGTCTTTTATAGGCGACGTTAAGCAGCGTTGGCGCATGGGCGGGGCTTGATCTGGCGCGCTTTTCTGTAGTGTTTGTGGAAGAGGCGAATGGGAGGATCGGTTAGAGTGACCTCTCAAAAATGGCGCGCTTTTAATTTGGATCTTGAATAATGTAGAAGCTTTGTGTAAACGAAGAAATAGCATTGGACAGAGAAACCATAGAAAAATCAGTACTTATGAAAGATGGCTCGAGCTTGAAATACACAAGTCCTTATCTTAATATAACACAAATTGACAAATTCAACCACTGCTAGTAATGTTTTACGCATTGGTTGCATAGAAACATATTTTGACAATAAGTTATGGGGTGCTTAAATATCAGAGTAAGGTTATATTTTTTTTTGTGCACGAACAACAAACGCCTGTAATGCAAAATCTGTCTATAAAAACAATCTCATAGTCACAACAGTCGATTAAGTAATTATAAACCTTCGCATAACGAAGCCTTTGCATGAAGATAATTTTTTTGTCGTTTGCAATATTTTGTATGTATAGATGCTTGAATGTATTTTATTCTTTACGACACTTTATTTGAGCGTAGCTTTGAATCATACTTATTGATTTATGAGTCCACCTGGGATATCTGTGCATGATTTGAAACGCGACTATCTTTACTTGGATATTTTCTTTATTCAAGGTTTCCAGTTCAGTTTGTTGCCAGTAAGTAACTCTGACTGTAATGCTGGAACTTCTATTAATTTTGTTAGATTCTGCAAACACAATTCAAAAAAGAAACAACTTTATTTATTCGCAACAAATATATATGGCAGTTAATTGTGGCCCTAAAGAGGGCCGTTTGGGATCAGTTTAGCTTCAGCACAAGTCCATTGGAGTTGAGACGGGCAGCTTTAAGTGATCAGGGAATGATCAATTTAAGCGCGCTCACCACGGATACGGCGGGCCAGTTGGATGTCCTTGGGCATGATGGTGACACGCTTGGCGTGGATGGCGCACAAGTTGGTGTCTTCGAAGAGACCGACGAGGTAGGCCTCGCTGGCCTCTTGGAGGGCCAGAACAGCGCTGGACTGGAAACGAAGGTCGGTCTTGAAGTCCTGAGCGATCTCACGCACCAACCGCTGGAAGGGCAGTTTGCGGATGAGGAGCTCGGTGGACTTTTGGTAGCGACGGATCTCACGGAGAGCGACGGTTCCAGGTCGGTAACGGTGGGGCTTCTTGACACCGCCGGTGGCTGGGGCCGACTTGCGGGCGGCCTTGGTGGCCAGCTGCTTGCGGGGAGCCTTTCCTCCGGTGGACTTGCGGGCAGTTTGCTTGGTACGAGCCATGGCTTACTTTCGAAAGCTGAAGTCTGAACGACTGATGGCGAATTCGCCGATCGGCCTGGTATTTATAGGAAAAGCGCGAGCGAGAGGCGGGGCTTAATTTTAGCGCGGCAACGGCGTAGACGCGAAAAAACGCGCCAAGCCTGGTGCGACAGAAAGAAGATGCAACGAAAGGGGTCAACGGAAAAAGGAAAAAGGGGCTTTCCTTTTCTGAAAAAAACAAGGGACATAAAATTATAAGGAATAGACGCGTATGTAGATATAGCCTCGGAATTTAAATATGACCTATTTATTGCAAAATTCAGAAATAATTTCACAACAATTTTCAAGGCGAATTAATGTAAACTCAAGCTTCGAAAACTGTCATTTTTCCTCCAGCTATTGATTTAATGCCAGTCGTGTCCGTGATGACCATGGTGTCCGTCATGATGTCCCCAGCTTCCGTGACCGGCATGACCATGTTCGTCTCCATGGGCAAAGCCAGCATCATGTCCGTGATCATCTCCAGCTTCATGTCCGTAGTTGGAGTGCCATTCATCTCCAGAGGCATGGGCTTTGTGGCCACCGTAGTCGAGACGAGCCCAGTCAGATTGGTCTCCCTTGTTGAAGCCTTGTTTCTCGTGATGATCATGGGAATGATCTCCATCCCACCCATGGGCATTGTGGTTGTCATGATGCCAATCAGCTCCGTGACCGTGGTGTTCTCCATGATGGTCGTCATGATGATCATCGTGGTGGGGCTCCCAACCGTGATGACCGTGATGATGGTCATCGAAAATGGCTAAAATTTAATTTTACAATCATAAAAATACATATACTATAATAATGGGAGAAATACCGGATAAAATTCGAAATAACTTACGATGAGACGCGACAAAGCCGAGTCCGACAATCGCAATAACTGTGGCAGTAACTGGAGAGAACATGGTTGATAATATTGCAGTAATCGGCCTTTCTCTTATATACTTCACAAAACTCTCAGCAGAACTGGATTCGACATGCAAATATCATAAAAATTATTTGTCTCCACCGTCACATTATTGCGCAATAAATTATGTAGACTCAAATTTTATTTACTCGTCTTTATTTGTGAGACAGTATATAAGACGGACAGAAGAAACAATGTCATCGTATCATTGCAACATGGTCTCCTCCGTCTACTCGGCTTCGTTCGTTCTCCTTTGCGGTCTAGGTCTGGCTGCGGCTTCAGGTAAAACCTATTTCTTTTAATAACTCCTCTTATTTAGGTCTTTTCGACGACCATCATCATGGTCATCACGGCTGGGAGCCCCACCACGATGATCATCATGACGACCATCATGGAGAACACCACGGTCACGGAGCTGATTGGCATCATGACAACCACAATGCCCATGGGTGGGATGGAGATCATTCCCATGATCATCATGAGAAACAAGGCTTCAACAAGGGAGACCAATCTGACTGGGCTCGTCTCGACTACGGCGGCCACAAAGCCCATGCTTCCGGAGATGAATGGCACTCCAACTACGGACATGAAGCTGGAGATGATCACGGACATGATGCTGGCTTTGCCCATGGAGACGAACATGGTCATGCCGGTCACGGAAGCTGGGGACATCATGACGGACACCATGGTCATCACGGCCACGACTGGCATTAAATGTTGTCTGCTCTTCGAATTTTGAAAAATAAATTAGTTGCATCAAAAGTGTTTCCTCGACAAAGTTTACTTTTTCACTGATTATTATATCCCGTTCGTGCAATACATAATTAGGTTATTATGTGTGACTTTTTTGTGCTGTAGTCTCCAATATGCAGGACACAGCTAGTGGGAAAATCACAATACTGTTTAATTAGCACTCTCAGCTAGTAATTAGGTATGACAAAAATATTTTTGGAATGGATTACAAAACTGTTTGAAGAATGGACAGCAATCATTAAAAATATCAGAGTAAGTGGGAGGAGACCTTGAGAAAGACAATATACTGTATATAAGGGCACGTGATTCACATTGAAATATATAACCCATTCCTACAAACGAGGAAGTGGGAGTGCAACAAATTGCAGGTTCTCTTACGAAAGCCTTATTTCATCATACACTCCTAATTCCTGGCGGATTCCACGTTGAGTCCAGCTGATTAAAGTAAACTTCAGTCTCCATTGCATGATCGGTGTTTGGCCTTATCCTAGATTTCAAGCAGAAAACCCATCTGAAGTCGCTTGTTATTTTGTTTTGGAGTAGCGGATTATACCATAAGATACAGAACGAATGTATAAATGAGTAAATATCTCCAACGAAATAACCAAACTAAATAATCAGATATATGAAATCATAGATATGACTCACAGTAACCAACATTCTAGAAGAGATAGTATTCTCCCCATGATGATATACCACATATCCTCGAAGAGCACCTGATGTTATTCCAACGACAGTCAAGAGTAAATAAAAGAACATAGAGCGGTAAATCGAGCACATAGTTTGATAATTCTCGGTGGCTTGATATCTGGCACTTAGATTTTTCAAATTGAGACGGGTCTTCTTACTGAGCTTTGCCCGGCGGCTGAGAATCCGTACCCACTAAAACAAATGTAAAATTATTTGCAAAACCATTTATTTAGAGCCTTTTTAAATTAAAACTTACCACAAGACCAGCAGCACAACTTCCAAACGCCAAAACGTACGCCCCAAATTGCCACTGCCAAGTAACATCGGTCGCGGCACATCCCAATCTTGAGGTATATACGTCAAACCTGCTAAGATAGACAACAAAGTAACACCATAAAGCGGCTCCGCAAATAGAACTTTGCAGAACTACGATCGTGCCTAAGGCGCACCCCAAAGTATTTGGCTTCTCTTCGTACACATCAACCAGTCGATAAGCGAGATGCCGCTCTAGGGCCAACATAAACATAGCGCTAGCTGAACCAAAGACGGCAATGTTGTTGATAACTCCAACGGCGATGCAGCCAACGTTTGGCCAAAATCGAGGCTCGATAAAGACAGTGTAGTCGTTGTAGAAATGGGCTAGGCCTTCAGTGAGGGACATTAGTTCCAGAGAGATAATAGTGTTACACTGTAATTCCATCAGTATGATATACTGCGTTTAATATTTTAAAGAAACTGTAGAGCTATCTTGGGATCTGCTTTTAAAGAAATCTTACCACAGAGATCCTAAAATTGATATGTAAAGCTGTCGAGTAAGCAATCCTGACCACAAAATACAACTGACAAATCAAATTTACAGCACCAATAATTTTGGTGTAAGACAACATCCGATAATACCAATCTTCTCTGCCCTCCAAATACGGATCTGATCGCATTTTATCCCAGTCCATGGAATAATTTGACTCCATTCCGTGTATCATACTATACTAAGGCACAAAGTCTCTTGAATCTGCATGTGGAATGAGTAATAATATTAAATTGAAACAAATTACAAACCAGGGACAAATAATTACTTGGTTACTTATTTATGATATCAGTCAATTGGGAAAATAATAAGGAATGGTTGCAGCAACATGCATAGAAATTGGGAAACTCCAAGGCGCTACCATTCCCTATTACAGTATTTTCTCGACAGACTGAAGTTGTCGCGTTACGAGCTTAAAAGGAGCAGCACTACAATAAGATTATACAGGGTGGCGGTAAGAACTCTTTAATAACAGGGGTGAAGTCATCACCTGCATCAGAGCAAAAACAAGTAAAGAGATTTGGCATGAATAACATGGTCTGGTCTGTCAATAAACAGAGCAAAGGTTATGTTGGAGAAAATTCAATTTATGCGAGTAAAAAGGAGTTGAAACGTTTTGCAATGAAATTACACTGCATCCGTTGCCTCCTACTCAACAACAATAACACCTCAAAAAGCTGCCTTAGACTCGGGTTTGTACTCTGTCCAAAATTAGTATCCTTCAAAATTAAATGCCGGTTGGACTCAATATCTTGCTAGAGGCAATGCCATGCCACAAAAATTTGATACTCATTTACGGAGGATGTTTTGATTTTTGACAGCCATTAGGCATGTTTATTTACATTTTTGGAAATATCAGAGGTGACAACAGTACCAAGGCTGGATTTGTCTACGTCAAGAATCAAAGAACAGGGTAACGGATAAAGGTCGCTCTCGTATAACCGCAGTGAATTAAATCTTGTTGCTTTGCGTTTCATTAACATCCTCCAATGCCCTGGAGATTTTTGTATTTCCTGGGAATTGCTAGGCTGTTTTTTAGACTCCATTTCTGCAACGCTATGACGACATCAAAACACCCAATTTTGTGGGAAATAATGCGTCCATGATGCGCAACCATAAGGCTGCAAACTTTGTTAGAACAGGGAAGCAGTGACTACGGAATGCAGTCCAGACCAAGTCAATCTTTGTTACTTTTGTTACTTTCTACTGTAAATTGCGGGCCGCTAAAGCTTGTCGCATTCCCGGTCGAATTCGTCAAATTTCGATACACGAAAGAGCCACTTTATGATCAAGGGCGAAATATTGTACTATTGACGAGTATAAGGTGTTATCAGTCTGTCGGAAAAATAACGGCGGATCGTCGCAGCAAAATGTCTCGCCTCGCCGCTATCGCGCACCAAATCCCAAGTCGCGGCCTGCAGTCGCAAAGCGATGATGAGCGACTCCGAGGCGCGACGATCCGCCGTTTTTTCCCCGACAGACCGATAAAATGTTTCAGCGTAAAACGGCCTTTCGTAATATTGTATTTGGACTCTAAAGTGCTGTAAAAATTCTGAATGTACTATAAATGCATCTTCTTCATGCTTCTTTTTCTCCCGACTAATTTGGCAAAAAAAGCGAACGTATCAACGCAATTTTGTACGCGACCACCCATCATATACCATCCATGTAAATGTATTTCAAATTGATCACGAAGTACATAGTACTTGAAATGCGTGAAAAATTTAAGGAAAGATGTAACCCCTCCACATACAAAAACCTTCTGGTTTTCAAACAAAAATCATTTATTTCCAAGCATCCCTGAACTGGTCAAAATACATTTGTGTTTCCCTTTGATAATCAATTTTTGCATCCGCTGGCGTGCTTTTCCGGCAACAAGAGAACATAGTAAAATCCTGTTGAATGACCCGTCGAACCATTGGATTATACGCCCATATACACATCAAATGACATAAGGCGTAAATGTCAACAAGGAAATAGCCCAGCTGAAAGAAAGAGCAATATATTTACATGATTACATTATCTCCAGACCGGAATTAGCAATTTAAACGAGTTTATTTTATATAAATCATTAGTAATGTAAACGAGTTTATTTTCAATATAGCACTTACATCTGCCAGGAATTTGGAAGCAATCGTGTTTTCCCCGTAAACTTCTGCAATATAGCCACGAATAAAACATGAGACCAGGGAGGTTGAGGAGATCATGAGGAATATAGCCATAGACGGAGTTATTGAAGCCACTGTGTACGAGTTTTCTGTGGTTTGATACCGAGCACTTAGGGTGTTCAAATTGAGGCGGACAAAACGATCTTGACGAGTTTTCCGACTCAACGAGCAAAACCACTAAAGATTGAAAAATAATTGATCAAGTTTCAAGTTTTCTTGCATTTCAATTTTCTGCAAGACGGCTTTTTCGAAGCCTCAAATCCCGAGAATTCCTCTGTTTTCAGTGCGCTCTCTCATTTTCCAACAGAACGACCAGTCGTCGATTTTGGACTTTTCCCCGAGCTTGTCGCAAGCAAGAATCGCAGCGACAAATGCGAAATTCTGCGACAAAGGGTCATGTCGCACGACGAAATGGCAGCGACAAACCCGAAATTCTGCGACAAAGGGCCATGTCGCAAGACGAAATCGCAGCGACAAACCCGAAATGCTGCGACAAGTCCAAATTTTGGAGGGAAATCCCTCGAAAAAAGAATTGATTTTGGGCTTGAAACATTGCACTGTGCGAAAATGGAGAAAGTTCAAAATGAGTTCCGGCACTGTGCCGATGACACGAAAATTGAATCCAAAGCAAGGAAAAGGAGAGGAAAACGGCAGAATTAAATTAAAATTTTTGTGATTTTTTTCAAAAAAAATGTGCTCCGGACTCTCCAAAATAAAAAAATTTACCAAAAACGCGATCAAACAAGTGACCGTGGCCACTCCGAATCCAATTGTTTCAGCGATCCAAGACACTTGTGTCGGCAAACAGCCCTGCTTCCAAGAGTACAAGTCAAAATTAATTACATAAATGGCAACAATACACCACAAAGTAAAGCTCGCAACAAACCCTTGCAGAGTCTGAAATACAATCTTGAAAAATTTAATAGATATTACAATTACCACAAAAATAGCCAACTTCTTCCCTAGATTTTGCGGGGCATCTTCATACACATCACTCCATTTATAAGCCATATGACGTTCAACGGCCAAGGATAGCATGCTTACTGCAGAGCTGCCGCCGCCAATGTAGTTTAGAATGCCCACAATGGCACAACCAATGTTGACATAAAAGCGGTCGGTGAAATTACTTGTATAGAGGTCGTAGAAATTACCAAAAAAATATGTGATATGCATTACTTCCAATGCGATTATCGTGTTGCACTTGAAAAGATTACATTTGTTAAAAAAAATCACAAAAAATAAATCCTTACTACAGTAATCCGAAAGTTAATGTGCAACAACCTCAACCTGGCCACTCGGATTACAAAATATACGCTGATAATAAATTTAATGATTCCAAATGAATGAAAGATCAACGTAAAATACTCGTAGATATACTCTCTACCCGTGAAAAATGGTTCCGATGACAAATTGAAGGCGTCAACAATGTTGTTGGCATTTAAGTATGTCATCATACGCCAAGTTCATAAGCTCACATACTTCGTTTATGCTAAAAGGGCGAGATTACTCCATTTCAACGCTAAATAATATAAATTAGAAGTTGGCATGTTTGGCGAAAATTATTTAACTCAAAAAAATACTGGAATACAGGTGGTAACAATATTACATATTTATTTCGTTTCCCGATTACTAATATTTATACAACAAACATGTAATAAATATTAGACAAGATGTAAAAAATTTTGAGAGAACTTTGAGACCTCCCCGCCTTTTGAGGGAGCGATAATTGGAAAGGCGGGCAATAAGGCCAAAAATACAATAATCAAATTTTGAGAAAGCTCTAAAATGTCGAGATGTAGACTCCTTGAACACAAGGTTAAACGATTCGATTAGAATTAGCGATTCTCACCTTGGCGATGTAACTTGAATGAGAAAAGCGTTAGTTCTTCGTATGTAGGGTCCATTACATCTATATTTTTCCATGATTATTCACAAAAGCATTTTCTCTTATTTTCACAAAAGCATCTATTGTTTCTAGACTCATAAAAAATTTCAAGGGCGAAATTTGTCTACAGTAAACTTCCTAGAGCTCAAATTTTTTTAAAATTAAGTTTTCTAGCCATTGTAATAACTTCCATAATACCCGTTGTTACTCCCATAGTAATTGTTTCCATAGTTAACTTGCTGACAATTCGCTGCATATGGATAGTACTGGCAGTAACTATACCCATAGTTACCATAGTTTCCCGCATTTGTCATTCCTAGCATTCCAAGTAATCCTCCATACTCCTGCTTGAATGGGTATACCACAGTCGATCTTCTCTGTTCCCGCCGCCTCCACCATTTCCATGCTCATGATTGCCGCCATGATGACCATGATCTCTTCCATGAGCCCTCGGCAATAAAAATATCAAGTAAATCAACAAGAAGAACGAAGCCTTTAACATTTCTTTTTTATTCTGTTTGGAATTAAAAAACAAAGTTTAAAACAATTCTCACGTGAACCATTAATTGTAAGAGAAGTTTGCAATTAAACCGATATCATACAAACTAATGATGGTAGTGTAACATGCAGGGTCATTAAATATATTGTACCATGTAATTCAAGAATTAGTAATTATTGCCATAGTCATAATTTCCTTGTAAGTTTGGCATTACGGAGCATATGGTTCATATTGGTAGTAACTGTAGCCTCCAAAGGCTAAGGCGCCCATAGCCTTTAATTTCACCACGTAAACCATACCTTGTTCACTAACAAGGGAATGGTTTGAACTGTCCGTGAGCTTTCAACATGAGACCCACAAATTCTGAAAGAGCGCAAAAAATTTAGTAGGTATCCGTTTTCCGTTTTTGCCGAATGGTCTTGGGACGGTCGATTTTTATCGACCGGTTTTAATATTTTTATGTTACAGTAATCTTAGAAACTTGGTTTTCAAAAAACTGAATACTCAATCACCAAAAACGTATATATCCAGAATTTCGGGTCATTACCTCTTTTTATGACGCCGCGAGACATAAAATTCCAAAAAGGACAAATTTATGCAAATTTATACCTTCCGGGCAGAATTTGGGAAAAATATTTTGGGCGTTTGTTAAACACATGTCTACAGTCATTTTAGACCAAAAGATTCAAAATCGACTTTTTCGTAAATATACATGCAGTCCACTATACGCTGACGCAGGGATCCAAAAATTGTCTTCTCAACATTTTTTGCAAAATTTTAAGAAAAGGTGAAAATTTGGCGATATTCTTTTCTGGAAACCCGAAAAAATCGGCAAGTTCCTGGAAAACCTTCTGGAATGGTCCAAAAACATCTTTAACATACCAGAAGATTGACAAATGATATCACTGAAAACTCAACAATGTTGCCAAATTGTCAAATTTTTTTGAAATTTTGCAAAAAATCTGTAAAACACTTGAATAAATTTAAAAAATATCCTTACATATCTATAGAATACAATAACGGATATGTACTTTCAAGCCGAGGATATCCGTTTCGGCTGGACTCGAACCTTCAAGACCTCCCTCGGCCAAAAGATTTGTGCGTGGAACTTTTTCCACTAGACTATTTGGTGACGCTTTTCTGAGCCTTTCGGTTTATCTTTTCTCTCTTTCGATTCTTTTTAGTCGGATCTTTCTGTCGATATTTCTCGTCTCCCAAGACCATTCGGCAAAAATAGAAAACGGATTCCTACTAAATTTTGTACGCTCTTTCAGAATTTGAGGGTCCCATGTTGAAAGCTCACGGACAGTTCAAACCATTCCCTAAGACTTCCGTAAAATGCACGACCCCTAGCTACCACGGTTCACCCGCCTCAACTACTATTGCAGCCGTCTCTCCATCCGCCTCATCCTTGGCCTCTTTGATCATTGCCGCAGCCCCCGTGACTTCTGCCATGTTCACCTGTTAGCTAGCACAAGAACGCTAGATCTTCTAATCAGCGTATTAACTATATTTTTATATGTACATGTCGCTACATTTTATTTTTATATGTATTTCAAGCTCGAGAAACACATGTCCTTCGCTGGTGGATGTCGCAACAAGTTGGACAAACAAGGGACATCTGACAACAGCTACCGTTGATTATATTATCGTTTCTTCTGAATAGCAAATAAAATGAAGACTAGCCTCGTCAAAATGTAATAAAAAACAACTCTGAGCAAGTAAAGTTCCGAAATTTGTGGAATGTCTCTCGGAAAAGGTTTTTTTATGGAACCAAGCCCATAAAATGAAGAGTTCGCTTAAATTTGGGACTTTGAAACAGCTTAAATGTATAGTCCGCATACATCATTTCGATAGACTTTTTATTCTTTCATATTTTTACTGTAAACTCCCTTATGACAAAGCACCCGATCGAATTTGTTTATTTTTGTCATTTCCGAACTTTCTTGACGTCCCTTCTCCACGAATCAATTAATTAATCATCATCGGAAAGCCCGCTCTCCAGTCATTTCTGAAGGACAAGTGTAATAGAATTTTGTGCATTACCTAGACTCATAAATTCCTTTCACTTTTGCCTTTGTTTTGATGGGTCATTAGTAACTGGATTGGGACATTTGGTCAGAGAAAAGAGCCGCCCGGCTGCAAAAACTTTTTTTGAGGCTACGGCCCGAGGTCAGTCAGCAGACATCTCAAACTTTTTGTATGGCCAAAATAAATGGGATGGGTAATTCGATGAGTGGAAGAGGTTTGGAATGGAAATGATCCATTTGCAATTTGAGAGCAAATCGTATAATGTATTCTGCTGACATTGAGATTTATACGGTAATTTAAAAAAGACTCAAAAAGGCTCGAAATTTGTGCCGACTTATGATGACAGTGACAAATTCTCTTTTTTACTTGCAAGTTTTTTTCCACTTCCATGAAATATCGAGTGGTGGATAAACGATTTTGAAAAGCCCAATTCTCTCAGCCTGAATAAAAGAGCCGTAAAAACTTTTTGAGTGTAACGATTTACGGCTCTTCTTCCAATTGTCGTAAAACAAATTCTGTGGGATATTTTATGACATTATTTTCAAATCGAGTTATCCCAAGTTTTCAATCAGGGCTAGAGTTTCGTATCGCAAGGACTGGAGGCGAATCGCGTTGCATTCTTAAGTCTTTTTTTGGTTTCCTTTAAAGGCCTCCGGAAAATTGGCCAAAATGTTTTTCGGGGTTTTATTTGGACAAAGGAGGAGAAGCCCGGAGGAGATGAACGTCTCGATTTCTTGTTATTCCAAGTTGGGCCGCCGGAACGGCCGTTGGGGTTAGGCGGTTCATTGTGCGAGTTAATGGGGTATTGATGGAAAATGGGGGCTTCGCTAATTGTGAGGACTGGAAATCTGAGCGTGGGAAGGAGAAAGTCAGATGATTATAGAGTTACTGTGTCATCAAAAAACGTCTACATCATCATAAAAAATAAAATCAGAAATCCTAGTCCCCCCTTATTTTTTTTCAATCCCTTTCTTCTTACATGTATTATTTTTGGTTTAACTTTACAGTATTTGTCATGCCTTGCAATGCTATCTCTTCTTGTTTCTTCATGTTTATGTTCTCTCAACCACCTCGCGATCATAATATATGATTTGCACACTCATGTGGGCTATTTATTTTTCACGCTTTGCCGGCTCAATGTTCATGCCCTGGGAATGCTGTAATTTTATAGGCGCTTGATATTGGATCTCATCTTATTATTGTTTGGTTTCGTTGCAAAAAACTCTTAAAAAGGTGCGGCTTCCACCTTAGATTATCTAACACTTGAATTTTGATAGGGGTTGTGTCGTGGCAAACTGCTCTCTGGCTCCTTCAATATGTTCGGCGACTAATCCATGGTGTTTTTTATACCGGAATATAAAGCAATCTACGTATTCGGAGTAAGGGCATCTATTCCCCTACTCTTTTTCTATTTTTGCCGTCCTTTGGATTAAAGTGTGACAAATGGGCATACCGGTTTTTTATCGTAAAAGGGACTTGACGGAGGGTCGAAATAACCCAAAAAGACAGGTTGACATCAAAGGCACACTCCGAAGATTGGTCCGAAAGTCCAGGTGTTACTACAATATCTCCGGTCCATTTATTTCCGGATCTTTTGTCCAGATTCTCTCCCAACACCCGGCACATTATAGAGGGGGACCATAGGACAACGGCTACTCTCATTAAGGATTCTTTCATTAAACAATTCCCCTTTATTGACGATTTTTTATCAGGCCATCCATCTTTTTCCCACCCTTTCTCGCGCAAAACGCCCAACCGTTTTTTCTCTTATTGAGGGTCAAGTGGGAATCTCGGGCAGTGCTGTTTTAGTCCTCTTAGCAGTCGATAAACATTCTTTTGTATGTTTGAACAGCGGTTTGAATTGGGAAGGTGGCCTACTCGAAAAGTGCTAATATTCCGGGTTGAGGCATAAATTAGTAGTATAAAATACAGTAACCCAAACAAAATATAAATGAAAACGAGACTAAAATTTGCGAAATTCTCGAATTATTCGGCGTAAAACCAGGTTTATGTATAAAAACGTCAAATTTTATGCATTTCCAAATTTTGCTTTCCGTTTATGGAAATGGACGTGTAAAAAAGTTTCTCTTACATTTTTCGAAGCGGGATTGGTTGTAAAATTGAAGGATAAAACCGAGTTATCTCCTTGGACACTCAAATTGGATTATTTTGGACCGAGTTTGCGCGAATAACACGAAAAAAGAAAGGATTCGACCACAATTTGGGCGTTTTCTTTGCAAATTCCGCGCTTGAGCGCCTCTTTTCTCGCGGGAGCCAAACGCTTTTACGAAAAGACGGCTATGGGAAAATTTATATTTTTTATACAAACGGCTGCCTTTAATTTGACCTATTTATGGGCATGAATAATATCGGGATGTGGGTGTGAGGAAGAAAAGGTGGTGGGTTCGGTCCGTTTTGCATGTACGAATATTTATTGCAGTCCAAAAGCCTCTATTTGCTGTTGTGTTTTCGGAAAATGTTTTGTTTTATATTGTTTTAGTTCGGCTGTCATGGAGAAGGTAAACTTCTTCATGTGTTATATTTTTTGCGATTTTTTAAATATTAATGTTGTTAGATGAATCTAAATTTGTTTCCGCAGAGGGAAATTTTTTATTTCGCCGTGATTATTGCTCTCTTTGAACTTGTGTGGAAGAGTTTGATAATTGTTGTTAATTATGTTGTTATTCTAGGTCATTCAGATGTCAAAGTCCCTATAAAAAGACTTGTGAATAAATATGGAACAATCCAATAGCTTACTGTTAAATGAGCAAGCCTTGAAAGAATGTCCTGACCAAAATAAGCCCATCTTTTTCTATGAATGGCTCCGATATTTGGACAGGATACTGCCAGTCACTCAGAAGGTAAGTAAAATTTATTATTTTTTTATCTTGAAGGTTTAGGAAGAATGTTCCATCAGAAAATGCTTTTTTTCTTCACGGATGAAGTAATTTTTATTTTATTTTAGGCCGATCTGAAGTCAGTTCAACAAAAATTAGTCGAAGTTCTAACTCAACGGATATCCACTGGTCTCGGGCCTCCAACTCGTTCTCTTCTAGCCAAATGTTTAACTCAAGTCTTCTCAATCGCCGATTCCTATGATCTTTTCCAAACCATCAACCTTTGTAATGATGCTCTGAAGGTAAAAGACGATTCCAATGCTCAATTACAAGTCAAATTGACTGCTCTCGCTGTGCTCGGTCAATTCTACAGTAGTTTGGGAAAGATGGTAGGGAGATCTTATGAGGAATCGTTTAGTCTGATGGCAAAATGGATCAAAAGTGCTGATGTATGTTTTTTTAGGTACCTTTTTGTTCTTGATGTTTAAAATAAGTAGCAAATGTACTGTTTTAGTCGGCCAGCCGGACGGAGATTTTGTTGACACTATCAAAAATGGTTCATGGACTTGGTCCATCATCTCATTCGATCCACAAGGACCTGTATAAACTTTTATCGAAGGGCTACCTAACCGATCGAGTAATGTTTGTTAGGGCGGCAGCTGTAAAGGTAAGTGCGGTTTGTTGTTTTGAAAGCTGTGTTTAGTGTCTCAGCGGCTTGGTGTCTGATCCGAACTCTCCAATCTTCACTTCTGACATTGATTCGATCCTCACCATCGCCTTGAAGAGCTTGGATGAGTCCAATTTTGAAGTCCGATTTGAAGTTGCCAAAGTTTTCGCTCATATTGCTGTCTTCACAGTCGGAAAGAAGCCTCAACGATTAATGCCAGGTGAGTCTTTATCTATTTACCTTGTCGAATAGGGTTCTTCAAATAAATCTATGTTGTTGTAGATAAGTCCACCCCATCTCAACAAAAACAAATGACATTCGAAGAGGTATTCAACTTTATGAGCAATGGATTCATTCGGGGTGGTATTGGTGGCTTTCTGAAGGGAGGGAACAGTTCGCCAACGGGTCAACGACAAATCCGCGTTGGAATGGCTTTGGCTTATGTTGAAGTGTGTCGAGAGTTGGGAACGAATTGGTTGGAGAGGAATCTCATCTTCTGGCAGAAACATGTCCTCCAAATTGCATTCAAAATTGGGCCGACTTCAACGAATAGGTAAGAATTTTTAATTCTTTTTTTTGATTTAGGCACCTGAAAAAACAATTTTTATTTAACTTGATGATTACAGTAATCAAACTCAATCAAATGAAGCGATTCATATGAGGAAATGCATTTCGTATATTTTCCGCCAAACCCTGGGTCAGATGCTCTCGGAAAGCGGGCAGATCACGGCTTGCAAAAACTTTGGCCAATTGCTTAATGAATACAATAATTTCTTAGGTAAGTCATGTTTTATTATTTTATTACGGTCTTTAGAAATTCCGGATGATGAAGAGAAGGTAATCAAAGAAGAGGGAACTTCTATCGCGAATGTTTCAACTGTTATTTTATTGGAGATGTCGGCCTTGATCAATCAAGTTGATACTGCTATCGCGTCAGTGCTGACGGAGTCAAATGGGGTTCAGGAACCGGTATTTGCATGCTTACTTCATCCATTTAAGGTGCGTTTTGGGGGGAAAGTTAAAGATGAGATTATTTTTATGTTATAATTTGGATATTTTAGGTTGTCCGACTTTCGGCCGCTTATTGTCTTCGCTCCGCCATCCGCGCCGTCCCTCATCTTGCCACCCCTTTAATCGATCGATGCTTGAATCGTCTGGAACATCTCCGGCACTCATCAATAGCAGTCTCCGGCTATGCCACATGCCTTGCTGCCCTCTGTGCGGGAAGCCTTCACACCGAACTTGGAATTCCTTTCCAAAAAGTTCGGACGGTCTTTCAAACTGCTGAAGATCTAATCAAAACTGCCGCTCAATCATCGAAATTGGCCTTGGATAAGACTCAATCGGGATGGCTTTTAACTACGGCGTTAATCAGCATGGGTCCGCCTTATATCAAGCACAGCCTGAACAAGTTGGTGATGCTATGGAAATGCTCTTTCCCCAGATCGGTGGACGAAGCCAAAGGCGAAAAAGGAAGAGGCGATACCTTCATTTGGGAATGCATTTTGGAGTCGAGAGCCGGAGCCCTGGGATCAATGGAAGCATTTGTTTTGCATTGCCAAGAACTGATGACTGAAGATATCACGAAACGAATCATTCAATGCATCGAAACCACCCTCGCCACCATGGCTTTGGTCGGCGATCTTCTCGGATCTCACGGAAACAAACTCAGATATCCGATTTATTTAATGAGGATACGGCTATACAGTTTGTTGAAAAGTTTACCCTTCAAGTCGTATGAACACCTCTTCAATTCGTTGCTAAGGGAATTGGTGGCAGATATTACGTTGAGTGATAATGCACAAGCGACGACAGCGGTCTCAGATCTGGCCGATAAATGCACGGCAGTTGGGGATTGCCTTCTCGGTGGATGGCTAAGGAATTCAACGCATTCGGAGCTGGAATTACAGGTAAGAAATTTTGAAATTGAAAGGGATTTAAAAAAAATGTCAAGCTGGCTCTGTTTACATTGCGGGCATGATTTTGAGATTTTTTGGCAATTAGTAGACGTTCTTTTCTCGAAACCTCTGCAGAACTCTGCAACTAACCGAAATCGAGTCCTCTTTGCGCCAGTGTTTTTATAGCGTAGTCGGTAGAGGGCTCGACTTGCGTCCGAAAAGACCCGAGTTCGATTCCTTTCGCCTTTCTTGCTCCGTTATGCACCCGGAATTCCCTCGGGAAAACGAATGGGCATACGACGGATTTCTTGAAGGCTAGACTAGTGAGACGGCGCCACGGTAAGACCATAGAATTGGGTTAGTACTGCTAGTTTCGTCCGACATTTTATTCGTTTTTTCAAAATTTTGGTATTTTCTGCGTCTCGGGTTAGTTTTTGCTTTGAGGTCGTTCACAAATTTGATTTCAGCTCCATCACGCGCAAAATTCGGCCAGCGGCTCGATTGATTATGATCCTATGTGTGTTGTTATTGGAGCAGAAAACTGGACAAAGGCACACGAAGGTGAATCTGAATCTCCAAATTGGCCTCAGCCCCTCCCTCCACAACTGGTTTCCCTGGACATAGCGGTCTCAATGTTTGGTCGGATCTACCCATTAGTACCCTCAAGGCATAAACTTCAGTTGACCAACCATTTCATCAATTGCATGGCCAATTTGAAACAAACCCCGAGGCTTCAGGTAAGGTTGAAATAGAATGGAATTTGAATACATTTTTTTTGGTTTCAGGCGATCCAACTCAATATTTTGGGAGCTTTGTTGTCGGGAATGAAGGCCATGGGAGAGATACGAAATTACAGATCGCAAGGAACAGAACATCAAGAGCAAACTGTCAAGTTGTTGCGGCAATTTGTGACTGCAGACAATCCCTTACAACGGTGTTTGGCGATCGAAGCACTCGGTCGAATGGCTCAGGCAATATCGGAGCCTAAATTCTTTGCCGGTCTAGCACAAGCGTCCTTTAATGACCTCCAAGCAATGAAGGATGAGAAGAGCAGGTCTGGTCTGGCATTGTCGCTAGGTGCACTTCATCGATATGTGGGCTCATTGGGAAGTGGCCATCATCTTCATACGGCTGTCAGCTTGGTTTTGAGTCTGGCACAGGACCATTCGTCGATTACTAGCAGGGTAAGTTTTTACTGTTTATTTTTGCCGTTTTTGTCCGAATTCTTTGTAAAATTGGTCTTTGCAGGCATGGGCATTATTCTCATTATCACTGATCGCCTCCACAGGTGGTGGAATGTTTAGAGGATATGTTGAGCCAAGTTTGGCCATGTGTATCAGACTAATGTTAACCACTCCGCAAACGAATGTGGAAGTAATCCAATGCATTGGCAAATTGGTGTGTGACTTTGAAGACGTTGATTTGTAATTTTTGTGGAAAAATAATGGAGATTGTTTTGTAGGTCTCAACCCTGATCACCGCAGTCGGCCCAGAACTCCCTTCAACTGACGCCAGTATGGAGAAGATGCGCTCATCTTTCATCGTCGCTTGCTCCATGATGTTCGAGCACTCGGATCCGCAGATCAAAGCCGAAGCCATTGCTTGTCAACAACAATTACATTTGTTTGCGCCCAGATTTGTGGAACTGGATCGATTGGTCTCAACTATTTGCGTAAGTATAATATAAATTGAGGGAAGATACAGGTTAGAGAATGGGAAATAAATCTTTATTTCTTTCAGCATCAGCTATACTCTCCTCATTTTGTTCTCCGGAAAGCCGCCATCAATTGCCTCAAGCAACTCCTTCAACGAGAAGCGAAGGAAGTCCGAGAACGCGCTCAAAGCCTCGTCCCCGCAGGCATTATTGAACATTCCAAACTAAAAGAAAGTCCCCTGCCTGACACTGGACTCGAAGGAGCGCTCTTTGACCTTCTTGATATTGAATCCGATCCAGAACAACGAGAAAATATCATGGAATGTGTCCTATTCCTAGTACAACATTCCGCCAGCGAAATGCTCCAATTTTGGCTACAAATGTGCAAAGATATCCTGGCGTCAAGTAGCAGCGAGAATGTGAGATCAACATTGGTGATAAAGGACGAAGGAAAAGACAAAGGAGAAGAGGTCTTGGCGGATGATGACGACACTCTCCAAGGTGTCCAATTGGGCGACACAAAAGTCCGGGACAAAGTCGCGCCCAGATGGCCAACCAGGGTGTTTGCGTTCTCAATTGTAAGGAAATTGATGAGACTTTGTGAAACGGAAAGGGCCCATCTGGATCTGGCATTGGCCAAGGAGCTTCAGCCAAGTTCAAAACAAGATTACCTCGTTTTACATCTGGCAGATCTTGTCAGAATGTCATTCATGGGCGCAACATCGGAAATCTCGGAGCTCAGGCTGGCTGGTCTGGCTTGTCTCCATGATGTGATAGACCGATTCGCAAAAGTTCCCGAGCCAGAATTCCCCGGACATGTTATCCTTGAGCAGTTCCAAGCTCAAGTTGGAGCAGCTCTTCGACCAGCATTCGAAGCGCAAACTCCATCGCATGTAACAGCGGCGGCATGTCAAGTGTGCTCGGCCTGGATTGGATCCGGAGTGGCGAGAGATTTGAACGATTTGAGAAGGGTACATCAACTATTGGTATCAAGTCTCGATAAGTTGAAGAATGGATCGGAAAATGCCCAATTATTCAACGAATCAGCTGCAACTCTGGAGAAATTGAGCATTCTGAAAGCATGGGCCGAAGTTTACATTGTGGCGATTCAAGATGAAGACAGGAAAGATGAAAAAGAAGAGAATTACACAGAAAGCTTGCTGAGTTTGGTAAACCCCGAATTAAAAGTGCTTCTGGGACATTGGCTGGCTGCTTTGAGGGATTCTGCGCTGCTCAGTCTGCCTATCGAGTTTGGAGATCAACTTCCAGCTAATGGTGGGAGCTTCTTCACACCAGACAGCGCAGAGGTAAGAGAAATGAAAGGGTCATCTATAATATTCATTAGAAAACTACTAAATATAAAGGCTAACACGAGATTTTTCAGACCTGCAAGGAGTATTATCGCCAATGCTGGCCTCCTATTCTACTGGCGTCATCCATCTGGCTGAAGCAAAATGATCATGCTCAAATTGAATGTGATCCTTTGTTGGGACTGGAGAAGAAGGAGAAACGTTTCTATCTGATGCTGGGAATGTGTGTAGAAGCCCTATGCAACACAAGACAGTTCTCAGACAACGATCGGACCATCTATCTCGGTCTGGAAACCTTGAAGAACCTAATCGACTCACCATGGGCACAACTCGAATTTATGAAGGACGTTAAAATGTCAATTGAGGTTATGAATGTCCTCCACAGGTAGGATTGAATGTTGTAATGCGGAATAGAGAGACTAAGGTTGCTTTTCGATTCTAATCAACTTATTTTCAGACTAATTTTGACACGAGACAGTCTCACCGTCCAAAAACATTGCACTGATGTGGTGGAGAAGGTCGTATCGGCTGCACAGGCCGCACTCAAAGCAAGAGATCCTCAGAATTCGGATGAGTACTTTGATGGATTCGATCCGGAGTCGGGGAAGATCAAACACACCACCAGTTTGACATTCGCAACCTTGGAAGTTTGCCTTTGTGTTTTGGTCAGACAAATCCCACAAATAAATTCGGAGTTGGCCAAAGGCCGGACTCCAATACATCATAGGTAATCTTTTGTTTTGTTGAACCATGAGGAAGAAGACTATTGTATTTTTACGTTTTTTGTTTGCAGAAAATACAGTAGACTACCGCACGAGTCCTGCGAATTGATCAAGAAAGCGATCGATCTCCTCAATGAAGTCCCCAGTTTGAGCTCAGAGAGAGGATCTTTGGTGGTGTTGCCGTCGATCTTTTACCTGATCCTGGCGATCTTGAGGGAGAGCTCGCGTCTTGATCCCGAAGTCAATGATGCCAAACCAGGAGATCTCACAGTCGGCGCTGCTGGAGCAATGAAAGCCCTAAAACAGCTGGTAAGAAATGAATTCCCTGTCTGAGTTTATGATTCAAATTCGAAATGCTACTTATTGTCAACTTAATTTGGATTTTTTTAGATAAGCTCGGTCCCAACGGATGAAGTTCTCTTTGACCAGTGGGCATCAATAGCCCGAAGCGCTTTACTTTCGCTGCTCAAAATGTCGGACGAACAAGAGCATAAAGTAGATGATGCTGTGATAATGCTCGCAGCTTGCGTCATGATCACCTCAGCGCCGAAGAAGTTTGAGATTGGAGTCCAACTATTCTTCAGGATGTGCGAGATTGTCAAGAAATGCCTCAGATCCCCGCATTTCCAAGTCCAATTCCAAGCACTTCAGACAGTCAACTCGCTATTTCAGAGGAAAGAAACCGCGGCAGCATATGTTAAAGGTGGGAATTGGGGAATCATTATTGAACATTATAAATTTCAGAGCTTGGCCCTGCTGTCTTCAACAAAATCAAACCCTATCTAATGGATGAAGGCATGGTCATCGCCGATGAACACGGAAAAACTCATAAACCAGCGTCAGAGACCGATCTTCCAGTCCTTCAAGACCTTACGGACTCGGAATTGGTGACGATCCAAGAGACTATCAAAGCAGTAGAAGCAGTACTAGCGATGTCCAGAGGAGAAAAAAGTGAGTCAAATAGAAATATAGACAAATTGATGACTAAAACTGTGTCAGAAGTGATGTAAAAACTATCAAATTTTTTCAGCTTACATGTTTGTCAACCTCCTAGTGCGATGCCTGGTACGATTCTTATGTCCAGAGCCGGAGACTCAACTCAAAACTGTCTCAGAGAACGTCCGTAAACTCCATGAGTTCGCATATCAAAGACTAAATTTGATAGGGCCTAAATATCCGGAGGTGAGTAGAGTTTACAAGTTTCGTTTAATATGTAGAGCTGAAGATGACTAGAATTAAAATTTCAGCCATTCAAAGCCCTGATTCAACATTGCCCATCGGTCAAACAACGAATCGAAGCAGCTGCCAGTGTACTACAACGCCAGTTTGAGGCCCAGAAGCAAGCTCAAATAGAACAACAACAGAAAGCCAAGGCCGCTCATATGGCCGCTCTTCAAGCCGCTAATCAAAAGCCAACCATCGAGTTGAAGATGGACTTTGGTGGCTTTAAATAGATTCTAATAGCATTTATCATCATATTACTTTAGGATAGTTATAATTTAATTTTGATACGATTTTTGTACTTTTCGTAGAAAACGTTTTGTGTTTATATTAGCCAAAACCATGCTTATGATCTTTCATTCGATTCCCATGGTATCTAAATCCAAAAGACGACACGATATGTATCTGGTCAGCTCGATTCCGTTTAGTTTTTGCAGGTATATCAGAAGGAGAGGAATTCTTTTTGTAAATATTGATATTTTGTCATTGTACCGGTCGCTTAATTTATACATTTATATTGTCTTATTTCAAGTTGTTGAAAATATATACTTACGCATTCAAATGCCAATAAACGCCATGAAACATTCTTATAAACTATTACACTATTACCCATTACAAAACGAAAGCTTCAGAATCGAAGTGTAATCGCCCTGCCAACCAATTTCCGATTCTTTCTAGTCAAAGTGCAATAAATATAGTAAGTTAACTACTCAACCAATCCACGACCAAAATAAAATACAACTTGCTATACTTATGAATTCAAATTCCAGTAAACGCTTCATGGCATTTGTAATAACTATATAGATTCCATGAAGCATTCTTATAAATTATATTACACTATTATCCATCATAAAAAGACAACTTCAGAATCAAGGTGTTGTCGCCACAATCTTCCCTTTCCGATTCCCTCTACTCAGAGTACAAAAAAATCCACCAACCAACCTACGGCCAAAATAAAGTTCAACTCGCATTCCAAATAAAGTTATCTTTAATATTAATCATTAGGAGGACAACAGAGAGATCAAATGAACAGTGCACGAGTAAACAAGAGATTAATTAGTCAACTTCTTCCATTCTGGAGGCATCTTCCTCGGCTCCCTCGACTTTAGGGACCGCTACAGGTTCAGAGGTGGATTCTTCGACCGCGTCAGCCTCATCAATGTCCAAACCAAGCTTGATCATGCGGTAGATCCTGTTGGCGTGGGATCCGGGCTCTTCAAGAGAAAATCCAGAAGTCAAGAGGGCGGTCTCGAAGAGTAGGACAACCAGATCGCGAGCGGTCTTGTCATCTTGGTCATTCTCGACACGTTCACGGAGGGCCCTAAAATCAGTAATCAACAACAAGAAATGTATAACTTACTTCATGATCGAGTGGTCAGGGTTGATCTCCAAGTTCTTCTTGGAAGCCATGTATCCCATGGTGGAGGAGTCACGGAGAGCCTGAGCCTTCATGATTCTCTCCATGTTGGCAGACCACCCATATTCAGAGGTGACAATACAGCATGGAGAGGACACAAGTCGGTTGGAGACCGAGACTTTCTGGACCTTCTTGTCGAGGATGTCCTTCATGACCTTGCAGAGCTTCTCGAACTTGACCTTGTCTTCTTCGAACTTCTTCTTTTCCTCCTCGGACTCTGGGAGTTCGAGTCCTTCCCGGGTGACGGAGACCAATTTCTTTCCATCGAATTCCTTCAATTGCTGGACACAGTATTCATCAATGGGGTCGACCATGTAGACAACCTCGAATCCGCGCTTCTTGACGCGCTCAACGAAGGCAGAGTTGGCGACGGCTTCGCGGGATTCACCAGTGATGTAGTAGATGGCGGTCTGGTTCTCCTTCATGCGGGAGACGTAATCCTGAAGGGAAGAGGTCTCGTCTCCGGAGGTGGAAGTGTGGTAACGGAGGAACTCGGCGAGCTTCTTGCGGTTGGTCGAATCTTCGTGGATTCCGAGCTAAAAATATTATATTAGAAACCAAGAATTCTCGAATTTGACGTTTGATTGTAAGAAAACCCTACCTTGATGTTCTTTCCGAATTGCTCGTAGAACTTCTTGAAGTTGTCCTTGTCCTCGGCGATCTCGCTGAAGAGCTCCATGCACTTCTTGATCAAGTTCTTCCTGATGACCTTCAAGATCTTGGATTGTTGGAGGGTTTCACGAGAGATGTTCAAAGGAAGATCCTCGGAGTCGACGACTCCCTTGATGAAGTTCAGGTAGTCGGGCATCAGTTCATCGCAGTTCTCCATGATGAAGACTCTGCGGACATACAGCTTAATGGAGTTCTTGGCCTTCTTGTTCTCAAACAGATCGAATGGAGCACGTTGGGGAACGAAGAGAAGAGCGCGGAACTCAAGCTGACCTTCGACGGAGAAGTGCTTGACAGCCAAATGGTCTTCCCAGTCGTTGGACAAGGACTTGTAGAACTCGGCGTATTCCTCGTTGGAGATGTCGTCGGGGTTGCGAGTCCAGATGGGCTTGGTCTTGTTGAGCTCCTCATCTTCGAGGTACTTCTCCTTGATCTTCTTGGTCTTCTTCTCGTCCTTCTTTTCCTCATCCTTGTCCTCCTCGATCTCTCCTTCCTTCTTCTCTTCGTCTTTCTTCTCCTCCTTCTCTTCGGCTTCATCGTCTTCAACTTCTTTCTCTCTTTCCTTCTCAACAACAAGTTTGATGGGGTAGCCGATGAATTGGGAGTGTTTCTTGACGATCTCCTTGATTCTGCGCTCCTCGAGGTACTCCGTCTGGTCTTCCTTGATGTGAAGCACAATCTTGGTACCACGGGTCAACTCTGGATCTTGGACTTGACGGATGATGAACGATCCACCAGCAGAAGATTCCCACTCGTAGGTCTCGTCATCGTTGTGCTTGGAGGTGACAACAACGCGGTCGGCGACCAAGAAGGCAGAGTAGAATCCAACACCGAATTGACCAATCATGGAGATGTCGGCACCAGCCTGAAAAAGGAAACATCATTCCGTTGCACTAGGAAGTTGAAGAGTCTAAACCTAAAGCCAAAAATAAATCAAAATACTCACCTGAAGAGCCTCCATGAAAGCCTTGGTTCCGGACTTGGCAATGGTTCCCAAGTTGTTGACCAAATCGGCCTTGGTCATTCCAATACCGGTGTCCATGATGGTCAAGGTCTTCTCGGCCTTGTTGGGCGTGATCTTGATGTACAGCTCCTTGCCGGTCTCCAACTCCTGGGGCTCGGTGAGGGCCTGGTACCTGATCTTGTCCAAGGCATCGGAAGAGTTGGAGATCAATTCACGAAGGAAAATTTCCTTGTTACTGTAGAAAGTGTTGATGATCAAGCTCATCAACTGAGCGATCTCGGCTTGGAAGGCGAAGGTTTCTTCTTTTTGTTCAGACATCGTGTTATACTCTGAAAGCAGCAAAACTTACTATTACGAACAAATTTAGGCTATAAAAAGGTAACAAAAACGCGATAAACAACGCGAACACATGCAAAATATTGGGGTAGATCAAGGCGAATCACTCAAGTGTAACATCACGTACCAACCTCTCTGAAACAACGTCACACCGCAGCACTCAGCACGAAAAATGGTGATTTCTCCCTAGTTTCGCCTCCAATATAAATGTCCATGGAAAAGTGGGGAAAATTCGCGAACAAAATGGGCGGGGCCTAACGAAAACTCTCGATTTTCAAATTCGTCGCCGCCGGGCAAGATTTGTGCAAAATAGCACAGGTGCAGAGAGAATCCAAGGCGAAAGAGCATATCGACCGGTCAAGAAGTCCATTTCACGCTCAAACGGCGAAATCCTCGCCTGCTTCGCGTTTCTAGCGGCCCTTTTTCCGAGAGGAATTCGAACATTCGCGAAGTTTATCGAAGGCCAAAACGAAAAAATTCTAAAAACGCCGGCTGCCCGCGAAAATTATCCTGCTTATGAAACGTGTAGGAAGATGTAACATGCAACGGAGATTACAAGGCATAATAAATGTAAAAGGAATTGGTTTTACGCATTACACTAGGTGCTAATGTGTAATATCAGTAAAAACCAAAAAATAATGCAGAGGTCCTGTCGAATCAACGTAAAAGATGCATTTCGGGTTCCGTAATGTTTTGTGAAAGTAAATTTTCGAATATAAGACATACGTAGCCATCTGTACGCGTCAATTGTGATTGCAGTCGCAAACAACCGTCCTAATGTAAAAACAATGTGAATTATTAAAACTTTGGCATCTGCACTGATTATGGTTGATGCTAAATGAATGCTTTTTACCTTTCCATCATTTTCACTACAATACAAGTGCTTTCTAACCATGTTCATCCTCAATTTCGCCAATTTTCCTGAAGTTTCGCAAGCAGTGCAACACTTGACCCTTGCGCGTCATCTCTTTCTCCCTCCCAGACTTTTTTTTGGGACGAGTTCTTTTCTTGAACGCCAATTTCAGGTGAAATTCCTGATTCTGAAGCGATGTCGGATCGAAAGAGGAGGTTGGATGTTGGAGGATCCTCCAGGTATGTTGTTTGTAATTTCAGTTTTGACTTTAGATGGTTATTTTGAGGTTCGAACTAGTTTTTTTCATGAAACTAATTGAAACTGGTAGCGACCGAAAAGAAGAAGTAGTAAGAGTTTTTTTTTTCAGAAGAGATCGCAGTCGTTCTCCCATCGTTTCCACGGCTGGCTTTGATGCCCCAGCTCCATTGCCAAAAGAAAAAGAGCCAAAACCTTCCAAATTCGCAGAGAAAGCTACCGATATCCCCGCGCCTCAACTAGTCAATCCTCTTCAACCAAAGATTCGCCAGACAGTTTTGAATCCATACAATGGAAATCCGTTCACTCAAAATTATTATGCTATTCTCGAAAAACGAACAAAACTTCCAGTCTGGCAATACAGGGAGAAGTTTATGGAGCTGTTAGATGCAAATCAGTGTATAACATTGGTCGGTGAGACAGGATCCGGTAAAACGACACAAATTCCTCAATGGTGTACTGATTATGTGAAACATCGGCATATCCAAGGGAAGAAGATGATGGTGGCTTGCACACAACCAAGGAGAGTGGCTGCGATGAGTGTGGCCACAAGAGTTGCCGAAGAGATGGATGTTTCCGTATGTTCTTTGTTATTTTTTTTTACTTTGAGGTCTGGGTAGTGATGCATATACAGTATGACAGAGTATTTTTAGCTCGGATCGGAGGTTGGTTACTCAATTCGTTTCGAAGATTGTTGTGGAGAACGCACCTTCCTCAAGTATCTGACCGATGGTATGTTGCTTCGAGAAGCCATGAACTCTCCATTGCTCGAGAATTACGGTGTTGTTATACTTGACGAAGCTCACGAAAGGACCTTATCCACCGATATTTTGATGGGACTATTGAAAGAAGTGCTCAAGAATCGGCCTGACATCAAAGTTGTTGTAATGAGTGCCACATTAGATGCCGGAAAGTTCCAAAACTACTTTGATGATTGTCCTTTGATGAGTGTCCCTGGAAGAACTCATCCTGTTGAAATCTTTGTAAGTTTGATTTCATTGAAACGGTTTTGGTGAGTGTTTTACTTAGTGTTTTTATTTTTAGTATACTCCTGAAGCCGAAAGAGACTACTTGGAAGCTGCTGTCCGCACGGTAATGCAGGTCCATCTATGCGAGGAGATCAAGGGAGACATCCTTCTTTTCCTCACAGGTCAAGAAGAGATTGAAGATGCCTGCAAAAGAATTCAAAGGGAAATCCAAAATGTTGGGCCGGATGCGGGAGCAATGAATTGCATCCCATTGTATTCAACCTTGCCTCCTAATCTTCAGCAAAGGATTTTTGATCCACCTCCAGCAGATAAACCCAATGGAGGAATCGGAAGGAAGTGTGTGATATCAACAAATATTGCCGAAACCTCCTTAACCATTGATGGAATCGTATTTGTGATTGATCCAGGGTTCTCAAAACAGAAGGTTTACAACCCCAGAATCAGAGTTGAATCCCTTTTGGTTTGTCCCATCTCAAAAGCGTCGGCTATGCAAAGGGCAGGTCGTGCTGGACGTACACGACCCGGAAAGTGCTTCAGATTGTACACCGAGAAGGCTTATAAGACTGAGATGCAGGATCAAACTTATCCCGAAATTTTGAGGTCAGGTTTTGTAGATTATATTGTTGTAGAGCATATGTGAAGATTTCTCTAATTTTCATGTTTTTTAGGTCAAATCTTGGAAGTGTTGTCCTTCAGTTGAAGAAATTAGGCATTGACGATCTTGTTCACTTTGATTTTATGGATCCACCGGCTCCAGAAACCTTGATGAGAGCCTTGGAAATGTTGAATTACCTTGCTGCCATTGATGACAACGGAGATTTGACTGAACTCGGATCTTTGATGGCTGAGTTTCCTCTTGATCCCCAATTAGCGAAGATGTTGATAGCTTCTACTGATTTGAAGTGTTCGAATGAAGTCCTTAGCATCACGGCGATGTTATCCGTCCCTCAATGTTTCGTCCGCCCAAATGAAGCGAAACAGCAGGCAGATGAGGCCAAAGCAAGGTTCGCCCATGTCGATGGGGACCATTTGACCCTTCTGAATGTCTATCATGCTTTTAAACAGAGTAAGTTGAAGTTTGGTTATATTGTTTTAGGCTGAGCTTGGTATAATGTTGATTTTTTAGGTCAAGATGATCCACAGTGGTGCTACCAGAACTTTGTCAACTACAGGGCGCTCAAAAATTGTGATAATGTTCGAATGCAGCTCTCCCGCCTCATGGATAAGTACAATTTGCCCAGACTTTCAACTGATTTCAACTCGAGGGATTATTATCTGAACATAAGAAAGTCGTTGGTTTGTGGATTCTTCATGCAGATCGCTCATCTAGAAAGAAGTGGGAACTATGTAACTGTTAAGGATCATCAACTGGTATCTCTCCATCCATCCACAGTCCTCGATCACAAACCGGAATGGGTTCTGTACAATGAGTTTGTGTTAACTTCCAAGAATTATATTCGCACTGTGACTGATGTCCGACCTGAATGGCTATTACAACTTGCTCCCTCATACTATGAGCTGGATAACTTCCCAGAAGGCGAGATTAAACGACGATTAGTCGCTGTACGGCAACGATTTGGGCACGTTGGATAACATGGATAATATAATTTTTGTAATGAAGTATATCTAACATGTTTGGAAATAGCGTTAAAGTTACTCAAAAAGCGAAAGAGAAGTCTAAAGTTGTTAGTTGTTGAATGTCTTCCCTTCCCCCATCAATTATTTATGTTATCTATGGTGAATATTGCTCTTAAATTTGGTCTTTGGATGAGAACAGGCGAGTAATCTCGCCTGTTCTCATCCATTACTATTAATAAACTCGTAAGGAAGTCCTCGAACCATTCCCATTCGTATTTTCGTTTATTATCACATATTTCAGTGTGTATTATTAAAATTATTACGTAGTTTCTTGATGGCACTGGGTTAAAAATCAAAACGTTTGGCGAGAGATACAGTGAATTGGTGTGATTCCAGAGAAGTCGGACTGAGAGTTATAGCATAAAACTGGAGAAGTAAAAAGTTTTCAATTAAACGAACCCATTTTCGAAGAGATTTAAGGGGGAATTGGCATGTACAATATAAACTTTACTGAAGGTTTTGACATTTACAGCCTAAACTAGTTTTCTGAGTAGTAGGAAGAATTGAGAACTAGGTTTGTGTTTTTTTTACATAGTAAAAGGGTTATTGCGCGAAGTTATAACATGAATACCTGACATGACACTAAAATCCGGAGAGAAATGATGATTTCTATTTCCTCTTGGCCTTCGGGATGTTCCTATAACTGTCCGGGACTTCGCCAAGAATCGAATGCCAAGTTCCGATTGGCCTGAGGGCGGCGTCAAAGCATTGCATTCCAATCGGATTTCCGTTGGACCCGAGACTGGCCACCGAATACTTGCCCCGCAGTTCTCGGAGGCTGATCCCATTGGGTTCCAATTCATTTCCATTCTCTTTGAGGCCATTGTCGAGATCTGGAGCGGCATCTAGCCGGGTCTCGCCGTTGCTCAACGTCTGGAAGTGATCGGTGCTCGCGGCCTGAGGGAGGTTATTGCCGTAGACGAGAGTGAAACATTGCATCCATTGGGTACGACCTTCAGCGGTGGGAGAGTCATTTCCGAGCACACAACAGCCAAGGAGATCGTCTCGACCAATGCTGTAACAAAAGTTGTATTATGGCTGGTTTAGACAGTATTGCTTTTTCTCGAAAAGGAAGAGGAAAGATAAGAAAATGCGTTTATCGATAGTGACGTTTCGTTTTGAACGAATCACCAAAAAGGGGCGGGATTTTTTTCTTCTATTTTGGATTGATCAAAATAAACTCACCGATCCCAGTCCATAACCTGGACCAAGATGCTGGTATCCTTGATCTGATTGATGGGGAGGTCGAACTCGAGACACTCATGGTACACCGGATTCAGATTGGCACGTTTTATTGAGGTTTTTCGCATTTTTACCCGTTTCCTCTGGTAGATTTGTTCGCACTTTACATAAGGGTCTAAAACATGCATAATTAGTGTCATAGCTTCTTCTAAATCGATAAGCAAGGAGATGAACACCCACCCGAAGCACCGGTAATATCCATGGGCCGAAGGTTGTAGGCTTTGGCCACGGTGAGGTACAATTTACAAAGGTCGGCCGAGTAGGCCAAGTACAACAACAGATCGCCGTAATCGTTTTTCTCCTGCAAAATAGTGGGTTATTCTTGTTGTGGAGGTGGGGTGGGTTTTTTTTGTGAGGGCGGATTTACCTGACTCCCCACGATGGGCATCGTGAATTCGGTCCAATTGTAGAGGTCCGACTTTTCGAACAGGTCCCTCATGATCACATTCCCAATCAACCCGTGTCGTGTGAACCGATCAAAGTCGTAGACGGTAAACTACAAGAACAGAGGGTGATTACTCGAATGGACAATTGTAAAATGGGCGGATTTATTTCCGGATTTTTAACCGAGCCCTCCAAAATTATATTACACATGCCAAAGAGGTGTTCCGCTGAGGATAAGAACTCACTTGTAGCATTCTGTGAGCAAGTTCATTGTAGGGAATATCGAAAGAGAACATTTCGTTGAACTCGGGGTCCACGCATTTCTTGAAAATACTCGTTTTCCAGTGGTTTCGCCGCTCCGGAAGACAGTACATTTTCACATACGGATCGGGAGCTCCGTCCTGGAAATTTTTGAAGGTAAAATAAAGGTACGATGGTCTCGATGGTAATTTCTGGACTATCGTGTGTCAAAAAATTTTAAATTGTTACCGTGGTTGGCAGATTGTTTGCCCTCCGGACATGTAGCATCAGGACCCGATGAATAAAATCGTAGCGCAGCTGGTAGGTGAGGGTACCTCGAAAACATGAAGAAATGGCCGTTTTGTCGATCAGGCCCTGCTCGAATCTACAGGCGGCTTCGTCTTCCTGAAAAAAATCGATATTGATTTTGATGACTAAATCATCCCATGGATAATATACAAATTTTTTAAAATTTTTTTAACCAAGAAATTACTAAAACCGTTCCTGAATGACCGCCAAACTCACCCTGCCCTCCTCGAAGCGGACCTTCTCGGCCTTGCGGCTATTCTCCATGGAGATGTTGCCCATGATCAGGTCGTTGGAGACATGAGGCGGCTCCACGCCGGGCAGGAACTGCTGCTGAAGGCGGCCGAGGAACCGCTGCCGCTCGATGACCTGCTGCGCCTTGTAACGGCCGGCCAGCCGGTGCCAGAACCGCCACTCCGATGGGCGGCCACAGTCGCCGGACTGGACTGCCGCTTCGTCCGGGTTCCCCGAAGACGACGCGAAAAAAGTGTGGGTTGAGCTGAAAAGGGAGGTAAAATTAAACTAAAACATGACAATTTACATTGTTTTTATGCCTTAAAACAGGTTTAAAATTACATTTGAGACTTTACAAGACTATATGTAACTAGGTGTAACTTTACACCATCAGTTGTAAATTTACATCTAAGCAAAATGGACAAGTTTGGCCCCGAAAACTCGGAAAAACAGCCGTAGAAATCGGAATTTGGCTCGCTTCTCCTCAGACAGTAGCCGCAAACTCCAACACAATGGATGTGTAATGCTGTTCCGTCTGTATCGAGATAATATCCCATGAAAAGCGGGCTAATTCAATCCGGCATACACCCAAGTTCAGACGAGTTCCGAGCAAAGCCCGCGGATTCACAGGGATTTTGCCGAATTTACGAGGGATTTTCGACCTCCGAAGTCCACTTGATAGATAAGCGAGGTTGCAAAGAGGCCCGAACAAACCCATTCAAGAGCAATTTAAGGGAAAACACAGTAAAATTTGTGATGTTCCGGGAAAAATTTTATGGAATTGTTCAGTTTTGGGGAAACAGGAAACCAAAAATGTGGGGAATTAGAGGGCGATTCAGACAGAAACTCCCACATAGTCTTGATTTAGGCACAGAGAGAGCAGGGTACATTTCAGGGTCAGAAAAGAGGGTTAATTTAGCATCTATAGCATAAAAAAACGACAGTGATTTTTTGCCCAAAACAAGGTCATTTTGATGAGAAAAAACTCTCTGGAATCCAAAGTTATGACTAGTTTTGAACCAGCCCAAATATCCCTTCGGAGGCCGAAATCCGGCCCAACTTTTACCTGCGCTCGTCCTCGGAATTCCGAAATTCCCTCTAAAATCCCATTTTTCCATCGACAACAAAGTAAATCGCCCCGAGAGATCCCCTTCTCCTCTCCGCTTAAGGCAAACAAAAATAATCCGAAACGTTTAATCCGAGTCCTTACTCCTAACTCTTTTCGAGTACCGCAGATACGGTTTCGGCCCGCGTCATTGTTCAACGCAAAAAACAAATAAAAAAGCGACTTGAATATGCAAATATTTGAGGGACCTGAAGTTAAAGACCCCAGGACCTCGAGGACGTGGGAATTTGGGAGAAAAGTCAAGAGTTTTGGCATGGGGAATGGAACGGATGACACCAAAAAACAGAATAATACAAAAATTGAGGGGAAAATATACTTTTGATGGACGGTGCAGGGAATGAATACAGAAAAGCAAACAACTTGTTCAGAAGTCACGGGTTTTTTTCAACTTTTTCTGCGAATTATCAAAAATGGTTTTGGAAAAATTTTTGGAATTTAAAATTTAGCTATAAAATACGATCAGAGAACGTTAAATCGGCGCTGACTTATCTACTAGCCTCAATATTGTCTTTGAATACGATTTTCTTTATCTGAACAACAACAACCAATATTTGGAACTCCTCGTATTTTACCCCAAATCTCCCCATTTTCGGTGTAGCTTATATTCCAAATATCCCTAAAATTCCCTCTACATCTTAGTTAACTAGTTTCCACCTTTCAGTCTATGAGAACATGATGTGTTTTTGCTCTCCACATCATCAAGTATAATATCATCCAGGCTCATCTGCACGAAAAAAGACATATTTTCTGTTTGGAAATGCCAACGGATGAAAGGGAAATAGCCAATGGGGGTTTTGGGGACAAAGAGGATCAAGATGTTACACCCTGTGTAACGTTTACAACTTGGTCACCACATGCACACTGCTTTAAAGTTACGTAAAAATAACTGTCAAGAGGCATTGAGTAACAATCACCATAGGCTAGACCAAAGAGTTTAAGCAGTTAGGGCTACATTTTATTTGTAGAAATTCTAGACATTAGACTATAAGTGAGAATTTTCAAAACTTCTCAGATTTTTTTGGATAATCGTCCAAAAAAGATTTCCTGTAGACCAAAAGAGCAACCCATAAGGCGCTTAATTTTACAACTGATAGCAGCTTTGGTGAGAGTTGTGTTGTGATGTATTATTCATGGCCAATGGGACCACTACGTCATGGATAATATGAAAGTTGATCCCAAAAATCTATCTTGATAATCAAGGTGATACAAAGACTATATTCGAGCTCTAAAATTGCCGTCAGATTCCCAAATACATTCTCAAAAATGCTGTCGGCATACATTTCACGTTATCCTTGACATCAATTGGCCACGGATAATATCTTTGATCCCCTCCGAAAAACAATACATGATGAATAAGATAACATCCTCTCTAGACAATCCGAGTCTACCCCTGGTCCCTGCAAAGTGCCATTTACACTCTTTCCGTGCCAAGTGTAATCGGATTTCGCAGAGTTTTCTCGGGCGCTGAAATCAGGTTTCCCCCCAAAAAAAGGGCCTAAACGCCCCAAGGTTCCCGAAATTATGACATGAACTTGGCCGGGAAATGCCTTCTGAATCCTGTTGAATAGTTTCGAAGGCATTGGAATTCAGCGAAGCGAGGAGGGATAAAGGAGGGGGAAAGGGAATTAATGAGTTCGAAAGGGGGAAGAAAACTTGTAAATACCGGTTTCGAGAATGAAAATGGGCAGTGAAGGGGTTGTAGTCGAGTCCTACAACTTCTTAGTACACAAATACAATAATTACAAGACTATAGCCTTCTCAACCAGCAATTTCTGAGGAAAATTTGAGAAAATTAGGAGAAGAGCGGATTTCAGACTGTGGAGGTGGCTATTACAACATAACAATTAAATATCAAACGTCTAACAACTAAATACAACATTCCAGCTGTCAAGAAAATAAAGAAAACCAAAGGAAAAAGACGAAAAAAAGAACTGATCTCGGGCGGAATCGAACCGCCGACCTTCTGTGTGTTAGACAGATGTGATAACCCCTACACCACAAGACCACACTTCAAAAAGCGATCGGAATGGAGGAAGAGAATCGGCGAAATTTTCGTGAAATAAAAAAGATTTATTTGAATTTCGGAAAAATTAGGATGCAAGATACAAGATGTTTGCATTTTTAATAAAAAATATTAATAGCTTTTTGATAAATTTATCGGCAAAATATCAAAAAATTAATAAAAAAAAAATTAAAATGACGTTTTCTAATAGTAAAAAAATCACAGTAATCAAAATGTCGCGATCTGTTTGAAGTTCAAAATGAAAGAGAATCGGATTATAAATCCTCCTTTCATCGTGATATTTTTGGCATATATTGAATTAAAAACCTGGCTTCCATTATAGACATACCAGGGAATGACGTATGTTATTGTGTCGCATGACTTATTCTTGGCTCAAAAACACCCAAAATACTCATAACGAGCCTAATGAAAGGCTTACTTCACTGTGCGTCCTGTCAAAGTAAGATACGAGACGAGAGTAAAAAAAATAAAAAAAATTTTTGGAGCAACAATTTTTGATTGCGTAACTTTTATTGCTGTGAATTTGCGGCCTACAATTTCGCTAATATTTCCAATAGGGTGTATATTTTAGTTTTTGAAAAGATCAGCATTTAATTTTCATGGGGAGCCGAGATATTCAGCAAACATTTTTTGACGAGAGACAAGAAAATCAGGAGAGACGGCCAGAGAAAAAATATTTTTACTGATTTCTTTGCGAGATTCAACTGGAAAAAATTGATTTTTTGCAGGAAAATTTTTCTGGTCACTTCCTCGTACCTTACCTTTCCCAAAGCGAAACCTGTTCGCAATACAACAACATTCTCGGCGAAATAAACAAAGACATCAAAAACCTCCCTCAGGGTTCGAAAGGCCAAGAAAAAAAGAGTTTATAAAATTGTGTTGCAAAAGTAATGAGATTTGGCCGTCTTTTGACATTAGGCATGCCATTATGGTTGTTCTTTTGTGCCCCCAAAAAGACCTATAATATTCAAGTTGGGTGGCAACGGAAGGCAAACAAGGTCAGGAGACAGTCAAACTGTAAAGAATATCGAGTAAGAGGTTGTTAGGTGCTAATCCGAGGGATTATGAGAGCGGAAAATAAGGCTGTAAAGTGGTAAATAGCCAGGTTACTGAGTAAAAAACAGGCGCGGAATTTGGGAAAGATTGGCGTAGAATTAAAATACAAACTTTTTTACGAATTTTAAGGGAATTTTTAGCCCGCGCTCTCCATAAACAGTCAATATTTTTAGTCCGGAAGTGTAAAAAATTCACAAATTTTGCAATTTTCAAAAACAAAAAATTCTCTGTTATCTCTCCTCATTTACCACGGTCTCTCGCGAAAATTTTTTTGATGATATCTCCCCGGCCTTTGCAAAGTATATCAGCTAAAACTCAGAGATTTAAACTATGCCCGTGATAGAGAATATGAGCTGAATTTGAGGGAATACCGATATCCCGAGCACCTCCCCGCTAACAATAAAAGTTCAGGGCTAAACAAAGTGATTATCTAAAATCAGCCCCTGAAATTATAAATTTCATAAAACCTCTGGACTTTCTGGACATCTTGAGGTCTGCAGATGGCATTTAAGACATGATTTATGAGCTCACACCACATTTCTTTGGGTCTTTACACGTGTCGCAGGCCTCCAGGATGATATAAATTTTAATTGGGAAACCACAAAAATGAATTTATTTGAAATCAAGATATTACGAGCATTCAATTAAAAGGGCAAAAACAAATTTGTTTAAAAATAACGTGATTTAAGAAATTTTATCTCAAAGATTACTGTAATTTTACGGGCCAAACTTAAAAGTTTTACCCCGAAAATGGTGAGAACTTGACCCCAGCCCTTTCAATTTTGCTCATCAAGCAGCCTAATTGTGGCTAATTCCACGATAAAAACGCCGGCCTCTCCCTTCGGAGGGCATGTCAAATATAACGACGTGTTTTTTGTAGTTTTAAGAGTCCATTCAAGGGCCGAGCGCGGCCCTCCAAAAAAGTGTCGAACGCCTCAAATTTCGCGACAAGCCGGCGGCCCCGTAATTTGGCGGCCCCGAAGAATTGCGTTTCGGGAAAAATGAGCCGAGAACTTGCGCGACCCCCCGAGGCTATGATTCGATTTCGCCGGCTCTTCACAAGTCGAATTATCAGGCCCTCGGGGAATCGAATCAGGGCTGATATCACGCAGGAAACGGGCGTCCGGACGGGATATCGGGCATAGCCGAAGGTCGCGCAGCAAGTGTCTTAGGGGCCGAAGAGAGGCAGAGGTCAGTTCTAGGTAAGGAAGGGGAAAAGAGTCGAACAACAAGGAAGAAAAGGGGGAGATGAGACAATGTCTAGACGAGAAATCACATTTATCTATTACTTTGCAACCTTTGTTTACAGATAGCTGAAAAAATTCAAAAAATTTCACTTTGAAAACGAAAAGAGTAAAAATTATAATTCAAAAGGCGTTTTTTAATAAACTAAGAAGTATTTAAAATAATTTCTCAACTATTCCATTATTTTCTATTACCTAAACCAGCTCAAAAATCGCCTCAAAAAGACGAAAAAAGGAACTGATCTCGGGCGGAATCGAACCGCCGACCTTCTGTGTGTTAGACAGATGTGATAACCCCTACACCACAAGACCACGTCTCCCTCGTTCTTTCTTTTTCCCCATTCGATTGCCGAAAAGGCGCGAATAAGTGATTTTCACTGGAATCAAAGCAAAACCGAACCCAAATTTCCTTTTCTCTACTTTTTGCTACTAAAAACAGCCGCAAAAATAAAGCCAATTAAAAATTGTCGAAAAGGGATCATTAAAAAGTGGCTGGCCACGAGTTTGGCTCCCTATCACAGTATTAATACTGCTGTATTTCCCACCACGTTTAATCCCATTCAAATCCCTTCAAAAAGAGACATGGAAAACATGAAATAAGCTTTACACACATTAATTAGAGGGCTAATTAAGGGCTAATCTGCTCCGAAATACTTGCCATTCCATGTTTCTTGAAGTCAGATTTAAGTTACAGTAATAAACAGCCGGGAATAAGTGCCAATGTTGGCCTGATGCAATGATTAGAGCTGCAGGACTACGGTGAACAATTAATTCGGCATTTCGTTCAATAGATATTCGAATAAATACCGACAACTTTTTGATGTTCGACCGCAAATTTTCGGGAATTTAAATTTTTTCGGCGCCATAAAACCGCCATTTTTTGAGGGCCGCGGCATTTGGGCCAAAGTGCGCGGATTAAAGCGCCGGAGGGGATTAAACATAAAAAATTAGGAAAATGTAAATTCATTTGACCCATAAAACACAAAGGGTTATGTTCTGCCTTCAGGGGTTTTGTTGTTGCCTTCGGAATGATAGAGTGGGATCATTGGGTCGAGTGGAGGCGGCAATAGAGACGTTATGATACAGTAGGAGCGAGATTTAGGGGGAAATAAAATAAAAGTAAGACGTTATGATGGGTATGTTTTGACAGGACGGGAAACATATGACAGGAATAAGATAAGCCATTCAAATTCGGAACAAAACATGATCGATCTGGAGGATTGCGGTCCGAATTCCCCTCAAGCCCTAGGAAACATTGACTTTATGAGATTGGTGGCGATAAAATCGAAAAATCAAAATTTCAAAATCACAAAATATTCAGAGTTTGGTTCTTTTTTTTACTCCTATTTTAGAGACAGACAGGTCAAGAAGTAAGTCAAAAAAATATTTAAACATCCTTAAATTTTGCATGTCACTTCCTTATGGGCCTCTTTCTTTCTTTCCGACCCCAAAACACGTAATTTTTTATGTCTAAAATTATGCAAATTCCAATTTTGGGGTTCAAAAAAGTCAAGATAAAAATTCTCAAGGAGAAATCAGGAAGTTTGCAGGTGAATGCCCTCTGGCATTTTAGAAATTAGGGTTGGAAATGCGCTTTGAGGCGCTTTGGCCTCTTGCCTTTTAAACTTTCAATAATTAGACTTGATCGTCTGAGGCATGACAGTTCAATTTGTCGTCAAAAAAATTCAAAAACCCCCACAAAACGAGAATGCTTAGATTGCGCAGCTTGTAACCACTTTTCTGGACACTGGCACTTTTGGCCATGGCCATAAAGAAGTTTTAAAAGTAGAAGAAGTTGTAATTTTTAATAGAAACATCTCGCAAAACTCACCAAGGTCTTAAAACCCGCTCAAATAACGGAAACAAAGACATTTCCTCTCTTTTCGAAGCCAAAGTAACTCCAGTTAAAAGTAGAGATGAAGAGGAACGGCCCAAAAATGTAAAAACATTTACATCGTGTTTTCGGGTAAATATGAGTAGTTTTAGAGGGTACTCAACAATACTTGGACCAATTTTTTTGGAGGAGAAATGCAAACAGTGGGAGAAAAAAAGTTGAAAAATTTTGAAAAATCGTCATAGCTTGAAATAAGATTCACAGAACTTCTTCAAATTTTTACTGTATACTCCAAGAGGTCCAAGTAAAAGTTGCTGAAAATTATAGCGCTTGTTTTGCAAGGATATCTGAGAAGTTCAATAAAAATTTGGCGCGAAGCAGTTCGAAAACGATGATAAAAGCTTAGATTTTTTTATGAAATAACTCGTCTGGAGTAGCCGAGAGAAAATTGACTTCCTGTGGAAACATTGTACTCTATCCACTAACACCCAATTTCTCAAATTAAGAATCACCGAAAAATTTAGGCTAGAATTCTGACCGAAAACCCCTGCGGTTTCTACAGCATGCGGGCTAAAAATCAGACATTGTAGACTATAGTAGACTATACTCTACATTTCTACCAAGCTTTATTAAATCTTGAGCATTGTACTCTGAGAAATCTCCACTCTCAGACATCTACTACAATATCGTTTCCTTTCCAAAAATCAAACGGCTTTATGTCGAATGCAAAACATAATAAACACACTAAATCCGACTACTGTACAAGCTTCTATTCGATTCTAAACCCCTTATTAAACCATTGCAGATAAGCTGTTTAGACGCGAACAAAGCGAGCTCACATCCATTTTAATTATCATGTGTCACGACCAAAAATATAGGCCAAAACACGCTATAATTTGGCAAGTTTAAGATACAATGTGACTAATAAGAGGCTTTCAGCGTAATAATGGAGAAAAAACGTATTTTCGGGGCTTGAAATTGCATTAATTTTGTACTTAACTCACCTGATGAAGGAAGACGGCGATCCCGGAATATGCGATAAAATCGACGCGAGAGAGGAGCGGCTTTCTGTCCAGGGCGGCATAATCACATTACTCATACCTAAAAAGCATTAAATTTAGATTTTTTCCTTCAAATATCGATATATTATATATTATACTAGAGATAAGATGACAAAAAATAAAATTATATAAATATAGATGGTTGTTGTTGGAAGCGCTGAATAAACAGTGAAATCTGACCTCCAGTGGGGGTTTATAATTAAATGCCTCCGGGGCATTCGCAGTCGGAGAAAGTTAAATTTGGAAAACATTTCAAAAATAACTATGATGGATGCTGGCATAAAGATGGAGAAGTTACGGAGTGAAAAGAGAATGCAGAATTCAAACAACCTTTCAAATGATTACATCAATTCCCAAAAAATTTTAGTCTCTCTTTCAAGGGCAAGTATCCAAACGTCACTTGGCCATCTTTCCACGAAATTGGCCTCAAAAGGTTTTCAAAATTCAAAAAAAAGTTTCATCGAAATTTCCCCTTTGTACTCTTTCAACAATCATCTTTACAAATTAACTTTTTTTCCGTCCAAAACGCAATACAAATTGCACTTTCTCGGCTGCCCTTTATCATAAAACTTTTGAGGTAATTATAATATCAGTAAAGCCTGACATTTACCCGGTTTTATAAAAAACATCAAGGTAAATTCCATGCTTTATAAAGTGAATTACTTGTTCTGAGAGAGTAGAGGTCAACTTTATAATTAGATTCATTTTTTGTAGGCTAAAATAAGGAGCTTTGGGTAAAAAATACTATAACAAGCTATGGCAACTTTTTGGAAAAAATATAGGAAAATTTTAATGCTTGAGGGTAAGCATTAAAAGATCTAAATTCACGGATGATGACGTAAAATAGATTCCAGTTTTCCGTTTCCAAAACTTTTCGAAAGTGCCAATCAGGAAGTATTCTTTATATTATATAGCACATCAAAGATGTCAAAACGGGAAGAGCGTCTAGGAAACATCAAAATTGAATGAAATGTTACGAAATTGATTCAATAAAGTCGCGTTGAGATAACACAAAATAACAAGAATTCTGCAGGAAATCGTTTCTTTTTGATAAACTTGAGCCTCTGGTGACAAAAACAATCCCTCAGGGCATCGAAACGTCTCAAGAAAACAGGAAAAGATGAAACAGAGTTCAAATTGTAAAAAATTAAAATTGGCTGGAATTTTGAGAAAAAAATTTAAAAGATGTTTTTGAGGGGTCTCGAAAGTAATATGTAATAAAAAACATTACATATAAAAAATTGTAACTTAGAGGACATAAACCAAAAAATTTCCGGGATACGTGAGAATTTTCTGGGAGAAAAAAGCCTGGGGAAATTGTCTTTGTTAGAAAGCAGTAATGTTTCATTTTTTAGCAAGTTTACACACATGGCAACAAACAATTTAAAATTTAAATCCAGTAAAAAATCAAAAATTCCATACTTCATGCTATAAAAAACAAAAAACTTGTAATTAAAAAGTTGACCTCTACTCCATAAGAAAGAATAATTTATTTTGCAAAGAAGGGAATTTATTTTAGCCATTTTTTTACATATAAGAATGGATCAAATGACAACCTTTACTGATATTATAATTACCCCAAAAAGTGTTATAATAAAGGGCAGCCGAGAAAGGGCGGTTTATATCTGGTCTCTGGAGTGAAAAAGATGAACTTGTAAGGATTATAGTTCAAAGAGTTTAGCGGAAATTGTCGATGAAACCCTGATGAGCGACAGGGATTACAACAAATTCTAGAAATTTCTAGAGGAAAATTTAGAGGAAATATGATGATAATTGAATGATCAGACTCTTACCAAGCATCGTCTAAAAAAATGCGAAATTTAAAGCCTAAAATTTTGCAAAAATTCCTAGGAAATTGACTCAAAAAGTTGCGTAAAATTTTTTGACTTTTTTGAAATTTTTATTGTGTAAATTTAATAGTCTAATATAAGTATAGAGCAACATTTCTGTGCAAAAAATCAATTTATTCCGCGAGATATTCGCAGAGAAATAACCGAAAACCGTTTTTTCTCTTACCATTTGTCATAATTTTTCTTGAATCCCACGAAAAAAGGCTTTGTAAAGACGACCCTCTTTGCAAAGCGTGAGCTACAATTTTCGTGAATTAAGATACGGCTACTTGAGAGTAAGTGGATACGATTTAAGAAGGATCCCATGGGCACAGCTCGAGATATTACCCTTCAAGAACAAGGTGAACTTTGAAGAAATTCATCCCATTCTTCATCGAAAAATATCTAGAAATGGAACAGAACGCCAAAAATAGATCTACAACTTTTTCCATACTACTAGAAAGTGCTGTTTACAAGTGCTTGACACAAAAGCTTAATGGTATTTTCACCAAAAAGTTGGGTAATCGCCCTTTAACTCGCCTTTTCCGCAAATTGACGGAGGCAAATGTTATTAAATCCGCATTTTCTGGTGTCCTATTCATTTTTGTAAACAACTAATTATTCTTGCCGATTCCACAGCACCTCTAATGTCATAATCTAACTGCTGGATCTCTCATAAACAAACCCGAACCGACATTTTGTCAGTAAATATTCTCCTTTGTATCCCTTTATGATATTCGTTTTCTCTTTTGCCTTCTCAATTAAAAATGCCCCAGTTTCCATTGAAAATCCCCTGAGGGCCTATTATGAAGCGAAAATAAGATTATTCAAATACTTTTTTTGGTGTCGACATTCAAAAGTCAGGGATTCTGGAATCCGCATGGGAATTTTGATGAGGAAAATGGATGGGGCAGGGAAATGAATAATTAGTGGGACAAAAGGAGCCATAAGTCAAGGGAAAGAAGTCAAAAATATTTTTATTAATTTTTTGTTTCTGAGAAAACCCATTTGTAAATTTTAAAAAGATGTGGAAACACTCGTATTTTACATTATTTTGCAATTTTTTAACCTCAAAACCAAAAGGAAAATTTTGCACACCAAAATTTAAAAACATTAAGCTTTGAATTTTGAATACCTGAAAGCAAAATTTTGGACTAAATTGTTCTTCTTTCTGAGCAGTGATCTCGTGGTGTAGTGTTTATCACATCTGTCTAACACACAGAAGGCCGGCGGTTCGAGCGCGCCCGAGATCAACGACCCCTTTTTATTACTTTTTGCATACAAAATAATAAAAAAATATTGTAAATACGTACTCTCCCCTCGACTTTTGCAAATAGACTTAAAATCCAATCCTTTGGATAGAAAATTATGGAATGTTTGCTCTTTCAAAATCCAAAATTTTTATTTAATTTTGCCAATTTTGTGCCCACCACAAGAAACCAAAGTTCAATGGAATTTCAATTCACGAATGCCTAAAAATTATCGACCTTGAATGTGGTAAACTCCAAAATGAAATCACGCAGCCGAAATTTGCCGGAGGGGAAAAGGCCCAGATGATTATGAAAATTGAAAAGAATGGTTGTAAAAAGGGCAAAGAGTAGTGTAAAAAGAATAAAAAAATAGTTGTAAAGGGGCATTTGACTTGAATAAAAACATAATTGAAATAAATTTGAATAGGTATGGTAATGAGTAATCTTTTGCAAAACAACTTACTGGACAGAGGCCGTGAATAGGCACTTAAATTGTTGGTGTCCTCGATGTCGCTGGGGAGGACTTGGATCTGCGGAACGGATCCGTAATTTGCAGGGTATTCTGGAATTATTTTTTGAGTAAGTTGGTAGAAAATGGGTGTTAAAATGAGCTGCTTACATTGTAATATTAATAATATGAAATTTAAAAGCCGATATTTTCAAATTATGCAAAACAATCATTTCAAAAAATTCTAAACGTTCCCAAAAATCCATTAAAAAAATGTCCGAACGCTAAAAAAGATACAATCCCAGCACCCAAATTCCATTAACTCCCACACAAAGACTCTATTAGAGTGCCGTTTAATAAAAATAAATTCAATTTTGAGCTGAAAAAATGTGCTGTTTTAGACAAAAAAAAAACAAAAAGTTTGACGTGGCCAATCAAAGAATTTCCGAAGTAAAGACGATTTAAAACTGATCCGAGTTGAGACGTCAAGAAGAGGAGAATTTCCGATTTAAAAATATCACAATTTGCCTGGTTCAGTGTAGTTTTGATGGGGTCATATTGTATGTACATACGTCAAAAAGTCATGGCAATTGGGGTGCTAATGTCGCTTGAAAAATGAGACAATTTGTGTGAGAACTTTAGTCGGTAAACTACAAGGTTCAAGTTCCACAATTCAATCTTATCAAAGTCCAACCTTTTGTCCCAAAAATCCCAAAGGTTTCATTAAAAAGTAATGTCCGGAGACTTGCACATGTAATGACCGAAGGCCTTAGTTCTTGATCTTTCAGCTCGAGAGAAAGAGAGCAAATATAATAAAGGCATAACGCCGTTCAAAAGGAGCAAGAAACCCTCAGCTGTTACGACTGCATGTCTGATACTGTTTTATTATTTTTTGCTTTATTGTTTACTGTAGTTTCAAAAGAATCCATGGAAATAATGTAATCAAACAACCACCCGGAGTAGGTTTCCCCCAAATTTTTTAATTGTTAATTTTCTAGTCACACATAAACTCTAAATTGTGCTGAATTCCTCCATAATTCTATCAGCTCTTAATTTATTTTCTCTCCAATGTAGATGGTCTAAAATTTACTTTTTCATAATTTAAACCTTTCATTGTTTTACATTTGAAATCACCCCAAATCCCATGAGGGCCTATTTTACAAAAACCGGGTCAAAACCCGCGGTCCGTCTACTTTTCTAACCCATATCCTCAAAAATCCCTTATTAACCTCTTCTACAATTTGTAACACTTCCTCTTCCTTGACCCCCAAATCAACCCTAACTCCAAACATCCAAAAACCCCTCCATCTTGTTCCCGGATATGATAAGTCTGATGGATTTCGGGCTCTGATCCCGCTCGAGGCCCTCAGGGTCATAAAGACAAAATAAAAGAAATAGGCATGTAATTACGGCGAATGGCCAGAAAATGAAAAGTTTTATGAGATCCGAGCCGAATGTAGTTTTGGATGGGATTTATTGGATGTGCGGAATTGGATCACGTTGATTTATGGCGGCGATTCGGGATCAATTGGGGACGTGGAGGGGGGCATTAGAATCCAGTACCATGAATTTAATGGGGTCAAAGTTTTTGAGGGATTCAAAGTTAAAATTTAAAAATTTTTACAAACAACAATGTCTAATCAAAGAAGCGTCAAAAATAGCCTTGTTCATATTCCTATAACTTCTTGCAAAGTAAAAATAATAAAAACAAAATGAAAATGCCTCATAACAGCCGAAAATTTCTTGATCCTCTTGAACGGCTTTATACTTTTTTTTGTCATCTCTCTCTTTAGAGCCAAAGAGCTATCCAAAAGTCCTTGGTTAAAGGACCAAAACAACTACATTTGAACGCGGATTTTTACGGCTTGGAGGTGCGCCTCGCCAAAAGTTGCGAAAATCCCGCGAAAAAAATAAATACAAAAAATAATTGAGAATTTCTCTCGAACGTGTTGTTAACAAGAAGAATTGATGTTTGTTCATGTTCAAAAGCTGGGAACAAGGCTGTTTGGTCGTGTGGATAGTGCCAATACCCCTTCAGACGCTTTTGGGTAACACTGATGTAAGTTTTTTTTTTGATTTCGACGGTTTTTTTCGCATTTAGGTAGATCTGAAGGAAAATGTGCAATGTTTTTGATGTTCCTTTGAAAACCGGCATGCGCGCAATGTTGAGGAGGAGGGGTTGGACTCAACGCTTTTGTGCCGGCGATTTTCTTACCTAGTTCGACCTGTTTTTACCCCTTTTGAGGTGTTTTATATTAGTTTGGTCAAGTGTTTCAATTTCAGAGTAGTTCAATCTTCTGGAAGGACCCGTGAAGAAGAATTCTCCAAAGAACCACTTTGACATCAAGATTCGAGGCATCTATATAAGATTTGTAGGTAATGTCGTTTTTATTTGTTTGCTTAAATGATACATTTACTTTAGACTGGGACTTGTGTTCGTGAGCCAATGGGTCCTGTGCAGGAGACGAAAACGGGCAGAACATCACCGGATGTCCCAAAAACTGCAGAATTCAACCTTTGTCTGATGTTTTATTTACGCTTTAGACAATAAAAGATATATTAAGTTAGATTCCTTCGGCTTGAAGTACATTTTAGATAAAGAAGCGTTGACGGCAGTCACAATTCCGCGTGGTCCAATAGTTCTTTCGTTCTTCATTGGCGATTTCAGGCGATTGAACAACTCTGGAATTAAAATACTTGACTAAAACAATATAAAACACCTAAAATGGGTAAAAACATGTCGAACTAGGTAAGAAAATCGCCGGCACAAAAGCGTTGAGTCCAACCCCTCCTCCTCAACATTGCGCGCATGCCGTTTTTCAAAGGAACATCAAATACATTGCACATTTTCCTTCAGATCTACCTAAATGCGAAAAAAACCGTCGAAATCAAAAAAAACTTACATCAGTGTTACCCAAAAGCGTCTGAAGGGGTATTGGCACTATCCACACGACCAAACAGCCTTGTTCCCAGCTTTTGAACATGAACAAACATCAATTCTTCTTGTTAACAACACGTTCGAGAGAAATTCTCAATTATTTTTTGTATTTATTTTTTTCGCGGGATTTTCGCAACTTTTGGCGAGGCGCACCTCCAAGCCGTAAAAATCCGCGTTCAAATGTAGTTGTTTTGGTCCTTTAATATTCACAGGCTTACTCGCCACTTCTTTTTACATCAAATCTTTGAGATTTTTAAGAAATAGCAAACATTTTGTGTTGATGAAGTTATCCGTATTTTACCAACCAAAGTATTCCCATTTTTATTTGTCATCCCATTAAAAACCCATTTTCTTTATGATTTCCATGAATTTTTGACGTACGACCCCGCCAAAGCTGCATTCAAACCAATCAAATTGGGATATTTTTAGTCTTGCTCCATTAAAAATCGGAAATTCATTGTGTTGACGTCCCACCTCACAATCAGTTCAGTTTTTATGTATAATAGTCTTTTAGAGGGGTTTCTTCTGGAATTCTTTGATTGTCTTTGTCAAAGATGTTCAAGACCCTAGATACCTCTGTATAAAATAAAAGTGATTCTACAGAGGCCTCTCTCTAGAGGCTGGAAATGAATTTCCGTACTTTAAAAGCAACAATTACACCTTCGGAATTCGCCATCTCCCTTACTTACCGACCACCTGAATCGTCGGGAACCTCTGCCCTCCACATCGGAAACTGTTTCCCAGCGTAGATCCCAAATTAAATTGACCCGAAGACATTCTGGGGCTGAACTGAAACAATGGGGCCGTACTGCCGGCCTCGGGCGATCTGTTGAAGGTGCGGGCCAGGGCTTTCCTTCGGCGCCGCTTCAAGCACCTTCCCAACTGCTTTAACAGCAGTCCGAAAACGACTGAGACTGCGGCTAGTACTGCTAACAGGAGCAGTACCAGCATGCCCAGCTGCAGAAGACGCGCCCAACTCCAGGCAGAGGCATTGGCGACGGCGTGACGGTAGGGGCGTGGACGGTGGAAGAAATGGACGGGCGGGTCGGCGGAGGTCGAAGGGGAGACCACGTGCGGAAAATCGCTGAAATGTAAGGGTTTTACGCTTTAGGGTAATAATTTTAATATACGAGATATAGAAATATTGAGGTCAGAAATTTCTACATATAAGGTCAAGGCTGAATTTTCAAGCCCTGCTTTACAGGAAATATTGATTTTTTAGTCGAAATTGCCAAAATCTCAGCGTTTAACGGCTTAAACATGATAGAATTACAGTAAACTTAGAATAAGGCCAGCTCTTTTCCAACGGGAAAAATAGCTGAATCCATTTCTCCTAATTTCTTATGACCTCTCGTCACAGATGATAAAAGGGCAAATTAAATTTTCAAGAGCAGAACTGAGGTCCAGGAAGACCACGCACGCCAACTCTCAATAAAGTCCGAGCCCTCAACGCTATGAAATTCCCCTCCCAACATGCCGGATTTAAACAAAACTCCCGGGGTTTTGGCTATCAATAAATAATCATTCATAAAGAGATTTCCGTAAAGTCTCATGTTCTTAGATATCAAATCCTTTTTTTGGGATCCATTTTCAGAACTTGGCTAATGTCGACGCCCTAATAAAGAGATGTTTAATCCCCAGGAAGTCACACCATTATCGCGGAAAATGTGTTTGCCAGAGAAATGAACCAAAAACCATTACAAGTAGCCACAACCAAGGCCAGAGATCTTTTGGTTGTAGGCCTGCCATAGGTTATATTACACATGAACCCTTTTAATATTAAAACTGAATATAAAGTGTGGTCGGAAAGGCTGTGAATTTTAAGTCATGCGATAATTAATAACCCAATTTTCGAAAAGAATTGGCCAAGTAGGAACGCCTAAATTTGTGAAGTTACTGTGGAGTTTTTGAAGGTTACAAAAATGTCAAAAGGAGGCGAAAGTCTTGGAAAAGTTGATCTAAATATGTACTATATGCCAAGATCCATTGAAATCTAAGCGTCACACTTCGAGCACATCCCCTGTAAGCGCGACACTTCAAATAAATACTTTCCTTTTAAAAATCCGATCGCTCAAGAAAAGGAGTTTCTAGACCAAAAGTCAGTCCACAAAAAATGTCATAAAGTTGGAGTTGTGACCTAATTTGACTGGCTTAAAACATTCCTTTCAAAGCGCAAAATGAAAACGTTTACCGTTTTGCACGACTAATCGAATTTAAAATTCCTGACAGACAAAGAAAACTGTCCAAAGAAGTGATAAATTTTGCAGAGAACGGGGTTTCTGGAGGGCGAGGACGTCTTATCCTGGCAACACAATCTTTGTCAGGTATTGGGCTTTCGCTCAGAGAGTATTGCATTTTTCGTGAGGATGGTAAAATATTATTTTTGTTTTTTGAAAGATTAGACAAAAAGGGTTGTTTTTATATTCAAAATAAAAAAAAGTGGTGTATGACTTGCTGAAGTCATACAAATGCCTGTTGAGTATCTTTGGCTGCTCCTCTAAATTGTCGAATTTTTAGGGATTGACGAGTGCCGCGGGCATAGTGATTATGCAAAATTAGAATGTAAAAACATATTTATAAAAAAAAATTTTTTTTGAAAATTACTCCCGAAAAATCGATTTTTTCTCTTTAAAAAATTTATCAAACAGTAGCCCCAACATTTTTCAACACCCAAATATTATTCCTCCTTCCAGCAAATAACCAGAAACCCCCTCGACAAAGCACGTTGCAAAACAGATTACTGCAAGCTGTCGAAACAATTTTATTTCGTTTTGTCGTCGCAATTCGCACATGTCAAACGAAATGGCCCCATAACCTCCGGGCAAACGGTCGAGTTATGACATTCGGAAGAGGAAAGGCCAAGGATTCGCAGACATTTTAACGAATGATTAAGAAAACTGTAAAGAAATGGGAACAAATTTATGGAAATGGAGGCAAATAGCGGAAAATATAAAGATTGAAGGGTTAAAATAATGGGGAAGAGAGTTGGTCTGTAGCGGAAGTTATGATGTCACTTTCTGAGGGTTCAAGTTTTACATTTTCTCAGAGAAGTTTTTGAAATTAAAAAAATCTTTGAGTTTAATTATACTTGCAAATTTTGAGTCAATTTTTTTGACAAGTCGATTATGTCTTTTCTCTGACCGCCTCTCCTCATTTTACACACTCTCCCCCCAAAAAGAGCCTGTTGAATATCTCAGTTGTCTTTGCAAAACGAGCGTTAAAATTTTTAGAAGTCGTAATGGGAGCCAGAGTGATCTCATACGCAAAATTTGAAAAAAATTTAAACCGATTTTTTCGAAATTTTGAGATACCAAAAAATTAGAAAAAAATCCTCAAAAAAAAGTTATTTTCAGATGACTAAACCAACCAAACCCTTCAAAAATTCCAGTTCAAACACCCAAGAATTGGTGCGTAATCCTTTTTCTTCCAATTATTTTATTTTCCCATGTTCCCACCGAATCAGAGAGAGAAAAAATAAACTTTGTGTCCAAAAACTTCAACAAACCAGAAAGAAATGACAAATCTGCGAAAACAAGATATCAGATGTCCTAATCGATATAATCCGGCCCAGATTTGGAACCTAGACGGATTGATAAAAATAAAAGTAATAAATTCTGCAGGGATATCTGAATTCAATGTTTGAAAGAGAAAGAAAGAGGGATTTCAAAAGAAATAAGATGATTACAGGAAGAAACTAGTGTTATGATAACATGCTGTGTCAAAAAGAAAGAAAACTTTAGGGGTTTATATTTGACTTTATGAATTTTATAAAGTGTCAAAAGAATGTCTTAACTCACTTTCCGCCCATTCGCAACCGACCAAATTTTGGGATGGTTCAGTCCATCGAGTGCCTTCTGAATCCTCTTCTCACGATCATCTCTCAACTTCAAACCTTTATTTTTACTTTTTTTGTAATAAAATTAATTAAAAAAAATAATAATCGCGAGGGAAAAATATGAGAGGAAAGGGGTTGCTGGGATCCGAAAAAGGCGTGAACGGAACGAGTGGGAGCAACTGAACAGTTGGAAATAAATTCATTTGCATTCCACGTGAGATACACGTAAAAAAATTTGCATGTTTATGCAAAAAAGGTATTAGAGAACTTCATAGTCGTATTTTAAGATTTTTAAGTTCGTAAAAGGATACGGCTATAGTGAAAAACCTTTGGGATAAAAGATCTTTTTGGAGACAATGGGAATTTGGGATGATGTTTAATGTTTTGACACCCAAAGGGAAAAGGAAAGGAACTCCGGCTGAATGGATCCCATAAGTAATATGCACTTGCAATAAGCTGGAAAAATGGGAGTGTCATAGGCTCCTTGTTCCAGAATTCAAGCTGAACTTTTGGATTTAGAAAAATTGCTTGAGATGGTTAAAAAATTCCTTCAAAACATCAAAATTTATAGTCCTAAAAGAGAGAAAATTTATAAAAAATGTTTTTGATTCAAAAATTAAAAATGATAACTAGTAATTTCTTTTTTACCACAAAAAGAACCCAAATTCCACTTCAAAAAGACGAAAAAAGAACTGATCTCGGGCGGAATCGAACCGCCGACCTTCTGTGTGTTAGACAGATGTGATAACCCCTACACCACAAGACCACGCTTCGTCCTCCGTTCCAAATGAAAGGGACTTCGGCCCAAAAATAAAATCAAGGTACCTATGCTCTTCTCATTCCAAAAAACAGATAAAAATGTTTTTAAAAGAGAGTTTTTTACAGATTGAAGCTTCTCATAACAAGGGCCGGACATTCCGAAAAAACGACCAACTCAGAATCTTTTGATATTTTGCATAGTTGTCGCACTGTGATAGCTATACGTCAGCGTGAATTTTTAGTTTCTAAAACTACCGTATACGGGGGTTACGGTAGGTACAATTTTCACAAAGATTGGGTTCGTGTGTAAAAATCCCGAGGGGTAAAAGCACAAAACCTTGCTGTTTTACGTTTTTGACCATGGGGAACATTTTCATAATTGACAACTTTACCGTTGGATGTTGCCTTCGACTACTTTGAAAAATACCAAAGTACCGTATTGAATGTAACTTTTCGGCATTCTACTTGTCTCAACTTTTGAAACCTCTCAAAAATACTTTGACATAGGTGTAACAACATATCAAAAATGCGCGAAAATAAAAGGGGTGGTTTTGGAGTTACGGTACTTTGAAGGCAGCCGGTACGGTATTTCAAAAAGTCATTTTTTTCAAAACCGGTGTGGAAGACCCGCAAACCTTGCCAAAATATGTTTTCGAACCTCGCGAACATTTTTGTAATTGACACTTTTTTTGTAGGATGCGGCCTTCGACCGCTATGAGAAATGTCAAGATACCATGATCAATATAACTTTCCGGCATTCAACTTGGCTCAACTTTTGAAACCTTTTAGAAACACCTTGACATATGTGTAGCAACATATCAAAAATTTAGGAAAATAAAAGGGGTGGTTTTGGAGTTATGGTACTTTGAATTTTGGACATACAGTACACCTCGATTTATTCTCGGCTCAACTTTACGTAGATTGTCTTAAAAACAAAATGTAATGTTCTATGTATGTTGTACGACCCTCAAAAACTATTTTCACCAGGAAACTCAGAAAATTTTGGCCTAAGCATACTGTAACATATCGTGCGCAGATAATTGGTTACTGTAACAGCAAGATCAGCGATTTGTTAAATGTTTTGTACCGATTACCACGGTGTAGAGTCGTGTGTGCCATACGACAGTTAAATCTACCAAATTCGGACGTCAGCATCACAACAAAAGTTCGGTGTACTGTATGATCAAGATTAAAAGTACCATAACTCCAAAACCACCCCTTTTATTTTCCTAAATTTTTGATATGTTGTTACACATATGTCAAAGTGTTTTTAAAAGGTTTCAAAAGTTGAGACAAGTTGAATGCCGGAAAGTTATATTGATCATGGTATCTTGACATTTCTCATAGCGGTCGAAGG